GTCGAGCCACACCGCCCGGCGAAGTTCTCTCCAGCCACGACGGCGTCGTCGACGTCAGCGTCGTCCCCGTCGCCGAGCGTGGACGTCAGAATGGTCGCCTCGACGCACAACTTGGATGAGCTGAGTGCCAGCCACCCGACCAGCGCGAGTAGCGATCGTCAGCAGCAACAGGAGAAGCACGGACACGCGTACAGATCTGCGCAGACTGCTCAAGATAAGAGGAGCAGGCTCAGCAATGTGATAAACAACCTGAGGAAGAAGGTTCCTGACTCTAGAAATGGAGATTCGCCGAGGAAGGAGGAGGACGATAGGAACAGTGTAGAAAGGAACCTGGAGACGCTGGAGAAGTACGTGATGACGGTGCTGAACGGGGTGATCAAGGACGAAGAGGACGACGACAGAGAAGTAAACAGGAAGAAAGACGAAAAGGGTAAAGACTCGGAAAAATTAAGTGGGGAACAGGAAGACGAGGATTCGAAGGGCCCAGCAGCTAAATTTGAGCCCTCAAAGCCTAACGAGAGCAGGACAGAGGCAGCTGTCTTCTCTTCGAAGCAACCTGAGAAGGAGGCTAAGGAACCCTGCGTAGAGCACCGAAAACTGGAAGTTAGAGAATTGGATACCCCTCAGAAAGAAGCGAAAATTAGTTCCGAATTAAAAGAATCGAACGATGGCTTCAGAGAGGAGAATGAGGCCGACAAGGATAAATGTTCTTCCAGAGAGACGAAGCCTGAAAATGACGCTATCCAGGAGACGGCGAAAGTCGATGTTCAGGAAGAAGAGAAGAAGGAAAATCGTTCGCTAGGTACGATAATCATGGAGAGGCTCAGCGAGCACCAGGCTGAAGACAAGGCTATCACCGAGGCTGCCAAGGACGAGGCTCGAGAGTTTGTTCCCGAGAACGTGGAACTCAGGAACGTATGTAGAGACCTACTGAACGACCTGTTGAACGGTATCAATCAGTTGATCGACGAGAAGAATCAGGTAAAGGAAGAGACAAGACCACTGGATAGCTCCTCCGAGGAGAACAAGGATTCCAAGGGTCATGAACTCTCCACGACGAGCTTACACTGTAGCCTACCTCTGGATAAAGTAGCGTCGGTGCTACCGAATTGTCAGACCACCGAATTGGTCGCCCCGCAATCGCCTTCGTCATCGTCTTCGTCGTCACAAGGTTCAAAGTCCCCGTGCAAACCAACGTCTCCTACGGTGAGGCACCTGTGCCTTTACTGCGACAGGAAGTTCCTGTCGATATCTCTCAGGCAGCGACATACCGAGAGAGTTCACCAGCAAGGAGGCGGCAGAAGGTCAGAACGGAACTCGAGGAGACCGTCACAGAATTGCCAGTATTGCTCGGACAAATGCTCGGAGAGCTTGGAGAGCTTGTTCCAACACATGGTGGGTAGCCATGGGGACAAGTATTACGCTTGCGTGCAGTGCTCCACCAGGTACCTCACCAGAGAGGCTCTGGTGGGGCACATGAACGAGAATCATGCGGAAAGGAACCTTCAGATTCAGGTGAGATTTTAATATTGATATAAAGGGGATGTAGAGATAAACTTAAGTAAAGATTTAGATACGGATTTAAGAGTGTAGGGATTTAGGAAATATAGAGATATAGGGATCTAGAACAATCACTTTCATAAATGACTTGAACATCATTTAAAAAATCCCAGTGCCACATTCAATTGTATACTACTATTTCAGGAGAAGCTAAAGGAACCCTCGCCTTGCAAGGAGGTAGGAAACCAAAGTCCCCGTGATAGGCCGGATCCATTGAGTCCCAAAGAAAGAAGACCGGACGAATCCGATCACGAGCACCGTGTTGAATCTACCCTGCTGAAATCAGTCTCTATGAAAGACAGCTTCAGCAACCCAGGGAGTCCAGAATTTGACAGTTCCTTTTATAGCAGCGTCAGTTGCAACATCCGCGAGAATCTTCTTCATCACCTGGATGGCAAGCTTCAGAGCTCCTCGACAACCGTATCAACAACTTCGTCGATCATCGACTGCAAGCTTCAGCTGCAGCAACAACAGACCTACTACGAGCACAGCGCAAACCAGATCCAGTTCCCCATCGATATTTCTTTAACGGCTGCGACGCCGGTCTACTCGAAGGACTACGCTAACGAGGAGTACGAGAACAACAGCGAGTACGCCCAGAAACCTGGGAAAAGAAACAGGTCACATCCTCGGAGAGTGTCCTTCGAGAAATACAATTTCCCCCGGAAGTACGACGGTAAGGAACAGTGGACCTGTTCCATCAAGGACCTCAGCAAGTTCGACATCTCCACACAGTTATCGCTGAGGAAGAAGCAACAGTTGCTGAAGGAACGAATCACTTTGAGTAGGTTGCACCAGATCTCCGTGCTGAGCTCTTCGAAGACCACGGACATTCCGCAGGATGAGCAGGATCTGGACTCCAGAAATCCTGAGGAGTCCAAAAGCGTCGGCGAGGCTTCTGCCGGGACGAACAGTGAGAGTGTTGCGCAGACGTCCCGGTGCGAGGTTGCAAAATCGTCGGAATGCAAGTTCGATGTGCCTGAGGTGCTGTCGCCTCGGGCTACAGAGTTCAGCAGCGAATTTGGCAACTTCTTGAGGTTGAAAAAGTGGGACGAAAGAACGGCGAACGAGGTGGCCAAGAAACAAGAGACTGTGTACGCGGAACTCACCGGAGAATGGTCCAGACCTAGGGTCTACATTTGCGGCGCTTGCGCTACGAAACATGTAAGGATTAAAGAACTTTGTCTGATTGGTGTGGATGTATGCATAGTCCAGTTTTTAATGCACGGAGTTGTTCACTTAGCAAACGTGGTTACAGTAAATGTAATTAATTTTTGAATAGTCATCCGATATTTTTACTCACAAAAGAAAACCAGATGGACATTCAGCACCTGAATATTAGTTCAAGACAATTGATCCTTTCATCACCACTGACATTTATTGAGCGATTAGTTAATTAATCATCCCCGTTGATTGGTAACTATCGATCGGATTGCAGACCAGTGAAAGGGCCTCTCTTGATGTTGATTGACAATTAGTTGTCGTCAAACGAATCTGCATTGATCAACGTGCTGTATTAACATCGAGTGCAGGCTCGTCCGTTATTATCGACGAACTAATTAGGACTAGTTTGTTTCCCAAAGTTATCCATAAATATCGAGTTACAATTTATATTGAATTACCCAAACACAACTTAGTAAATCGTGATATTAAAATAAAAATGTTAAGAAAATTTATGTTATAAAAATGAAACGTATGCGAGTGTGAATGTGTTATGATGATGTTCGTAAATTTTTAGCAACCCTGTATTAAGAATTCTAAATAAGTTTCTTCTCACCGCAGGTCACATTAAGAGAAATGGAGGAGCATAAAGTAATCTCCCATCCAAACGTGTGGTGTTCTCATTTTGAATTCTCCGGTGACCAGAGGGAGCTCTACAAGCACCTGTTCCTGCCAGGAAGAAACGTGCCCACCGCAAAGGCGAAGGCTGCCATCCTGGCAGAGAAAGTGTGCACCAAGTGTACGAAGAACTGTGCCACCCTATCAGAATTACATAGGCATATGTTGGAATGCGGAGGAGACCAAGCATGGTTGTTGGGACTTTTTGGCAATGGAAAGAAGAAGTGCAAGTGGAGACCTTTCGGTAGCCGCAGCAGAAGACGAAGACAACGCGGAATGAAGAGAAATATCCAGAACTCGCAGACACCCAGGGTGAACACCCCTAAAGAGAAGCAACCTACTGGACCCAGAGTCAGACCCAGTGATCGTAAGTGTTTTTCGTATATTTGTTTTATTATTAGACATTCATTAGTTTGAATGATTTGAATGAGTCTTCGAACTGTATGTAATTGTGTTGTTTTTGTTTTTTAGATGCGAGTGAGTGTTCATTTGTACAAGGTGTATTAATTTACTCCCGCTGCAACTTCAATTTTCTGAGCGAAAAATTCCAAGCTGCACGCACGGGTGAAGTTAATAAAAAGTGGCTATAAATACCGGGCACGCGCGATCCACGAAATTTGTTAACCACCCCAGAGGAGCGTTTAATTACTACACTAATTAAAACTTTGTTTCGTTTAGTTAAATCACTTATGCGGCAGCTTCCCTTTGCCGTGCAATAATTATGGCGGTCATGACAGGGCGTGTTAACTTAAAACTTATTAATCATGCCTCGATTAATATTAACGCTTTGCTCTTGGCGCGTGCGTGTGTGTATGCGTGCGTTATGTATGAGTGTAGTGAAAAAACGGTATACATTTTAAATCTTCTCTGCTTCCCTTTTCTGTTTGTTTGTGTATTTATTATTTTTGCTCTAACAGCTTGTTTGTGTGTTTTAGGGGAGAGTATTCAAAAAATGCTGGCGAATTTACCACCTAAAAGAGCCACCAGAAAGGTGTTGCAAGATAGCTCGATGAGAACACAAGGCAGACTACGAAACGTAAGTATTATCTCTTTTTTGTAGAGGTATCATTGCATATTCTAGTATTGAATAATACGGAAAATATTATTCAAGTTATTGAATATTAAATGATATTGTACTTGATAGATCTCCATATCCCTATATCTCTAGTTCCACATATCTAGTAATATTTAATAACGTGCATTGTAAAAACAGTGAAGTGTTGTTGCTCAAAACTGATGCAGTATATTACGTAATTACAAACACTTGAGTCAAGGTGCTCCTGAGTGAAATATGAAAATATCAAAAAGGCAAATTATTAAAGTGCAAACGCAGAGTAACTCTGCTATGAAATTAAAGATTGACAAAAACTCGACGCAAAAGATGAAACCACTGAAGGCAATAATACAGCTCGACTATTGGACGACACGAACATAAGTGAGGTATTGATCACCTAATACACCTGTTTACACGTGCACAGAGGGTGCCACGTACCCATATGACTCTTCCTATTTCCCCATAAAAACTGTTCCTATATTTCATTTGTAATTTAAATTGTCTTTCTTTATGGATAATATTTTTGAATAATTATTATAAGTTCTTTGAACATAATCCTTGAATTGTCTAAAGGTGAAAACAAATCACTAATAATTAGGACTCCTTTTTATATAATGGAATTTTTATATTATTAAGAATTTTATCTTTAAAGGGGCAATGAAAATTCTTTCAGCAACCCCCTGTAAAAGAACGACGGTAGTGTTCATTACGATGGTGGGGCTGTTAGTGTTTATTATGATAGTGGGGAACGCCATTAGTGTTGACTATGATGGGAGAACGTCAGTAATGTTCGTCTGGTATGGAATGAACGGATAATCTCGCAAATATCCCACGAAGGCTCTGCCTCTCTGTACAGGTGCAAACCAGAAACAGACCACGAATGGTCGGCGACAATTCCACCGCGTCACGAATGTCCCGGAACAAGGCCGTCCTGAGGAACAAGTTGCTGAAGAACGCGAAGTCGATCCAGCGGAACCGTTGCCGGATCGACAACGTATCAGCGGTGATCGAGAGCGTTGTAAAGAACTTCCAGCCGGACAAGTCGGAGAACGAGGGCACCGCCGACAACGCTGACAAAGAAACCAAAGAGAAATCGGTCCAGGATCGTCTACCTGATGCGGACGAGAAGGGCACCAGGACCAAGGTCAGCAGAGGTCCACGGGTGCTAGGAAAGAAGAGGAACGTCAAAACGAAGGATGGAGCGACCAAGAGCCTGGACCAGGTGAAGAAGACTGGTGCCCTGAAAGCAAGGGCTAAGGCCCTGAAGAACTCTATGGAAACTGTAGTAGAAAGCTCTGGCGAGCCTACTAAAGCTTCTAAGGGTGTCAAAGCGTCTCCCAAAAATATTGAAAAGGAGGTTGAAGTGGCTGTACCAGAAGCTAGTCCAGTGGATTCTAAGTCCCCTAATCCGTCGATGAAGAACAAGTCTTCTGCGCAGACTACACCGAAAAGAAAGCGACCTGTTGATCCGGTGGCCTCTCTGAATGCTTCCATCAAAGCGAAATCGCAGTTAAGAACGCAGGACGGAAAATTTGCCAAGAATCCCAATAAGGATCAGTCACCTGTGAAGTCCTCGGATACCAAGTCTCCTGTTCTTGGGCGGCAGCTGTCGAAGGAGAAGTTAAACGAAACTAATCCGGAGTCGACTGGTACCAGATCCAAACTGAGAACGGTATCTAGGAACAGAAATAATGATCAACCTCCTAAAAGAACCACCAGGTTGTCCTCTGACAGCGACAAGATGCCCACTTTGGAGCCCGCTACTCAAATTCCCGCCAATAACGATGACTACACAGAAGCGACTAATGATCTTCCCATTTTATCTCCAGTCACTCCAGCCTCCAGTTCAGAAAAGATATCCCGTGGCAAAAACCTGGCTGGCAAGGCGGCTGCCAAGAAGTTGAACGAAACTGAAGAAACGGAGGGTAAAGGGGAGGCTATTGGTGTTGTCCCAGAAGAAAATAAAGAGCAGAAACCAACAAAGGGCAGGAGAGCGAAAAGCAGTTTGGAAAAGAATATTGCTAAGGCTGAAGCTTCAAAAGATGGAGTCAAGGGAGTAGTTAAGGAAAAATTGAAGAGAAGAAGCGCTCCTGCTAAAATGTTGACCGTCGATGAGAAGAAAACAGCGGCAAAGGTTGAAGAGACAAGTACTAAAAAGGAAGTGAAGCAAAAGAAAGAGGAAGGAACAATAAAACCACTGGACACCAGAAGCAACTCCAAGACAAAAACGGAAAAAGCTGATGTTGAGGATACAATGAAGATAGCAAACGTTCCTTTCGAGGTGAAGAAACTGATAGGAGATAACAAAGAGGATTTGCTGAATAAGTTGGTCCTTCCCTCCCTGACAACCACACCTAAACGATGTTTGAGGCAGTCTATGCCGAAGATGAAGACTGGACCGGGCAAGGGCAAGATGCGTAGGGATGCCCAGCAAGAATTGGAGAAGAAAGCGGATTCAGGGTCGATGTCGGATGCTTCCACGAAGAAAGAGAAGCTTGAGGTTCGGAGGAAGTCTTTGAGGAGTATTGAGAGGAAGTCAGAGAGCAAGACTGTAAAGTATGACAAAGAAGAGGCGAACAAAATCTGCGAAGCTGTGAACGAGGTTAAAGCAGCCGTTAGGAGCAGGAGGAGCAGTAGTTTGTCCAACGATAGTAAATCGACAATGAACACCGCGCCTTCAGATAATCAAATTAAGGATGCTGAAGTAACCGCCCAGAGTATCGACAAGAGGCAGACTAGGGGTTCACTGGTGAACTTCAGCGAGGAGCAAAATGAACCCAGTGAGGTGCCCCAGAAGAAAACTTACACAGGGAAAAGGAGAGGTCGTGTTAAATCCAACATTGATGCATCTGAGAAAAAGACTGAAGCACCTCTGAAGAACGAGGAAGCTGGTAAGAGTTCAAATGAATCTACCTGTCCTAATCAAAATGAAGTAAACTCTAATAACAAAGATGATGCACAATCTGAAGAGAATGTTGCCAAGCAGAAGGATGTGGAGGCTAAAGAGGAGTCACAGAAATGTGATGTTTCAGAAACTAAGAGGACAGGCAAGCTGAATCTCAATGTGAACCATCTACAGGAAACCAGTAATTCTGTTGACAGTGGAAAGGAGAACTCGTTGGAGACATCAGCACCTGTTCAGAAGACGAAGGTTGGAAGACCTAGGAAGTCCTGGGGAGCCAAACGTGAGAGGATCTCGAAGAGGTCTTTGAATAATGTGATTGGTATTCTCACAGAGGGCGTGAACATTCCTGCAGAGACACAACAAACTATGGCTCCCCAGCCAATAGACACTGTAAGCCCTGAAGAAACCTCAAATAACAACGTCCAACCCGGTGATGATTCTAAAACATTAAGCGCAGATAAATCTGACAAAATTGCTGAAGATTCAGAGTCCAAGAGTAATGTTCAACAGTCCACTGATGATTCTAGCTTATTAAGTGCAGGTACATCTGACAAGATAGATGAAGATTCACAGAAACAAACCACTGAAGAAGTAGATATTCTTGTTAAGAGTTCTGAACCAGAATCACCTCCTGAAACTTCACAGACATCTGAGAAGGAGTCTGTACAGAGCACTTCTGTGGAGAATCAGAAAGAAGTTTCTGCTAAAGACACTAGGGGACAGTTACCAACTGACGACATAATCTTGGATTTATCCAGGAGGAAACAAAAAGGTAAAGGTTCATTTTTGGAGAAGATTGTTTCGAAGATAGCCAAACAGAAAGATGCTCTACTGGAAGGTGAGGTGGGTTCTCTATTAGACACAGCTGCCGACGAGTTGACGAGCATTCTTGACGAGGTTGGCCCTACATTATTGTCAGAGAATGCCAAGGCTGAAGCAGAGCAAAAGCTGCAAGGAAGAGAAAAGGAAGCTAAGAAAAAATCTGATGACAATTCCAATTCTATCAACATTGAAGGTATCAAAAAAGATGCTACTTTGAAACAGACTGAAGAGAAACAGATTAACGATGAAATTGTTTCAGAAAATAAAATCATCGATACATGTGCCGAACCGGCACTGTCGAGTGCAGAACCTTCACAACTTTCGTCGGAGACACCTGTTGAAGATAAATCTGAAGAAAAGAAAGTTGAAAGTTTGCCAAATACAAACACTTTAGCTGATGATCAAAAGGGTAACGATGATGAGGTGACTAATGTAGAAAGCACCGAACAAGTCCCACCAGAAGAGGCATGTGAAGCTGAAATACCGAAGGTTGAGGACTCTAACAAAGACCCTAAAGTTTTGTTAGAGCCTGAAAATGAAGTGACTGACAATAAAGAGTCTGATGCAGACGAAGCTAAAACAACTGATCAGAAATCAAACGAAAGTCAAGGTCTTAACGAGAAGATGCCCAAGATTCGTAAGAAGGAAGGCTATCGAAAGACCAAAGGTAAGAAGGCTGCTGTGAAGGGTAACGCTGATTTGAATAGTGAGAGCAGAGACAGTGAGAATGAGGATAAAACCGAGATGCAGAGCAAGAGTAAAATCGTGAAGACCGTGTTTGGTCGAGTTCTGACTGCTGAAAAGACGGACAAAGCAAAGGAGATAACCGATTCAGTGTCCAAAGAAGAGAGCGACTCAAAATCTGATTTTACATCCACCAATGAAACTATTCAAGAAACCTCTCAGAAAGACGAAGACAAAACCAAGAAACCTTTAGTCACTTCACCTGCACCTGTTGTAAAAAAGAGACCTGGAAGAAAGCCTAAAGATACTTCCATCGACAAAACTGTTGTAACAAATCCAGTGTCTGAAAGTCAAGAAGAACTTCGCTCCAAGCTTCCAAGATCAAGGAACAGCTCAGGTAATCGCAAGAAGGGCGAACAAGACTCTTCCAATTGTTACTTCCTGGCTGTGCCACCGAACAGAAGCAGACAGAGCAAGAAAATAGCTGAGGAGAGAATCTGTAGGTCTCTCTACCCAGGGATTGAACCTAGGGAAACTAACTACGAGTTGCGAAGTCAAAGTAAGTCTGATTTAAGCATCAAGGACAGTGACTATGGATCATTCAGTAACGATGAGGAGTTCGCGAAGATGATGTCCTTACAAGATTCTCTTGAAGATCAGAAGCTGATGAAGGATGAAAAGGATGCTGTGCACGAAAAGACATCTCTAGAAGAACCTGTTAAGGAAATATGTGATGTGGAGAATAAAAAGGTAGCAGAAGATGAAGTAAAAAGTTCTGATAAAAATGTTTCTCACCAGGAGGTTGAACCTAGTCATCCTGAATGTGAAGAGAACTTGGAGGTTCAGAAAGAAACAAATATCTGTGATGCAATTGTTGAAGAATCTGTCTGCACAGAACCAAGTTCTGTTGCAAACGAAGTACCAAGTGTTCAAAATATTTCAGAAGAGAAGAATCAGGAGGCATCTGAAGAAACAAAGGTTAAAAGGAAATCTAAGAAGCGATCGCTAGAAGGAAGTTCGCCGAAGAAGAATAAAAGGAAGTCCGTGGAGCCTGTGGACAATACCGAGGAGGATTTGATTCCTGAAGACCTGGATTTGACGGACATCATGGAGCTGATCGATAAATCAAAGCAAGTGCCTTCTACCAAAGAAAATTTTTATGACGATTTGTCTGTGGAAGAACGAATTCAGTGCGGTAAAAGGAAGACTATCAGCGAAGATTCGGAGTTGAAAGATTCAGGCAGTAAAATGACTCTCAGCGCTCAAGTAGCTGAAGAGTCTATTGAAACCGTAAAAAAGCGTAAAGTGGACCCAGAAGAGAACATTGAGGGCAAAACGACAGATAAAAAGGGCGATGTTGGTATTGAAATGAACAGCGCTGAAGATTCTGTTGAAACAACTGTTAAAGATAGGGTAAACGACGAAGATAAATGTCCTTCGCCGTTAAAAATTGTTGGAAAAAGGAAATCGCTTGTTGAAACCGTGGACCTTTGTGAAAAATCTGTGTCGCCAGTTAGGAGGACCTCGAAGAGGAGGTCAATTCACGAAGAAAAGGTAAATCAGCCTTCGAAAGAAGACACGCAGAAATCGGAGTTTGTTGAAGCAACAGATTCTGTTGAGGCGTCCGAGATAACAAGGAGAAGGTCTTCCAGAACAAAATCTGTGAGTCAGTTGAGAAACGAAGAAGCAATCGAAGGTGATTTTATTATTAATGTTGATGTTGAAAGTTCAGTAGAGAAGTGTCAGCCTTTAACAAATGAAACCTTGAATATTACAGAAGAATCAAAAGTATTTGCAGAAGGGCCTACTTTGGAGAGCACTGAAAATCAAAAGCAAAGTGAACAAGACTCCAACCAGAATCTTCCAAACACTAACTTGACGGAGGCAGAAAATCCTGTACAACCTCCCATTAAAATAGCCAAAAAGCGAGGAAGAAAGAAGAAAATCCTCACTAATGTCCCAACTGATAATGCAGAGATTTGTCAGTTGAAAACTAAAACTGTGGATGCGTCCACCGTAGACCCAATTCCTAGGAGATCTTTAAGAACCAATCGACCCAACGAAGAACCTGAAGAGCAGAATAAAAATTCCAACGACTTGACTAAATCACATGCTGCATCTCCCAGCCTGGAACCGTTTAAAGTTCCAGAAGTTACAGAGGTGTTACAGCACACCAAGAAGAGGACGTACAAAAGGAGATCAACGACCGAGGAACACGTGGATGTCCTGAGCAATGCATCACCTGTGGAATCTGAAGTGAACAGCATAAAATGTCCAGACACAAAGAGCCTTGAAAAGGAAGAACAGCCACTTTGCCAGAAAGACACGTCGGAGAGTCGACAACGATCTTCCAGAAGCTTCCATCAGTTAGGTCTGGAGAGATCAAGCTCTTCAGGATCCATTGATCTAATTCAGACGAGTAGAACCCGGTCGTCCAAGAGGAAGCAGCTCTCTTCCGAGGACCTGTCGAGTCAGGAGAGCTTCAACCAACGAACGGAGAGCCTGGATAATCTGTCAGAAACTTCCTGTACGAGTGAGTCCAGCTACTTCAGGAAGAAACGGTTCTCGAAGAAGAAGGTGTTCCAGGAACCTTCAGAGGATGTTCAGACAGACACTTCTATCACGGACTCGGAATCTATGGACACGGAAAAGACCACTGACAGGAGGCAGAGTTTAAGGAGAAAGGCAAAGGAGAACATATCGTTTGAGGACACTGCATTCGACCTGGTTGACTATTTCGACCTTCCGATGGACATACAGGACTGTGTATCACAAGAAGATGTTGTGGAGAATACTATTAGCCAAGAACCAGAACCAGAACTAGAACTGGAGCCAGAGCCAGATCCAAAGCCAGAGCTAGGACCGGAACCAGAAGTAGAACCTGAACCAGAAGCAGAACCAGAACCAGACTTGTCAGGTGCAGAGGAGCCACTTCACGAAGCTGCTACGGATATAGTTTCTGCCCAAGAACCTGAAGAAGCCAACGTAGATGAAGACAAAGAAGTAGAAGAGCCCAAGAAACCTGGAACTGAGGAAGAGGAGGAGGTGAAAGATGAGGAGAGAGATGACAAACTTGAGGAGCTTGCTCAGACACAAGATGACTTCCAGACACCCAAGAAGAGAGTTGCAGGGAACTTCGTGGTGGTTCACAAGAAAACTGGGGAGATCCTGATTGTTGAAAAGCGGAAGAAGCTGACGAAAGAGGCTGCCAGATTCTTCTGCGACGTATGTGCGACCAGCTTCACCAGGAAGAGCTCTTTGAAAAAACATAATCAATCTCAATCGCATTTGCTACAGGTAGCCAAGTTCCAGAAGGACAAATTGTCGGTGGACTACAAGGAGAGCTTGGAGGAAACCCGAAGCGTTAGCCAGAACGAAATTTCCAGCGACGAGAACAGAAGCACTACCGATGAAGTAAATGTTTCTGAAAAGTCGAAGAAGGATTCGAAGGATACCTTCTTAGATTCCTTGTACGATCAAAGTGATTTGAAATCCATTGAAGACGAGTCTAGTTATACAGGGACGGCGGAGCAGGAGTTCATGATGGACTCCCAGATCGCTCGACAGCGTATCCTGGAAGATGAGCTTCTGGATGAGGAGATATGTAAGATCACCGAAAATATGAGCCACGACGAGTACGTCCTTACCGACCACGTGAGTCCTGTACCCGAGTCCACGTCCACACCCATCAAAGTAGAGACTAAGACAGAGGAAGTTGGTAAGAAGAGAAAGCAGGAGAAGAAGAAGGGCAAGGTCAAGAAAAAGAATCTGGGTAACGAACAAATCACACTGGATGGTTCTGAAATAGAAAGTCCCATCGACTCTTCCATGATAAATTTTCTAGATACAAGTATGTCTATGAAAACTTCAAAGTCTGAGTTGGATGACAATGATATTGAAGGTGCTTTACTTGCAGATACTGTGGCTTGCTCTATTGCTGGAGAATGTGATTTCCAAGAAGATACTGAGGTATCTAGTCTGCAAGAAACCCAAGACATGGAGGATCCAGCAAAATTGAAGAAAGAGCAGGAGATAGAAAAACAGAAGATAAATTATGAATTGAACCTTGATATAGAAGGTGACAACTTCAATGATGCCACAACTACTTCAAACTATAAAGAAAGTCATCCCGAACGCTTGAGTCTGAAGCTCACCATAAATAAACGTAGCATAGAAAATTCTAAGGAACAGGATGCTCGGTTGGATGATCTGGTTATGATGGCTAAGGAAGAGGAGGACAAGTCTAAAAATCTCTTGGAGTCTTTTAATAATCCAATGAAGGAGATCAATCGTCTAGAATCTGAAATTGATCAGCTGGAGATGTACCTTGGATCATCTAAGAAAGTGGAGAGTAGAAGAAACACTGAAAGTGAAGAATACGATGCTTTTAAAATACGAAGTATTGAAGAAGACTTAGCCGATCAGAATCCTGCAGCTGATAATAAATTTGAAAATGAAAAGCAAAGTGGATCCGTGAAAGAAACACGACATGGCAGGCCGAGAAAAAGTAAAGGGAAGAAGCACCAGGAAGAGATCAAAGACTCTATTGATCCTCTTTCTCGTTCGGATAATGCAGTTACTAGAAAAAGATCTAAATCTAAAGATGATCAAAGTAAGCAGATATCAGAAACTATAAATAGTCAGAAATCAACAGACAATTCTAAGACCCTTGAATATAATGATGAGAACCCAGAGCTTTTATTGTATGACTCACAACTGGAAAGCAAGGATATTAAAGAGAACGATGCAATAAGTCCTTCAAGAGCAGAAGGACATGAATCTAATGAGCTAGAAATTACGGAAGACTTGAAATCTCTGGCAGAAGCTGTGTTAAAACAATCTACAGAGGATCAGCAGGCTATCGAAGAAACTGATTCTAGAAATAAAAGCAGCTTCCATTCCATAGATGATGAAACGTCATCTTCGTCGAGTCTGACACACAAACCTTTGGTACAGCTTTTACAGAGAACTGAAGACACTAAGGATCAAGCTAGTGAACAAGAACTTTTCATGGATTCAGATGACGAACTAAGGTCTGAGCAGAAGATAGAAGAGAAGGACGTTGAAACTAGCCCGGACACAGGCACCTTAATCGATGATCAAAAGAATACTGAGAAGGAAGTTATCGACAATGAACAAATGGAAGCTCAAATCACGTCGGAAGAAGAATGTGAAGCTGAAATACTGAAGATGGTAAATGAAGATTCCAATAAAGACATCAAAGTTTCGTTAGAAGTTGAAACCAACGAGGTACTTGATAAAGAGTCTGATACGAACGACGTGAAAACTGCGAATAATGACCAGAAATCAAACGACAGTGATTGTCAAAGTCCAAATGAGAAGGTTTCCAAGGCACGTAGGTTCTCCAACAAGGAAGGTCATCGAAGGTCCAAAGTTAAGAGGGCTCCTATAAAAAGCAGGATTGCAGATTTGACTAGTGAAAGCGAAGACAGCGAAAATGAAGATAAAATGGAGAACAAGAGTAAAATTGTGAAGAGCGTGTTTGGTAGAGTTTTTGGTGGTGAGAAGACGGACAAGGTGAAAGAAGTGCTAAATGATTGGGTATCCAAGTCTGAAGACGACTCGGACTTGTCAAGGTCTGACTTCAGATCCTCCAGTCCTAATGAAGCTAATGCTGAAGAAACCTTGGAGTCAAGAAACGATGATAGGAGCTCCAAGAGACATTCGATCTCGTCGTCTTCTAGCAGTAAGAAGAAATCTGGAAAGAAGTCTAAAGAAGGTTCTTCCTCTGACAGAACTAAAGAGAAGAATACAGTGTGTGAAAGTTCAGATAAACACATGAAATCAAAGAACGGTTCTAGTAATGACTATTATTTCCTGGTTTTACCGCCAAACAAAAGCAGACACAGTAAGAAGATTGCTGAAGAGAGAATCTCCAGAGCTTTCGATGGCGTTAGGATGTTTGAAGAGTTCCTAAGTGGTGATCAGAAGGAAACAAACTATGGATTGAGAAGTCAGAATAAGCCTGATTTGACCATCAAGGACAGTGGTTATGGATCGTTCAATTATGATGAGGACTCCTCAAAGATGGTTTGCTTAGAGGAACCTCTGGAAGAAGACCAAAAAATGATGAAGAAAAGGAAGTCATCCTCGTCTAGAACCAGTAAAAGCAAAAGTGATGGCGAGGACTGGAAGGACTTGGTGATGGAAATGACGTCATTGAAGAACTCTAAAGAACCAACCGATGAGGAGGACAATTCTATCAGGGATCTTGCTGAACAAGAACCTCTGTCTGCTGGTTTAAAATCTCGCAGTTGTAGTAGCCTAGCTCCCAGCAGTGTGAGAAATAGGTCACCAAGCATGGACAGGAACTCACAGAGTACCAGGGACTCTGATGAGGAAGATGAAGACATAGGTCGTGGAAGAATATCTCCACTGTTCGTTCGTGAAACACCTGGAAGCTCTATAGAAAGTAGTTCTAATAGCGAGAACGAGGATGAGGATGAAAATGTGGTGACTAATGAGATCATAATGAGGAAGAGGAGCTCCAGTGAATTTTCTGGGGAAAAGATTGTAATTAGATCGCCCTCTTCGACTCACAAAGGCGAAGTGGTTACCATTGCTCCTACTGATGCCATTGAAGACAACGCTTTAGATGTGCCTCAAGAAATAGAGACCGCAAAGCCTAGGCAGGGCAAGGTTTTGAATTTTGATGAAGAACTGTTTGTTGAATGCTGCTCCAGGTTAAAAGCAACCACTGAGAATGAGCTGAGAGGGGCTAAAAAGATTAAGTTAGATCACAATGAAGGTTATCATAGAAAGGATGATCAGCAACAAGGGCTGAGAGGTCCCAGGGATCGGTGGAGAGATGTTGAGAGTCAAAACAGTCTAGGAAGCCTGCTAGAATCCGTGAATCAGGTGAGTATTTGATCAGGATTGGTGATTTTCTGCATGCTTTCAAGAGTTCACAATCTTTTCTATATTTCTGTTGCAAGATATTAGAGCTGTGTGACAGAGAAGGTTCAGTTATGTCTGAAGCTTTGAATATAACTAATGTTAGATGATTATACGGATTTTAAGTGTTTAATCTTGTTTTTTATATTATTATTTAATGTAACAGTGGTATACGTTTATTTAAAAATGAAATTCGTGATGAAGTAGTAAAACATTGATGACAAAACATACATATACTTTTCTACTGATGCATTCCTTGCTTGCAGAATTGAGTTAACAAACCATACATTACTTCATTGATAACCACACTTTGCATGCTGTTGTTTTCTTTTGTTTTGCAATTTATGCGCTTAATTTTGTGATCTCACACTATGTACTGTACATTCTAACTACAAAACAAAAAACTTTCCAGCTCGCATCTGCAGATTTTCTTACTTTTTTATACATGCTCATGGAATTATTAACTGTAAGGGTGTTTCCTATACAATGATGTCTACTTCCATGAAATTGTATGCATTTGTTATTTCTGATATTTCTATTATTTTAAACAAAATGATACAAATAATTTTGTCCTCAGAAAATATCTGAATGAAACTATTCATTATTTCCAAATTGGTTATTTATTTGAGCACTATATTCCTTAACATCTTGTCCTATTAGTTTTACAAACTATGGTACAAAGCACCCTTACATAAGATTCCAAGAAGGGAATACTCTATACATTATTGTGGTAATGTTTGCAGGACCTATGAACCAGCTTTATACAGACAATGTCTCTCAGTATGCATGCAAAAGGTAGTTTTCTCATTCCTTCGACATTTCTTAGCGTGTATAGTAGTTATGAAACTTGTCTTACCTTCAAAACAATATTCAGTATCTTTGGCATCAGACTATTCTATAAGTTGCAGGTAACCAATGCTGAGCATCGCTAAACAATTCTGATTACTTTATTGGATTTCTTTCTACAATTCTTTCTTTAGAAAATACAAAAATTCAGCTTGTCTTATGTTATGGTAGAAAAGAATGTTCAGCTTGGCACTATTAACATTTTCTCTTTCATTCATTTTAACCTTATTCACACCTGAACAGAAGATTTCTGATTTCGTTAGACCAAAAAGAAATGAATTTCCTTTTTCCTAGAACAAAAAAAATTTATTACAGTCAGTAGACTTAATGCTATTAGTTAACGTGTCCCTGAAAATATGTTGAGCTACTCTAGATAACTGAAAGTAGTATTCAGCTTGAATCAACTAATACTCACAAGTTTTCTTGATTTCAGTTATTGGGTGAAGAGATGTACAGCACCAAGGAAAGAGATTACCCTAAGAGAAGTAGTAGAAGTTTAAGAAGCGAACACTCAAGTAGATCAGCCAGTCCAGACATGTCCAGAGCTGACAATCTGGGCTACGAAGACAGTCTGGATGTTGCATTTGAACACAACAACAAGCTCAGGGATAAAATTCAACAGCGTATGAGGGAGAGTGAAAACCTGATTGCCAGCACCTTTGGAAAAAGCAGTAATGACGTTGATAGCAAGAATGAAAATGATGAGCAAAATCTTCTGAGGAATTCCTACTCTCATCTACAAGAGCAAGAATACATATCCAACACAAGTTTATCTACCAGAAATTACAGTGATGCTTTGCACGTTAGAAATTCACAGGAACAACAGAGCACTGCAAAGATGAATTTAGACTCTGGATTTAAAAACAAGATGAATTCCTCCTTGGGAGGTCTACTGGATAAAGCATTATCAAACTTACTGCACAGCAATGGAAAACATGATCACAAGTGAGTAATGTTATACTCAGCTTTTCTTTGTTATGAATGGAATAACCAAATATTGATACAAGCCTTTCATATTGATTTTTCATTCAGCCAATCAGTAGCTCATATTATAGATTTCAACTATGTTCACCAGCAGCCTTTATGTTCTTCATGAATATCGTAAAACAGCCAGTCCAAATGGTACAAACATTTTAACTCTTTCTGTATGTAATACGTAACGTTCTGTTCACAGTGGGTCCACGCCAATGAAGGTGTTAGCAGAACTAGCATGTGCTCGAGCACCAACATCTACAACTGGAGTCCCAGTCTCTCAAGAAGTAGTTCAACCTGCGAAAACCTTGGTGAGCAAGGAACCCGATCCTGATCCATGTCCCATGACTGCACCCAAGGATATTCAGAAGAAGCCTAGAAATCCCATCAAAGAATTGTTCGAAAGGAAAAAGGAGATGAACGAAAGAAAACAACAAGAGAAATCAAAGACAGAGGCTGCCCTTCGAGAATTAAACGTACACCGACAACGCAAGACCAAGAAAGTGAAAAAGCACCAGAACTTCCCTCTGATTCGTCGTGGTGAACAAGGAGGAGGCTTGGTCGAAAAGAAGAAACGCCGTGACGGTTTCGACAAGAAAGATGAATTCTCTTCAAATAGGATAAAAGATATTTACGACTTCGACGAAGAAGAGAGTCAAATGGGACCGAATCTGGGTACCGTAATGTCTTACAGGAGTAGGCCAGGCTACGAAGTTAGCTGTCTGAGAACTAAGGACGTCGACGTAGCAGGATTAATGTCCAAGGCCATTGGTGATAGCTTGGAGAATGGAAAAACTGGCGATGCGTTGAGTAGCAGATTGGAATCCATGATCGATAGAAAGTTTAAAGAACTAGAGAAGTTTGCCCCGAAGACCAAGGGCGCACTGAAGTCCTTCCAAAGTGAGGATCAACGGCAAATTACTGGACCAATGGACGAGTTCGTAGAGAGGAAGCAAATAAAGTCCAAACGACCTGTAGAGCAACCCCTGAAACATTCGAAGCTGAAGAAACGCAATAAGAACCCTAAGAAGAAGAACAGAAACGCCTGGTACGAGAATGACAGCTCTGACGAGTACAGAACTAGCGCGGTAAAAGCGGACGATATCGGTGTAGGGATCTCGAAGAGCCAGAGAACTTGTTCCAAAGGAAAACAGAACATCTTCGCGGAACTGTACACTTCATCAGAAAGCGAGTTCGAGCATGAAGGAGTAAATTACGAGTCGAAGAAACAACGAAGAGTGAAGAAGGGTACGAAGAAGACCGTAGAATCGGAGACTCCTAAACTGAGCCAAGAAGTGGTCAGTAAGTATTCCTCTGAGAACGAAGAGCAGGTAGACGAGTGGAGAAGTCAGGATTTGAAGAATGATGCTGCCAAGGAGTCCGATAATAAAAAGTCTGAGTCAGAAATGTCTGATCATCCTCTAGTAATTGATGAGAGAAAGGAAGTGGATGATCAGAGGAACAGCGACGAAGAAACTGAGACCCAATACGAGAGGAACTATGAAATGGACGATCTGTACAGAGAAGACAGTTCCGTAATTGATTCAGATATTGAAGACTCGGTAGCTACGGAAGCCCAGAGTGTTCCAGAGGAGTCCAGAACCAAGGGTTCAGTTTCATTACAGGAAAAAGCTAATGGCAAGACAAACTGCATGCCAGAGAATGAACTGATCCCACTGGAAGAAGCCCTGGACTTGTTGGATCGGGCTAACAACGAGACGCCTCTGGAAAAATACAGCAATGGCAGTAAAAGCGTGAAGTCTTCGGAACATGTTGATCCAGTAATAACAGATCTTGATGTCAGTGAGACGTTTAATCCTGTTGAAGAAACAGCAGTGAAGTCTCCCAGTCCTGTGGATGAGCAGGAGCAGGAACAGGAAGAGGAACCTGACAATGACCTTCTGTCTTTGCCAGAGAAGCTGTCCAGCAACGAGAAACCTCAGAAGGAGTCTGATAATCTTCCACTCCATGTATTCCTCAGCAGAAAGGTGCAGGAGTCGAAGAAAAGAAAGGAGGAGCAGCTGAAGAAAATGCAGGAAGAACAGGAAAGAATTCTCATGGATTTCCAACCAACCAGAAGGCAGAGAAAGTGTGCCATCGGTAAACAAGGACTGCTGGCAGAGATAAGTAGCTCGGATGAAGAAATGAGTCCAAGAGATAGAAAGAGCAGTGATAAATTGGATCACGATAAACCGCGTAAACAAAAACGGGAGTCAAAGGAGAAGCGAAAAGAGAGGTATATCGAGAAAAAACACGAACAGATGATAGCCAAAGAGCAGAAGGCTATCGAAGAAGAAATCTTGCGCGAACTTGGTAAGAAGAAAGATTCCCTTGCTCAGAATACTCAAAACGCAAATGATACGCATGACGCCGAGAACACGGAACTGGTGGACGATAAAGGTGACCAGGAAGTATCACAGAAGAAGAAGCATCAAACGAAAGAGAAGCAGAAGAAATCAAACAAAGTAGATGAAGACATCTATGCTAAAAATAATATTGAAGGTCCAGATGACTCTGAGGGTAATTATAACGAGTCTGCACCAACAGAGAACAACCAGGAAGAAGAGCGCAATCAAGAGTTCCCTGTGAAGCAGAAGAAACATTCGAAGTCTCCATCTAAACCAAAGAAGACTTCTAAAGGTGACACGAAGGTCGCAACCAGTAAAAAGACGAAGAATGCAAACTCTGACAAGTCGAAGAATCGGACAGACTCGAAAGGACCAAAGGACAAGGAACGTAGAACGTCCAATGGTAAACACGACTCTGATGATGAAGAACTGAAAACGACAAAATCTTGGAATAAAGTTGAAGAAGGAGTTGGAGTAGCTATTGGTCGACGAAAACGAGCTGCTGCCAATCAATTATACTACTGGTCCAGTTCAAGCGACGAAGAAGAAATGCTCGAAGTGGTCCCTGTGGTTGAGGAAGAAGAGGATGATCGCCAAGAACAACACGGCTGGATCGTTGGTGATTCCCATAAGAGGATGATCACCATGCTTGCCATGGAGAAGCAACTAAAAGAGAAACGACGAAGAAGCGAAGACGAGTTTGAGCCCAGCAGAGCAAAAAGCAAGAAACACAGAAACAGTACCTCTTGATACGTATTTCATGACTAGGTTCGTTGAAGTGACTATAAACATATTAAAAAATTTACTCTTTTTCTTTTTCTTCCTAGGAACAATAACTTTCATTGATTAAGTTCCTTATAGTGATTTGGGACACTCTAAGGAATATACAGTTCCTTTTTCCAAGTCAAAAGGTGTAGTTGAATGACACATAGAGTTATACCGTAAGGACTACAATCCTTAATACATGTATTTTATAAGTGAGTTCATCGACAAACAGACAAATGTGACTGGATTACTGTTGATAATATTTAGAGAAGCATACGTACTAAGAAGTGGATAAAGGAGGAACAAAGCGAACTGAAAAGTCCAGTAACAGCAACTTTTGATACGTATTTGACGAATAGGTTTTCTGAGCATTGTCTTTTTTCTAAAATCAGGACTGGATTTCTTAATGCACACACAAAATGATTATGGACAAACGATTAGAAGACTTTCATAACCAAAAGTAGCATAACTGGATCTTTTGATACTAGTCTTAGACTCATGGAAACGAACGAAGGAATTAGATTCAATAAAGTAGCTAAACGAATGCTGTTCCTTCGATGGATAGTAATATAAGTCTGAATCAGCAGTTTTTTGCTGATAGGGACAGCGACAAAGGAATAGTTTATATAACCATTTCATCTGTTGGAACGGGTGTGAAATATGTGTTTAAGGTTGAAGAAATTAGTGCAAAGATCATATCGTATAGTGATCAGAACTAATTGTTCAATATTTTCCTTTGTGTTCTTTTTCGAGAATTTAGTTCTTCGTCTCTTATGTTTAATTAATTTGGGTTATTGATTTGTAGAAACGTTGTTGAAGCGCTCTCATGATTTATTTGTTTAACTAAACGACGAATGTAACTGCCAGAATAAATCCAAAATTTTTTTTACGTTGTTTAATTGAACATTTGAGGTATGCGTCGAATTTTGAAGTGACAAAGAACGCCACATGTTGTGATCAAATTGTATAAGAAGAAAATGGCAAAAACCATGTACATAGCAGCTTAGCAAAAAAAGAAATGGCTAGCTCGTATAACGTTAAGGATATAATAATTCCAAGCCCTTATAAATATTATAAATATAATCTATCTTAGACTGAATGTGAGGAATAGTGGACATTACAAGAAACAAATATAAAAAAGAGCACCTTTAGACAATACTAGGACATTTAATACGTTTTAGTTAACGTAGTGGATCTTTAGGTGACTTGAAAAAAAAAGAAAAAAATGAAAGATGAAAACAGCTAATTTAGTTTTTGTGAAAGGACGATGTAAACTGGGGTCCAATCGAGTAGCGTGCTTTCGCCGGCTTTTTGTGATTCGTACATATCGCGATAATTTAACAAACAAATTGCCGGTTGTTTTCGTAATCCGGCAGGTTTTACAGAAAAATTTTCTGATTCAAAATCTACTTTCAAGGCGTTTTAGTCGTGTAACATGTAATGAAACCTATTTTTCGTTCAATGCGTTCGAATTTTTCCTAGATCTCATGTTGCGGCATTAAATGAATGCCACGTATTTAAGGATGAAGCTTGTAATAAATAATAAACGCGAAGGAGCGATAGAAACTTTCCTTTCTTACGCTTAGTTGATGCACATAATTCTAAGTAGATTTTCATTTATATATATACATATATATATATTATAAATAAATGAGTATATATATAAATATGAACAGAAATATAAGAAAATAATTGAATGTATAACAGGAAACGATTAAAAAAATATATATATGTAAGGAAATAGACTTTAATGTAAATGTACTGCCATAATCATATTATTATATATGAGAGCCTATGCGAATAGTTATATTAATATTATTCCTGTAAAAACGAACAACCAGAATGACAGCGATAACAAGATAGTTAGCACAAAACTAGGCAACAATCCAATGTAAATAGAGCATATTTTCAATGTGTCTGGAAAAGTATGTTTTGTAATATAAGGATTACAAAGGAAAATAAAATTATTAAAGAATCATTGATGATGTGTAGTCAATTTTAAAGTTGAAATATTCAAAGAAGCTTCTTCGCTGTAGCAAATTTGAATTGGATTGGAGTTCCTCTTTCATTATCTATATTCTTCCAAATTTTATTTAAGCATATACATAGGTGTAACTGATATTGTATAACAAGTTATATAAATGATTGATTTCAAATTCAAAATGTCACCCTAGTTACATTATCGAGGTTGGCTGCAATTTATAACCAAATACTTGTCAATGACATGCAGAAAGTCCCTATCAATTTTCGCGCATGTGCTTTTGTAAAACATTGCCAATTTTTACAGTGCTTCGCAATGACCATTAGATCTGGTAGAATAGGTTTGAACAATATAAAAGTATGAATTGTTAACAAAGTCGCTGTATTTCATTGAGTTTTAGAACTATTTTACAACATTAATTTTATATATAATATATACATTACACTGAAAAAGTATCAATATCGTTTTTCAAAATCCGCTGGTGAACAGTATACTCCAAAATGAAGCAAGTTATTTGTAGGAAAATAGGGTAAGATTCGTTTGTGTTAAATTAAAAGACCCCTAACTTTTTATAAAATAACCGTACAGATTAAATTCCACAACATTCTGTTAATAAATGTTTGTGGGTCAATCTTTTCAAGTTTTAGGTTATGTTTTAATATCAATTATTTATATATTTAAACATGTCATTTCTTTTTACTGACATTTTATATTCTTGTAATATATTATTGGTGTATCTAATTATTTATTTCTATATATAATTGCACATTTTACAAATATACATGCACATTTTATCGCTTGCATAACTGTAAAACATTAAGTATTTGCTTTTACAGAGATAGAATTATACTAGTTTCAAAGACGTCCCGATGTCCTGTACCCATTGTCAGTATGAGAAATTTAACATCAGGTAGAATCAACAGAATATATCGACCGTTATTAGCATCACCACACATACGTTATTTTGGAAATCCCAATCGTGCATATGCCATGTTCATTGGAAGAGTTCTAAGAGGAGCATTAAAAGTTCGATACCTATTGTTGGGAAGTGCAGTTGGTGGTGGAGTAACTTTACAAAAAGTAACAAAGCAGACAATATAAATATTAATGTGTTTGTTACCATGTTAATCCATATGTTATGAGATAACATGGCAGCAAACATATCAAACTCTTTAATATATACAAGATATACATTTATATTCTTATTTTTTTTCTTTTCTTTTCAAAGAAATATGAAGAGTTGAAAGAGTTTTTACCTGACATGAGCTGGTTAGATGAAATGTTTCCTGATTCAGAAAAATGGAAAAATATTCGTACATCTCTTATGTCTGCTAAGGGTATTGTAGCAGACAAAATTGAACTTGGTGAGTATTCATATTTTAAGTAAGCAAATGTATGAAAACGTGAGGCAAAAGAATTAGAGACATGAAAACTAAACAAACACAAACAGATCCACGCATAAAGGAGTTTGGAGAAGCTAAGTATAGACAATACAGGGAATGGTTTAATAAGAGACTGGATGATGCTATTAAGGCAGCTAATAGTAACCAGATTGAACCAGACATGGATTTTCCTTCTAATAGTGAGTTGAATAGCCTTTTTTTTTCTTTTTATATTATCATGTGCTAATTTAATTTTCAACCGCAGATAATTTTCCTTTTACCCATTCATTTTTTAATTTGCCTGACGTTTTCTTGATTTAGTTCAGCTTATTTACACATGTATAAAATAAAATTTTCTGTTTCAGTAAATGAATATTTTAAACCCTAATATTTTAACATTAATTTGTATTCGTTTTTGTGTGGTCATTAGTAGATGGAATTAGTCTGTTTTATTATGTTTTATAATAAAACAAAATAAAGTATATAATGTATATTTTATTTTTAAATGTATTGTGGTCTGTTCTGTTCAGGTATATTTGATACGATGTCAGCAATAGTATACCGACTTTATTCAGGTGTGTAAAAAGTAAATTTATTTGCATTTTATAGTCTGTCCATTCAGCATTTTTTTTTTCTCCTTTTTTTTTATTCATGATCTTTACACAATTCCAATGTTCAGTAATAGCTTGTACTTAACAAAAAGCAGAATAATCTTCTTCATAACAAATATGATGGTATTAAATATAAATACTGAATGGGACAGACCCGTTTTGTTATTTTTTTTGTTAAGTTTATTTTAGCTCGATGGATATTTTTTATTGGTGCTTTATAATTTAAAGAAAATAAAATGAAGTCAGCAAAGTGCCTTATAGCATAAGTTTCCTTATTTATAAATAGTTTTAATATATTACAATTTTAATATATTTTCAATAGAAGCAAAAGATCAAATAAGAAGCAATTCCGTAGCATTTGCTCGGCCGTTGATTGATGATAATGCTGAAGAGGAACGTAAGAAAGCTCGTATGTACATGTTAGTGTATTATGATCCACTTTTGTAATTTTCCTGAGACATATAATTAATAACATAATTTCGACCTTTTTTTAACGAAGAAACTTCGCAAGAAAGATTAAACGCTATGCAAGAAGAGGTGATGCAAATACAATTAAGATATCAGCGGGAGCTGGAAAGACTGGAGCGGGAAAATAAAGAACTCCGAAAACAGATGCTGTTACGTGGCAATCAAAAATTGAATAATAAAAAAATAAAAGTAATTATTATATTTTTAACACGATGTAAATACAAATCCTACCGTAATCTAATGTTACATCTTTTCCAGAAATCATTAATTGACATGTATAGCGATGTCCTAGATGAACTTAGCGATTATGATAGCACCTATTCTACTACTGATCATTTACCACGAGTAGTAGTAGTCGGTGACCAAAGTTCCGGTAAAACATCTGTCCTAGAAATGATTGCGCAAGCAAGGATATTTCCAAGGTATACCAGATAATTTTTCTTAAAAAATCTTTTTGTATTTCCTGTCATTAATTAATTTTATTGCAGAGGTGGTGGTGAAATGATGACCAGAGCTCCAGTTAAAGTGACTTTAAGCGAAGGTCCTTATCATATAGCTCAGTTTAAAGACAGTTCAAGAGAATTTGATTTGACAAAAGAGTCAGAACTAGCTGAGTTAAGACGCGAGGTAGAATTACGTATGAAGAATAGTGTTAAAAATGGGAAGACAGTTAGTCAAGACGTGATTTCAATGACAGTAAAAGGACCAGGTCTTCAGCGTATGGTTCTTGTCGATCTACCCGGTATAATTAGCGTAAGTAATTATTAACTTCCATTTAAAACATACTATATTGAAATTCAACGACAAGTTAAAATTGTTACTTTTTTAACAGACAGTCACAGTTGATATGGCAGAAGATACCAGAGACGCGATTCGTCAAATGACTCAACAGTATATGAGCAATCCTAACGCAATTATTCTTTGCATCCAAGACGGGTCTGTGGATGCTGAAAGAAGTAATGTGACGGATCTTGTTGCTCAAATGGATCCGTCTGGAAAACGAACCATTTTTGTTTTAACAAAAGTACAATATCAGTTACAAATATATTAATTTAATTATATTCGAAGAAATGAAGTAAAAAAAAATATATTATTGACAGGTGGATTTAGCGGAGGAAAATTTAGCAAATCCTGATCGTGTTCGCAAAATATTATCTGGCAAATTATTCCCTATGAAGGCTTTAGGCTACTTTGCTGTTGTTACTGGACGTGGCAAACAGGAGGATAGCATACAAGCAATTAAAGATTACGAGGAACAGTTCTTTCGTAATTCGAAACTTTTTAAGTATGTGTACACATATTGATTTAATACAATCTTGTTCTGTACAGCTCTTTTTATCGATTATTACTCACATTTATGGTTCTTGTACAGAGATGGCTTAGTAATGTCCGGACAAGTTACTACAAGAAATTTGAGTCTCGCTGTTGCGGAATGTTTTTGGAAAATGGTTCGTGAGACTGTAGAACAACAAGCAGATGCCTTCAAAGCGACTAGATTTAACCTTGAAACGGAATGGAAAAATAATTTCCCTAGGTAAATGATTTGACTGTTTATACCAAACTGTAATTTTATGCAACATGTACCTTGTCATCTTTATGTATCATATAGACTAAGGGAATTAGATCGGGATGAACTTTTCGAGAAAGCACGAGGTGAAATATTGGATGAAATTGTAAATTTATCTCAAGTCTCACCCAGGCACTGGGAAGAAACTTTGATGAATATAATCTGGGACAAAGTTAGTATGTACGTGTTTGAAAGTATTTACTTGCCTGCCGCTCAAAGTGGAAATCCAGGTATGTTACATAATATTGCTGTAAAATATTATTTTATGCGTGGAGATAATAATAATATCATTCAGGTACATTTAATACGACTGTTGACATAAAGCTTCGACAATGGGCTGAACAACAATTGCCAGCGCGAAGCGTTGAAATTGGCTGGGAATGTTTACAAAGGGAATTTAATCATTTCATGAATCAAGCAAAACTCAGTCCAGATCATGATGACATTTTTGATAATTTAAAAAATGCAGTAGTGGCTGAAGCCATGAGGCGACATTCGTGGGAAGAAAAAGTAAATTTGTTAAACATCTTATGGAATCATATTCTTACATGCATGAATATTAAGATACACAAATATACAGATATATTTTTCAGGCATCTGAGATGTTACGCGTCATTCAACTGAATACTTTGGAAGACAGAAGTGTAAATGATAAACGAGACTGGGATCAGGCTGTGCGTTTTCTAGAAACGTCTGTTAAGGATAAATTACAAAGCACTGAACAAATTTTAAAAGAAATGTTAGGACCAGGTCGCAAAGAACGATGGCTTTATTGGCACAGTCAAAATGAAGAGCAACAAAAACGCACAGCAGTAAAAAATGAGTTGGATAAAATTCTTTACGCAGACAAAGTAGGAAGAAACTTTTACATATATCGAAGCTTGAAAACAGAATATTTAACATTAAAATTTGTTTGTTAATAGAAACACGCACCTACACTCACGCAAGATGAAGTTACGACCGTTAGAAAGAACTTGCAACGGAATGGCCTAGAAATTGATAATGAATTTATTCGAGAAACGTGGCATCCAGTTTATAGGAGATTTTTCTTGCAACAAAGTTTGGCGAGGGCGTACGACTGTAAAAAAGGATATTATCTGTACCATACTGGTCACGAGACTGAAGTAAGTGAAATACGATTCAGCACTCTTAAAACAATAAGTCCACACTTAATTATTAACTTAAATAATTAAACAGATGGAATGCAACGATGTCGTCTTGTTTTGGAGGATTCAGCAGATGCTGAAGGTAACAGCCAATGCACTACGTCAACAAATCATGAATCGCGAAGCCCGTAGGCTAGATAAAGAAATAAAGGAAGTGTTGGAAGATTACAGCCAAGATAATGAAATTAAAAAGAAGTTATTGACTGGCCGACGAGTCACATTGGCTGAAGAACTTAGTGAGTATAGAAAATTTTTCGTTCTTACATGTGAAATTGTTTTACAACTGTTTAATTATGTTTTAGAACGTGTTAGACAAATTCAAGAGAAACTTGAAGAATTTATTCAGGCACTGAACAAGGAGAAATGAACGAAATTAGACTGAGAATTTAGGTATTCAAACAAAAAGGTGCACGCTATGTGATACTCGGTAGCCATGGTGGCTGATACGTGAATACTTAGGTATTATTTTTTTTCTTTTCATTGTCGAACGACGTGGTAGGGATGCTACTAATTAACAGTTTTTACGGGAAAACTGTAAACAGAAAAGTTTTATACAAAATGCGATTTGATCTTTAGTGCTGAAATTGTAACTAACAAATGCTATAGTCATTGTGCAATTTTTACCATTCATGAATTGCACATCTAGTACAGTTTTCGTGAAATTTTTGTGTAAACATAAATACAATATTCTTAGTGATTTAGCATAAATCATACCAAAGCAATGAATTGAAAAATTTACAGAATAACGCTTACACAATGATAGATTTTGAATGAATTGCGTGTATGATGATACATGAAATGTAGATATCTCAAATAAAATATGTATTTAATTCTTACATATATGTTTAATATAAATAGGTAAATAACGTTCATCACATTTTGTATATATATTTATGTAACTAATTTCTACATGCAGAACGAATGAAATGAACATACGTTTTGTATGATTAGCAATATGAAATATGGAAACAGAACATTAATATTCAATATCTGGAAATAACTTCTGATTAATAAAAATGCAATGAATATGAATCCTTTCTAAATTATTTTTTAAATATATCTTATTACAATTAACAAAATAAACGTACAAGGTTTAAAATGTGATAAAGAAAGTATAACAAAAGTTCCTCAACATCATAGAAGCCTATTGATATTTTTGTTTTAACGCTTTTTTTTTATTTTATAACTTTCACTGTCCTAGAAAGTATGTCGTTAACACTTGATAGAATCATTCGTTAAGTACTTATGAAATTGGAGTACATTTTTTGTACAAAAGTGGTAGGAGTTATTAAAATACGCAGTCTATGTCTAAGTTTCTTCCCATCGTACACAAAAATTTACAATGCGTTCCATTGAAATTTATTCCTGTCTTTCATCGATTCGTAATAATAGATAATTAATATATTCCACGTGTATCACAAAGTTACAAATAACGCGTTAGAAACATATTAAAAATATCATTTCCTTTGAGGGTTTTAATTGACAATATAAATTACTAGGACTACAGGTCTCTTCTAATTTGTTCTGACAAACACTAACTGTGACGTAAACTATATACTCCATCTTTGGTCCGAATATCTGTTAAAATATTAAATTACATACACCATTACGCAAAAATTTACAATATCTGACAAGCATTTATAAAATTTTATTAATCGAGTTAAGAAGATTTTGTCAACTTATTCATTGTTACTAATGATACACAAAATAAACAGTTTACATATATTATTTTTCCATTAACGTAACTAGAATTTTTGTCCGTGGCGAGTCAAGTCCCCTAACTTTACTAATAGTTTCAACGCACCACAGGTACGACCGAATGGCATTTAGAAATTTAGAGATTTGAAAATTTTTAAATTCCTAATATAAAACATATATGAGGTATCCCACCACCCATAGTCCTCACACTGTATAGAAAGGGCTAGGCCCACCATAGTCCCAATCTAGTTACGTCAATGTATGTCTCCAGAATAATCAACAGCTTTTATGAACGAGAAGTATATGTTGATATGATACGAACGTGTTGTGTAAATTAATACATTAACGGCACAAAACGGAAATACCCGTTTTACTCGACTATAATTATCATTTCCTATTTCTCATAGTTTTCGACGGTCGTTAATGTATTACAATTCTATTCTTCTTTTTTTGGAACATGTAAACTTCCTTCGTACATTTTATTATCAACGTAGTTGATATAAAATTAAATGTTAATGTACATTTGGCAGGAATGATTTTTTCCTCGCTATTTACGATATACTTAATAACAGATTTGGACAAAGTTCTAATAAATTTTTAAGCACTGGACGAGTAATTACGTAGGCGAAAAATACAATAGATAATATTTAAATTTATCTGAACAATGACTAAATCTCATGTATCTTTCTTTTTGGGGTCAATAACCAGCAGTAAATAACGCAATACGTTTATAAATAGGACTGCACCGATATATTGTTCTAAGTATAAACATCATATATATGTGTGTATATATGTTACAGTAAATATGTCAGTTTGCTAATAGTATACACTCATTAATCAATGTATCCGCATCTTAACTTGACAAGCGAATGTACTCACACAGAATAAAATTTAATCTTTTCCTAACGGAAGTATCAATTTATGCGAACATTTTTGCTCTTTATAAGTTGTGGATACAATGATTATACAGTATACGAATGTATATATTTACTAAATTGCAACTTTTACTGTAACATATACATATATAAACATACAGCAGTAGATAAAACTATAATATTAATATTTCACGTATTCGAAACATCAAAAGTATCGTAATTCATAAGACGATTTTCTAACAACCGGCTAATTTACAGTACTTTCTGGTCATCAATTCCTTCTAGACTTTCGATGTATCGAATACAGAAAATATTAAGTAGTCACAGTGTTATCTACTACTGTACATATACAATTATTTGGTAATACATCATTGGTAACACGGTACGGCGCAATTAGTCGCAAATAAAGGAGGAAAAAAGCGTTATCGTTAAATGAACGAGATGGACAACATGTGTCTCGTTCAAGTGACGTGTATCAAATCTCTTAATTCATTATGGCGCACATTGCATCGTCCCCCGTAATGAGCGCGTGTCGTTTAACAAACAGGACAATGAAAATTTGTACAATTTAGGGGGCCGAATGCTTGTTGCAAAATTAGATTTCTCTGCTTAGAAGGTAATACTAACGATACAGAGCAAATTCGGACAGTGTTCAAGACAAAAAGTGCTCTCTCGGTTAACATTCTTAATAATCAGAGTATTATTTTGATTACCACTCGGTTACGTTTTCACCGTGTTGGTAGTATCCTGCACGTCCGGAACGAGATCGACAGGAACATCGTTCTGATCGACTTCTGCTGTATTATAACCGGAAAAGGAACATGCTGGTGCACTTCTTGCCGTAGTTACAGACGCTTCCGGAAGAAGGGATGTACGCTCTGTCGCGCTTCCCCAGGTCTGTTGATAAGCGCTTCGACCACGTATCCTACGACTTAACGATGATCCTACTACTCCTAGATGTTCTTTGATATCGTTATGAACGTCTGAAACGTCCCACATAGCTCTGAAAATAAAAAAAAATCATATTTGGTATCTTTTTCAATTAAATAATTCATCTTTTAAAAAGAGAATTCTTTAGAAAAAGAATTTATAACTGAACGACGTGAAGAATTACCTGAATGCATCCCACCATGCTTGACCTTGAGCTAGATTTACAAAAGGTTTATACGAAAAGCTATAATGGTGAGCCACAGCAGCTAAGAACATTTCGATGCAAATTAAGAAATCTTGTAATTTTGACGATATATTTCTAATGTCTTCCATGTCATTTGTATTGAAGATACTCGATATGACATCAAAGTATACTAACAATGCAATAATTACACCTTGACTGCAAAATAAACAAATGGTTTTTTGAAAAATTAAGTTCATACACGTGAATTAACACTGATATATGCAATGGAACTTACAAGAAAGAGAAAAATACGACTGCTTTAATACATAAAAATTTGCCAATTGGTTTCATCGGTTTTAATGCCTCTGCGTTGGCACGGTAGAAAAGTACCAGGCAATACATAGCAACAAACTGTGATAAATTATTTAAAGCAATCATATATGGAAAAGCTACATCTGTTCTGAATTCACCTTCTCCATATACTCCATTCAGTTCACAGATACTAGAAACATAATTTGTTACAAGAAACTGTACAATCAGGCTTACACGAATTTCAAATTTATGTGACTAATTTATTATGAAAAAATTTTTTTATGCTTTTAAATATATTCAACTTGGGTTAATATATAATAAAAAGAATGTGAGCTTTGAGCTAATAATAAAGATTCTATTTAAAGAAAATAAAAAAAAGAAAAAAATATTCTATTCTAAAATCATTAATTGTTCATTTGTCCTGAATATGATGTCTTCTATTAAAAATTTCAACTTTTCATTTAAAAAATTTATAAATAAAGTTAAGTCGCAAAAAGCTGATTCTTCCCAATAGTATAAATAAACATCCAATCTCTGGAAAAGCAACATAAATAACTGTACCTTGCTGTTATGACTTTCAGTTTGAAAAATTTTGCACTATACTTACAAAGACATTAAAGTTGTTATAGGCCTAACAGCAGTGTACTGCAAAATCCCATGTTTGCACATATGTACAAATTCTCTCCCCATCTCCCAGTCAGGCAAACAACATAAAGGAAACATATGATGCACTTGAGGAGACATTTCAAGTCTATGTTCCAGCTGACGATCCGCGTCCAAATAGGCCAATAAATACATCATAAAATTGTATATTACGTATGCTTCATAGCACTCCCTTAGACTGTCCACATATATACTGCCTTCAGGGTATACCAGGCCAAGCCACTATAGGAAAAAACGTTTTGTATATGAAATCAAAATTCAGGTTTAGACATAATTTGAATCACAAGTAAAAGCGTATACTTACAGCATTTACTGCATAAATTGGTACCATCCATAATATTCTGAAATAAATTGTAAATAAATATTACATAATATGTTTTTACTATTCAAATGTTTTCAATGAAAATCAAAACAAAAATAGAACAGATACAGTTCAGTTTAGCTTTTACATTTATTTACTTAAGATTCTTAGCTACATTCTTAAATACCTCTGACCTTTAGCATATCAAAGATTAATTGATACAGTTTTTGACCTTGACCTTAAATGTCTAGTAGGAAAAAGTATGTATGTTTAATATATTATTTATAGCGACAAAGCTTGATCAAACATTATAACTTCATAACATTTCTTAGAACATTATATATTTTGCCTGCTATAAACCAATTTTATTTTTACTTTGTGTTAATGATGCAACTATTAACTTACCTTATAATATACTTCTGTAGTCTAGGTTGGGTATAATATATCATGTGTTGTACAATTTCATAAAAAGCAATAGGTAATGCAAGCAGTACAAATGCACCACCCACGAGTGCTCCTTGATCCTGCTTTTTGAAACCATTTTTAATGGAATTTGCCAACAGAATTGGTACCAGAATTATAATAAGGAGTGCATATAGACAAGTTAAAACTGGTAAAATCCATAGCCTCCAACGGCGACAAATAGAAGCCATCACTTCAAACGTTTTAAAATAATATCACATAATATGCATTTTCCAAAGAGTTCATGTGAACTAAAGAAAAAATATAAATATTAAATATACACAAGTACATACATATAGTTTTCAGGAAATTATAAAATTGAAAATTTTGAATTTTGAAAATCTAAAACAGAATAATGCAAATATTAAATATACATAGGGTGATACATTTGTTTAGGTTATAACAAACCTAACTTACTCCGTGATAAAATAGATAAATCAGTGTCAAAATGTTCTCAAATTCAATATTTTCATAGAACACAAGTAAAAGGTACAATTTACCCCTGGGTGCACTTATGGCTTCGTGATATTCGATATTAAAGACTATAACTTCGGGAACATAGTAAATGGCGTAGTGAAGCTTTAAAAAAAGTTATAACAACCTTGTCGGATATGATGAATCAACGGTGAACCAAATCAGCTGACAATGACAGTAAAAGGGGGGAAAGCCACCTCTTAACCCCCTCGACCTCAGTTATGCAGTAACCGCGTGGATATCAATTTCAGTGAATTTACATTGATTCCAGCTTGTCAAGAGTGTTATGAGTAGTTTCTTATCGATAAGGTAGTTAAAAATACGTTGACTAAATCAACCAAGATTGTCATGGGTTCAAAGGTTCTTTGGACGGTCCACAATATCCGCATGGTTCTCAAGTCGAAAAGTCTCTGTGTAATTGTAGGTTTATCATAAGGACTTTGAGACAAGATTGTATTTAACGTAGTACATGTTACGTGGTAGCAAAGAACTGCATAAATACAAATCCTATTTTGACATTTCGCGATAATCGAGTATTGAACGAACATGAACTCTGTTTCCGGAAGTTAAGCAATTCTCATATAATTCTAACCATAGAGGTAGGAGAACAGAGTACATGAACGACATAGCGATAAAAAGACTTAATGCAATGAGAAGTGCATCAATGATCTAGTGCTCATGCGTGAATAAACAGTCGATTTATAAGCATACGGTTTGTGCATTACATTCTTATATTTCTATGGTTTGTGGAAGATAAAGTCAAAACTTCAAAAAATGAATGTCTCGAAGTCGAAGTCGAATTCGAGACTTCAAAGGAAGTATTTGTACCGAATACTCATTCTATGCTTTTATGAAAACGAAAAAAGAAGAAGAAAACAATAAAAACTAATGGTAAAAGAAAAGGATTATTCTAAAGAATTTTATACGATGAGAAACTCTAGTGTTGTTTGAGGATTAATGTTGGTATCGATGAGAGATTCGCGTAGGTGGAAAAGGAAGGGTAACATCCGTTCTAATGGCGTCAAGACCCAAGCACTGTTGTCACATTTTGTCCTACAGTGTTTCAATATTTTGCTTTGTTTATGTCGCTCAAGTTTCCGGAAAAGGATTCAAAAAATTCGCTCGGAATTGCAAAGGTTGGTACAGAATGATGAGAGAAGGGCATTTTTTTCGCTAGGAGACGAATCAAATCGTGAGAGAAATTTTCTGAGAGCTCCGGGTGCAGTGACCTTGATTCCGCTGTCATCTCTAAACTAAACGAGCGCGCGAAATTTGAATGGAACTATAAATCTTATACTATTCATCATTGTTTGCTAATATTTTTTATTTACAGGCACAGATAGCTAGCTTTTACAGATGGAAAAGAAATAATCTCAGAAGAAATTTTCTCCCATCAGTAGCTAAAATAAGTAATTATGGAAGTTACAACGGAGGAGGCACAAGCAGTCCTGCTGGAGGGAATGGAGGGTGCACAGTATATTACTATTCAAAGGGCAGATGGAGAAACATTAGGCAAAACTGTGCCTCTTTTAACGTTAAATGGAGAATTAATCCCTGAGGGAATGGTAGTTGATATGATCAATGCTGGTGTTGGTACAGATTATGGTACAGCAACACAGTACTACGAAGCAGATGATTTATTACAGCATGAATTAACGGAGGTAATCTTTTAGCAGTTTATGCTCTTGCATGAAAAACTAAATTTGAATTTTCCAAACAGGAAGATCGTAGATTGGCAGCAGCTTTGGTTGCTGTTCAGTTGCAGCAACAGCAAAAACAACAGCAGCTTCATAGTCAGTCGCAACATGAAGAAACAGCCTTACCAGATGTTTCTCATTTAGAGACTTTAACACCTGTTAACACGTACTCTATCCAAACTGTACCAGAATCAAATACACCACCTGTATATCCCACTTTACAGCCTTTCAAACGAATCACGCATAATGTAAAGCAAGAGTTCATAAATGTTAAAAGTGAATATGACGTCGAAGTATCGGCGGAGAGTAGCGAAGATGCTACTCCAAGTTCTGGACCAAAAAGATCGTTACCGCATAAAAAGAGGATTCCCCGTAATTTCAAACAACAAACCAAGAGAAATTCAGCGAGAAAAGATAGTAATAGACTGAATTCAGATGGCATAAGTACTGAATCATCCACTGATACACAGTCTCATGTATTTAAATGTGAGCTATGTAGTTCTAAATTTAATAGTCAATTAAAATTTTTTGAACACCTTAAGGTAATTTTTACTACAATGTTTCTCACTATAATCACAGCAGTATTCTCAGATTTGTTGTTGTTGCAGGTGCACTATGAACCTGTAAAACAAGAAACAAGAACAGCACAAGCAACAAATACAAATATCACTATATCTGTGGCAGAAACTGCTCAAAATCTTGAGAACACAGTGATTGAAGAGTTTAGTGAGCCTGAGGATCTCATGGAAGGAATTAGAGGTGTTGGTAAGTAAGAAAAATGTTACTTGTTTTCAGTTTCATTGAAACTAACATTTCTGAAACATTTGTAGTGGAAGAAACAGGTGCTCAGATAGACGAAGATACGACAGAATCTCCATTATCCACTGTGAACGCTACACCACCGTTGTGGACAATTACCGATGTCACGGAGCATGTACATAGGGACCATGTAAAACCACCGACTGTCACTGAGCCAACGTTACACAACAAAGAAAAGACTGACATTCCACAAACAATGAAAAAGAAAAAAATACTGAAAACGCGGAAATCAAGTATGTTTACAAATATATAAGTTTTTGACATTGCTGTACATATTTAATCTATCTATGTTCATAGGTGATGAGCTAATGTGCTCCCAGTGCGATCGGACATTCCATCACAAAAATAGTTTAGTGTATCATATGCGATCTCACAGTGGGGAACGACCGCATCAATGCGAAGTTTGTGGAAAAAGCTTCTTTGCTCCCAGTGCATTAAAGGTAACATATCAAACAACAAAACCAATTCAAATATAAGTTTTGTACATCAACTAAGATCTTTAAAATGTAGGTACACAAACGGCTTCACAGCGGCGACAAGCCGTACAAATGCGAGGAATGCGGCCGACATTTTCGTCAGTGGGGAGATTTAAAGTATCATTCGACAAGTATTCATTCGGAACAAAAACAATATCAGTGTGAATACTGTGGTAAAGACTTTGCGCGAAAGTATTCGTTAATCGTTCACAGAAGAATACATACTGGAGAAAAGAACTACCGGTGTGAATTTTGTAATAAAACGTTCAGAGCAAGTAGTTATTTACAAAATCATCGTCGTATACATACAGGGGAGAAACCCCATCCGTGTACAGTGTGTGGAAAACGGTTCAGAGTGCGAAGCGATATGAAGAGGCACATGCACACGCATTCTAGAGGAAGGACTGAAAGACCTTTGAATAGAGTTATATCAGGGAAGAACATAGAAGACGAAAACGATAAGGGATCACAAGCAAAAACGATTCAGGATCTCGTCAGAGATTTGAAGTTAGAAGTGGAAGCAACAGGAGTGGTAGAGATTGTTCCACCGGATGATAATCCTGAAAGCATTTTACCACATGCAGGAGGACAAACTTTGGAATACACGGTAACAACCGCAACGGACACAAACTCAGATAGAGATCCATTAGAAGCGGTTGTCCGTACAACTGATAACATGTAAGTTAATTAAGTTTAAGCTTATTGTATACAAAATTAAGCAAAAGCTTACCTTTCTGTATTTTTTACAGGCAGTATTTCTTCATGTAACATCTGCTGGGAGAAAAACTGAAGTTTGTTTTTGTATTATAATAGATAAACAATTATGTGCAGTAATATGAAATTAGGACATTAAAGATCCATTGTACAAAGGTGGTGCTTTGTGGAAACGCTGGCCTTCGCTGTAAAATACTAAATTGAAGTGCTATATATTAACTGCACTGTCCATATAATGTGCATAGTGTACACTTGGGTGCAATGTAGGCTTCCTTATGATAAGGACTAGTGTAAAGAGCACTACATCACTATTTTTCTTAAGAAAGCCTACTATGCTTGCCACCGTACTTTCCAGTTTCTCTGCAAACTACTTTTTGAGGAAATATCGTGATGGATATAATGTTTAATACTGTTTTTAAGACTGTTTTTAGCAGAAAACTCGGTAAAGTACAAAACAGGAGTGAAATCCTAAAAACTATATCAATTTAATTACATACGCATGTGTAATATACACACGTACTTGCATATATATACATATATATATATATATATATATATATATATATATATATATATATATATATATATATATATATATATATATATATATATATATATATATATATATATATATATATATATATATATATATATATATATATATATATATATATATATATATATATATATATATATATATATATATATATATATATATATATATATATATATATATATATATATATATATATATATATATATATATATATATATATATATATATATATATATATATATATATATATATATATATATATATATATATATATATATATATATATATATATATATATATATATATATATATATATATATATATATATATATATATATATATATATATATATATATATATATATATATATATATATATATATATATATATATATATATATATATATACATATACGTATATATTGTACTTAAATTAGTTGTTTATATCGCGAATCGTCGTTGAAAAATATATTTTTTACATAATGACATTTATAGAAACATTGTGGTCCATTTTTATTGCATTCTCCATGAAAACGTTACATAATCGAAGGTACTGAAGTTGGTGCAGGCACCGTGTTACTTGTGTTAACGAAAATTTGTAAGAGTTGTGCCAGCTCTCTAGATTCAAGCGCTGCACTGAGCTTTTCCGCAGCGTCCTTGCTATTAATTCTGAAATGTATATAATGTACATATAAAGAGGTGCAATTTATTTAAAGTTTTTAATTTTTTAACAAGTGACTTCAAAATCGACTTTGATTTATAATATGCATAAACATAAGATAGAGATTAAGAAGTCTTTCAGGGATAATGCTATTTTGTGAAAGACGTTAACAAAATTTTGTGTCAATTAGTCTTTTTTATATTATAATGTATTATATTATATTATGTTCCTAACGAATTTTTTGTTATGATTTATATATTACACCATTGACAAATAAATGGCTAATATTTTTTATCGGAATTAGAGCATGAATATATTATTTTTTTTTTTACTGCAAAAATCCATTTGGGAAAATGTTTTAAATATAGATACTGAAAGTGTTCTGTACAAGAAAAAGTTGAAGTACAAAATTTTGTTAATTCACGTTACTGTGTCTTGTAAAGTAATAAATGAAAAGTAATTGTTAATAGCAATATATTGTCAATATATCATATTATTTGTTTATTGATGCATACCTTCGAGAACGTTTAGCTCTTTCCCAGTCGACATACAGATCTGTGATCACCGCTTGTAATCTTTCTAATATTTCACTGTCTTTCGCCATTTGTGATTTGATTTCTGTTTCTTTCTGTAACAACTCTTGATACTCTGAACACAAATTTTCTTTTGGATTTTCTTTCAGCTCCCATTCTTCAAGAACATTCAGAGTCTTTATTTTCATAGTTAATTCGTAAGCAGCGTTTAATCGTGGGAGAATCAATTCTAATACTTTGGATATGCTACCTTCTGCAACATCTGTGAAGAAATCAAACCTAAATCATGAATTGAATGAAGAACAAATTCTAGCTGAAAGTCATTGCATAAAAGTAAAAGTACCACAGAAGACATCTAATTTTATCTTTCTCTTTGTTGCTTCTCTTGTTAGTACATCTCTGAGAATTATGATGCTTGATATATTTTCTCCAAAGATAATGGCACTTCCTTTCCTGAAAGTGAAGCAAATGTTAAGTCCAACTAAACGCCGGAATCACATAATACTTACTTATATTTGCATTTTATAAATGTGCCAATAAAGGATGAAACATATGTCAGAATAGCTTCTCCTTCTACTAAATGAGGTCTTTCAGGTACATCGGGCAATGCAAGAGAAAGCCAAGCATGCATCTATATAATTAAAAATTAATAAAATATTATGGTGAGAAGAGACTTAGAAGATTTTAATTACCTCAGCAATGGTGAAGGTTCCAACTACTTTCAGTTCATTAAAAGGACCTCTTTCTTGAGGCTCTGTACCATCATCTTCGTGCAGCCTTACATGAAGAGATAGTGCACATATAGGAATTGATATTTTACGACAGCACTTTGGTTGTACCTACATGAAGAACAGTCTATAGTTTTAAGTCATAACTATATTAATGAAACATACCTGTGAAGTTACATAAATTTGTAAGGTACCAGACTGACCCTCAATAGTTCTCAGCCTCATTTCAAGGTGATTGGTATTTACCTTTAACATTATACTCATATTAATAATAAGAATGCTCATATTAATAACATTTCCTAATTTATACACTTACTTGACAACGATAGGTAGCAAGAATAAAATTGCCTTCTCTAGGATTACAGATTGAAAGACTAACAACTGCACTGTTACTCTCTACATCCAGCAGCTCAACTGGTGTGTCTGACTGTATTAAAATATTATCAATTGGTGTATCCAGTTCTACAGAAAGCGAGTATGATGCATCATCTCTGTTCAGAAGCATTCTGCAAGTTTTGGTATAGCATTACACAGGAAGAGATCTAATTATAATTTCATCAAATTCATACCTGTAATTTACTGATAAAATCAATGGTGTTAAGGGGTCGGCTGTGAAATTAGTTGTTTCCTTCTCCTCATTAAGCTTCTCCTGTAATTGTTGTATTTCTGCTTTCAGTTTTATCAAACCATCATTTTGATCAGCTTCCAACAATCCTGGTGGTCTAGTAGTCAAACCAAATATTCTTCCTGAGTATGTTGCGACTAATACTTCAGGATATCCTGCTGCTCCTATTGTTCCACCTACCACTGAACTTATGCTTTCACTGGCGTTCTGCAAGATAGTTACTTAATATTAATTATTCCTAATTAGGAGCACATGTAATGTACCTACGTAACGATATCGAAGGAAAGATGACGTGTCTTCTTCAGGGAAGGTATATACTTCAACAGTACCGTCTTGTCGCCCAATAAGTATGTCTAATCCGTCTTGCAATTCGTAGGTGTCTAAAGAAGTCACTTCTGATCCTGTCATGTTTAATATCCAAGTGATTCTCAGAGTCTTATTACTTTCAAGAATCAGCAACCCTACTTTGCCATCCATAGTTCCAACTAAAATATGTTCTTTAGATTCAATATCACGGTCCCTATAATTATGTTCAAACTATTTATAGAAGAAAAGTTTGAGATATAATAACATTGAATACCTGCACAAAGCTAATACTGTGGGTACACTTGGAAGTCGAAGAACTGCTGGGCTTTTTGTACCATGAAGAACTCGTATCTAGGAAGGATAAAGTTATAATTTGATAGCTGTTTTATAGAAGAAGATATGTATGCATTTGGATATTTACAGCACAGTCTCCACAAGCAATTATAGCATAAACGAAGGTGCCATCAGTAGGCAGGAGTACTACATCATATAAAATTTCACCAGCTAAATAAGAGTCAGCATCTTTGCAGTCATGGTATCTGTGATAAAGGTCTCTGGCACATGCTGCAAGATTTGGACCAAGCACATATCTTTAAATTTTTACACAATTCATTAACCAGCTTTATTCACGACACTCTTTATAGCAACATATTTTAAGCTTACAGGGATGTGATAGGGTCTATGAGATTTGTATCAAACTCCAAGAACAATTTTCCTTTCTTGGTGTAGCCCTTCACTGTATTTTCTTGGGCAATAAAAATCTTGTCACGAGTGGTACCACCAAGAACCAATTTATTAATTTTGGGTCCTGGTAAAGATTTAAATGATAGTTGCAACTCTCCTTTCTTCACACCTGGAAGTAGAAACGAAATCAGCACCAGTACATGAATGCAAACTTAAAATATGATTTTACCATAAACATAAAGTATTCCATCATGATCAGCAACGGCAAATTTCTGTGTCTGTCTATGTTCTGTTGCAGGAAAAACTTTCAGTGTACCTCGAGATGTAACACCCACAGTTGCATAATCAAACCTTGATAATGGCAAAGTCATTTTGGTTAGCAATGTTTAGCTGATGAAAAATAGATCTTTAGGTAATTTCTTTTGTAATTAGATTGTTAAACACGTGTCTCATTTATCATTCAGCTGGGCAACCGTTTACAGCTTGATTTCCAGTTATACTGGCTAGTAGTTTCAGCGCACGTGCAGGACAATCAATTTTACCATAGCGACAAATTACCACAACAAACTATTCTTTACCTACTGATGTAATTTTCAGGTGAAGATAAATCGTTAGATATAAAGGAAGATGAATAAGATATTAATAAACGAATGTTTCCCTTATTTTCTAAAGAAGAAATACTACATCAGAAGAAGAAGAACTATTAGTATTTTTAGGAGAAAATGGTATTCACTAAAAATATATTTATATATTTCAAAAATGAATTTATTCATCTCAATTGTTAATACAAAATCTTGAGTATTTTCTTGGTTCTTTTATAATACTTTACAATTATTAGTCAGGGCGGGTAACTTTTAATTTTATATACATTGTAAAGAAGAGTATGTAACTATACTCTTTTACAATACATAAGAGAAGTTCAGAGAATATTTTAAACAATAGTTTACATTTTCTATGTACTAGCAATACATGATTGCAAAGTGTTAGTATTCCATCAGTGTTCTTAAACTAAAATTAGCACTACACGTTAGTTCTTAGCTTCTACTTCATGTTTCAGAAAGGAATACGCTTTGACTGTATCAATTTATTTCTTTTTATTTTCTCCTATATCCATGTCCATTGGACACATCTAATTGAAGAATAAAATACATACTCTGGTCTAAGATCTTTTGTTACTTATAACTAGAATTTACACTGGCTGGAATATCAAATAAGTGCCACCATTTAATCATTTGTAATTTAACAAAATTTCATTCATTGTCAATGAACAAAATGGTAGATTATACAAGAGGGTGCTATTCAGCAATCATAGAACTGTTCTTAAACTCTGTCCATCCTATTTAATATCATTTTTTAAATCTGTATAAACTTTTCCAGTATCTCGTTAATATCCCAAACTATAACAAGCATGAAGAAAAGCTCTGTGGTCTCAATTAGCACCAACTTGCAATTTGAATAAGTGGGCCCGACACCAAGAGAAAGGGCCTCAATGATCCAGATGATAATTCAGCTAGTTAGCAACGAACGGAGGCAGAGAGACAGCACGGTGAATACTAACAATAAGAATCGCAAGACAAACGTGTAACATCGTTCAACCCTAGACTCGACACTACGTTTAATAGCCTGCGAAGTTACTGGACGGTCGAGAAACGTCGAAACGTGGATTCCCATCGTAGGAGACTTGTGCGCTGAAACCATGCTTCCAGTCAGCTGTATAACGAACGATTTGTAGCCTTCCATCCGGAAGCTGGACTCTGTACTCCCCGCGGACGATGTCGCCATCGCTTATGGCGTTGTGGGAGTAGTCGTTACCGAACGCGTCTTCCTTCACGGCGTAATTGAAGTCGAACGGCATTCCCGGTTCATGGTGGTGGTGATCATGCTAAAATTAATGCAATTAATAACCTTAAGTATCCAAGTAATGGACAAATAAATTGCTACTCACTCCACCAGGTGTTATGGTATTTTCTGTGGGCCTAGTCGATGATCCATAGTCAGGAAACTCTGGAGTTGGCCTTGGACCTGGAGGTGGATATCCTTCATTGGGAGTAGGTCTAGTTGGGAACTTTGTGGTTGGTTTATGGCTAGGAAAACGTGAAGGATATGGTGTTGTTGAGGTGAAGGGTTGTCTAGTAGTTGTAGGCCTAGGAAAAGGTATTGAAGGTGTGTCATAATTGTAGCCCTTCGTTGGCTCTGGTGGTAAGTATGTATTGCGCCTTGTCCCTGGTGGTAGGTCACAAATGACGTGGACCATTGCCATACATAGTATTGTTATCTGAAATGAAAGATTTTGCAAATTACTGAAGCCTGATTTATCATTGCAGATTACTCTGAAGAGGAGTTTGATGCTGAAGATTCTGCTGAGAAGCAAGACACCCTATGGATGATAAAATAAGAGGCTAGCTGAGAAAGCAGAAGTAGATAAATAACTGAGTGTCTGTTAAGAACATATGTCCTCCTACTCCATACACCTACTCCTGTTTACACAATCAGATTCAGTCATCATGCAGTAATCGGTTGCCGTGTAATTTTTAATGATGTCACACTGATAGCGTTTCCTTTTACTAAAAAAACGTGTGTCGGTTAAATAATTATGATGTACAGTGAGAATGTAATGAATCATCTGTACGTTGCACTAAGGTGACATCTGTTTTAAGAAACTGAGGAAATGTATTATGCAAATTCATTTTAGAACACTTGTCATAATGATGATAATTGTTACCCATCTAAGTATTGTAAATTTGTTTAACACTTGGAAACTGAACGGTTACTGATGCAATTAGAAGCGTGTTAATTAACTGACAAGACTATAAAAATCAATTGGAAAGATGAGAGTAGTTATTGAATACCGAGAGCACAAAAGTAAACAATCGTGACCAGAAGTAATCAAAAAAAAGAAGAAGGGAAGATCTTAAAACGCGCGATAATTGCGAGGAGTATTTCACTGTGCGTATCTGTCGGTTATTTGCTGTGGTTTCGCAACGATTTAATTATACGTCTTTCGCCTCATTTCTACTCATCTTTTTGTTGACCTCGCTGCAACGAATACGTGCGAAACTGTGTCTTTTGAATGCATCTCAATTGCTGATTACAAAATTAATATAAACGGAAGTTGGACAGATATTAGGCAGTCAGTTCTGCAAAGATTTCTGCCCATTTGAAAAAATATTAAAGCTCATTAAACAACTTCAGTCTAAGAAAGTCACTGATCTATATCACAGATGATATTCTAACTTTTGATAAAATTAAAGAGAAGAGAATTTTGTATTGAAGTATCTTCATAACAGATTGAGGGTATAAAATTAATTGCACAAGCATTTACACTTTAACAACATATTTATGTGAATTGAACATCAATTATTTATAATTATATTTCATCATCTAAATACTTGTAAGAATATTTCTGATCAATCTTTGCAATGATGAAAGATACAGTATACCTATCCAGAGATACTGTACTGTCTCCTTGTACAAATTGTCAATTCCCTCAGAGTAGCTGTTCAACTTCATCATCTAACCCTATGATGCAACAAGTGCAGTTCAAATGTCTGGAAAAAGTCTCACGAGGAAGGCAATTAGCTACTCATTTACAGTTCAATTACGTGCATCGACGTTTCACTGAATAAAAATGCGAAGTGCATGCCAACAGTTTGCGACGCTCGTGGAAATATCAATCAATTAAGAGGCGTACGTTGTGGGGTCTTAGTTCAGAGATCCCTTCATGAACGGTGTAAGCCAATCTTTATTGAAGTTGAGACTCTTGATATATTGAGTCCTGTGAAGCAAGTCATTTGTTAAGGTATTCATCATAACTTCTTATGTGAAGATAATTTTAATGAAGAGCCGTAACTCTTCTAATGTAGAGATGCATAGAAATGTAACTACATGTATGGATTTGGTTCTTTAGGTGTTCCTTGCAATTGAAGACATATGGAAAGAAGATATTGAGCCAGAGGAAGTTTCTGATTAAGTAAAATGAGCCAAGAAGAAGCCAGTTGAATTACAAAATAGCTCAGAATTTCATAAAGAATGTTAAGTAGCCTCTGTAGCGTCGTTCCTCATTTAAATTTACCAGCTGAAGAAAAAGTTGGTTAACATCAGACACCATTGTTTTCAGCAGTTATTGTTTAACGTTCATTGTCACAGCCAAAGTGATGCAACCCTTTTTAGATTTCGAATCAAGGATTGCAATTACCATGTAAATTACATCACACAGAGGCTTATGAAGGAAAGGAAAGGAGAGCAGATTTCTATAAATTCATGATGGATTAATTTCAAACTAATAATCACGCGTTATGTACAACTTCATGTTGTCAGTGCGTTTCTTCGCATCAGCAATTTACATTACAAAATCGAAATCCCTTTTACTACCGCGACGATCAATCAATCACAGGAAATAAACGAAAACTTTCACGTGTGTGCGTTGCAGCTCCTTAAGCGATCTTTGAAAACGACCCATTGGCACAATCACCAGGCAATAAAAAATTCACCGACATTCGTAAATCTATCAAGCCTCATTTGAATCGTTTATGGTTTTGTTGCATAAAAGAGTCATCCAGTATCATATATCTTGAATATCCAAGAAGAAAGGAGTGCAAAATTTCCTTGAACTCAGAGTACTTTGAAAAAGAAGAAAGGAAGATTTTTATGACACCAAATACAATATTGTAAATCCCATAGGACATTAAATTATTCCTTGAAGTGAACTGAAATCACTAAAGAATCATTTTGTAAAGTAACCAGATCTAATTTTAAACTCATGAAGCTATAAAAAGATGAGAGATTCCAAGTATTCAACGCAGTGGAGAATCAAGTGATTTGCTATTCCTTATGCAGAAGTGATTTAGATTCTCAAGTAGATATCGAATGTGCAGCTCTTCCTAGCCAGGTTTTCCTAACACCTGGAGGCAAACGCATGCATATCGATAAATCAATTACGAGCGTCTCTGTGTGATTCATCTCTGCAGATTAATCGGAGGGAATCAGGAAAGATTGTACGGAATATACTCGATAATTTGTTGACACCTCTCCCACTCTGGAGAACACGTGAACCGAGATTTATGCGCCTCGAGGTTTATCGGCTTGGGTGCTGTAATTAATTATAATAATTAGACGGGCGAAGGGATCGACGTTTACGGCTTTCAAACTGTTGCTTCTGTTGCCTCTATGATTCTTCATATGCATGTTGGATCATTTAGCAAGAGCTGCAACTTTTCACTTCAATTCCTTAATCATGTACTTTTGGAACTTTGATACTGTAGGAATTCAATTAATTCTTCAATCATATACTTTTGGAACTTTGATAAGAAGTAATGGAATTTTCAAATGGTGAGTCTTACTTCACAGAACTTTTGGAATTCTAAGATTTTAGATAAAAATATAATTGTAGGTAGTTCAACTAAAAATGTTTAAATTTCAGATACTTGTTAATGGTGATTGAATTTATTAAAAGGAAAAGGATGTACTCACTTGAAGATAAAACATGTTGTGAGGACAAAAGATTCCTCAGTTAGGTGTGCCTCAAATAAAGTCGCACCTTTGGAATGTTCACTGTGGAAAGACATGGAAAATCAACCCTTTATATAAGCACCATTTTTCAACCTTTGCTAATCAACAGTTGAAATTCTGGATGGTGGAAATAATTGCATAGAATACCGATCGCACAATCGATTCACGGAGGCATCAAGAGAAACACGATTTTATCCTTAAACCTAGATTCTTTGGCTCTCGAGGCTTAATGCCATCAGGAGCACAATTTACTCGACATTTCGTAATGCTCTGATGGTACAAATACAAATGAACTTTATTCTTCAATATAAAAACATTCATACTAAATCACAAAACAATTGCATGGACTGAATATTTGATAAACTGAGTCTGGGTTCTAAAAATCAGTGCCTCATAATGTAGACCCATAAACTGCAGATTATAATTAAATTATAATTGAAGGTAATTGTCCAAGAATTATAAAGAATTTCATTATACTAAAATCCTTTTATAAAGATTAAAATGTCAAATTCCATTAATAATCCATTTTACAGGAATTCGATTGTTCCTCTTGAAGAGTGCGAGGCATCAGAGCAAACGAAAGAGTACGGAGATATAAAGTCATTGTGTCGGTTGAGGGAGCATCAAGAAACGAAGAAAAGGTTGCACAAAATTATAGTATCCGAGAGATTCCATTTGAACTGGAAGTATATATCATTGCAGATTCAATTTAATGCGTGCTTTGCGACATAAAGGGTTGAATAGACCTCGACGACATTTCACGGTTAACCACACCCTGACTTCGATTGTTCTTAGCATTGCATGCATACACACCACTCCCTGTTCGTACATCCTCTTTACAGAAGAAAAATTCGTTTCTTCTACACATTCTTTGCTTTTTATTCACTTGGGACCAAAATAAAAAGCGTTATTAAACAAAAAATTTGCATTAGCATTCACAGTTTGAATTGTTTTAGTTGGATGATTGTATCAACATTCAGGTGATATTGAAAGAAGTAGAATACTTATTTTCATTAAATTAATACAGATGTTCACTTTTTTTTATGCAAAGAGATCATCAACAATTGTATGTAGGTAAGAATCACCATAAAATTTTCATATTCCCATAAAATTTTATATATAATCATTTCTTCTCAAACTTATTTTTTCAAACTATTCTAAAATCAAAAATATTTCACCATTTCAGGTCTCTGACAAAGACTCTCCTGATGAAGCATCATCAGTTTAATACAATTCTCCAACATGAAACAACAGTAAAATTACTAAAAGACATCCCACAAGAACAACAGAAAGTCACAGAGAACGTTCAATGCGAATATCACTGGACAGATACAACTGCTAATCCAAATGCAACGTCAATAGGAAGGCACCGTGGTGTCACCAGGGGTTGGTTGAACGGAACGTCACCGAGGTCATGAAGAGTTTAACGTCTCTCTCGAGCCACCCTTACGGATTCACGGATACGTTTTTAAGATGAGCCACGTGTGTCCCGTCGGATACGATATCGTTGCACTCCGCCACGGCTGTGAATAAAGTCAGTACGTAACTGCTCGGCATGCTGGCAGGTTGGGTTTATATAGCGTGGGTCTAATAAGAGATGATACTTGAACGCCACAGTTGGGACCGGGGACCAAGAAGAACAGAAGAGGGGACGCGTTTGCCTTGTTTCACCTTACCTTGCCTCACCTTGCCTTAGAACCTTGTTAAGATCGACCTGGGGAGGATAAATCTTGCACCACTTTCTTGCTCCACCAATGTGCCTACAGCTTTATGAACGCATACATCTCCTTGTGTGTGGATAACGTATGGATATTCTTATCACTTTTTGGAGGAATGAGAAATAAGCATCGGAATTATACCGACACCCGTTGTATTTCTGCGTTTCACGCTTTGTAATTTTACGCCTTTCCACATTTTATGGTTCCATAATCTTTTGATTTATAAGATCATTGAGTCTAGGTGTTAAAATTTCACACGTATCATCAGAACAGTTGTAATTATAATTCCGTTCACACCCATTTTGGACTGTATGCCTCCTTAAAGATATATGAATCAGCAATCAAACCCACCACTTGGTGTCAGTTTTACTAATAGTTCAATAACCATATTCCAGAAATAGCACCACCATGAATTCAATCGCTACTCAAGCACGGAAGCCGGTAATAGACAAAATCTGTCCAGCAGGTGTATCCAGCAAGGAACATGAATCATTCTGATGATCAAGTTGCACGCCAGGTGATAGAGAGACACCGAGAGAGAGAATAGAAATTGCGGAACCGGCGGTTGTAGTAATTTCCGTGGATTGTTGCTACAGGATCATTCAAAAAGAGACGCATGACAAAATGCGACACGAATATTTGAATCTGCATCGTGGGATAATCCGGATCAGTAGGATTCAAATGATCTTTCCAGCCGCGTGAGCTGACTCGTCTGGCCTCAAAGGTGCAGCATGAAGAAGTCATTCCATCGACTATCGTGCTACGAATCGAAAAGAATTTGATATTTCATGTAGGTGCTCGAAACGTAGCCGAAGAGCCTCGATGCTCTATTGATATATTGAGTACCGTAACTCAGGATTTTTGTGCTCATTGTTAAACCATGAAAATGGATGACTGCGAATGTTCTTCTGATAGAAGATTAATGGAAGGTTGATGGAGAGGTACGACGCAAGAAAGATTAGTGGAGTATGAGTTATGAGCGTTTATATTCTTATTAATTGATGACTCAACGCTGTCGTTAGCTTCACATTTTTCTTATCTTATTTCAATATCTTTCAGAGCTTCATTCTTAAAAATCACTGGATGTAATAGTTATTTTAGTTGGATGAAAGCTGACTGGAAGATTGAGTTATTAATACTGAAATTCTTCATATATGATATTCTTGGTAATTGAATATAAAGTAAGATTAGGTTAGGTTCTTAACCTTCTTAGGTTAACCTAACTTAACCTTCAACTTCTTAAAATAGGAATTAAAAATGCTGGAAGTTTTCAGGTACTATCTTTATTAAAATAAAGAATATGAAGAATCGAAGGATGTACGTTTTCCTTTGAAGGAATTTTCACAAAACCTCCGGCACATCCTTGGTACACAGCTTCGGCAAGCGGAGAAAGGCACGCGCGGATACGCACGCTCAGAATTGCTCGGCGAGCAATCCACCTTTTGCCCCGTATTTACCTGCATTCAACAACGCCGAGACCAGGTCAGGAGAGAACACGAGGGGCACACTTGAAGCTTAACTTGCATCAACCCTTTCACGGCCGAGCAGTTGTTCGTGCTGAAAATCATTGCACATCCTTGTCCATCGACTTAGAGATATGTTAAAGAGGATATGCATCGATGCTCGTGGGAAGTGGTGCGAAAAAACTTGCGAAACATTTGCACTTTGTATCCGAGGAGGACGTCCATCTTGAGTGGGCTGTATCTTGCGTTGCGAAATGTACGTTAGAACGTTGTTGCACGAATTATTTGATGATTACCAGTCGCGGTTTTACACCCACCGGAAAGCTGTTCATTAATGGATTCGCCATAATTTTAGTACAAAGAATTTCTTCTTGGGAATGATGAATGGTGTGGATGTTGCAAACGATTCTGTGTTTTATTAAGAGGCCATTTATAGCACTTGAATGTGGCTATTTATAGCTACGCATATACTTGTACAGCAATCTAGGAAATTAGATATTTAACTAATTGAACTAATTGAATATTTAGAACAGTCGAATTTTTGTAAGAAATAGCGTGACGTAAGAGAGGATTATATCAGAGGTAGCTTAAAACTGAATAAATTAAATTCCACGATCATAAACCGAACTAATTGCTGCGTGATTTTATGAGAATGTTTTCTCTTCCAGTTTCCACGGTGCTCTGGCAAAATGTTGCATTGATGGGAACCCGAGAAATCGACTTGCAATTTTTCAAATAAGTTTATACAACTACATATAGAATATTTTCTCCATTAAAGTACTGTGACATTCCCTGGAAGATTTAAATGGATGCGTAGAGAATTGCAGTTTCTTCTTTTTCTGCTTACAGTGATACATCACAATTTTGTCACGTTCGAATATTTTAGGTAAGTATCAAGGCGTTCAAAATAACATTAAGGTAATCATGAAGCAGTTATGCGTCAGAATCGTCATTACATTTCTTCTAAACGGATTGCGTCAAGTATTTTATGAAATTGGCCTAGCGAAAGGCATGACAACTGTTATTCTTAAAAGTCATCTTCCTTCCATTAAATTTTATTAAATTGAACTTTTTCTTTAAAACATTATTCAAATTAATATTGAAACAATGTATGTATTCTTGCAGTTATTAATATATTTAAACGACGAAGGAAATTCTTCAGCATGAAAGTGTAGAACGTTGCGTTAGAAATGAATCTCCGGCGTGAGAACATTCATTTACTCATCGGCAGCGGCGAAAGAATCAAACGATTAGGAGTTACATCGAGTATAACATGTTTTCATTGCGGCTACCAAGTCGAATGGGAGCTGACACGCGGTAAACTCCAATGAAAATCTATCAATTATCGAGGAGATATTCGTGTCAAATTGAAACGGCGCTTGAAGATGACGGTTATACATCACATTGATTTCTATCCTCCATCTCAGAGATTCTCAAATGAAACTATATAACTTCACAATTTTTTAATATTGAAATGCTTTGAGATCTTCATATTTTGAGACATACAAATTTTGAAGCTCTGGTACTTTGAAAGTTTTCAACTTTAAAGTTTAATGGACTTTAAAACCTGAAGACTGAGACAACAAAATTTCCAAAATTGTATTCTTTGAAAAATGATGTGTTTCAAGTAATTGATTAACCAGAAATAATTGGTCAAAAGTAAAGTTGGTTCAAAAGTAAAATTGGTCCATGAAAGTTTGGGAATCTCTGCTCAACTAGAAGCTATTACAAAATTGAAACTGAATCCTTCATAGAATGTTGCATCGCGAGGCTCCTTCAACTAGAACAATGGCAATCTCTTCAGCATCAGACAGCTCTACTTGCCGGCTGTCTTCTAACTAGTATCAAACAACACCGATGAATTATGACCATGACTGTTGGGCGTCACGGAGGTCGGCTTCAAAACCGGAGGATCCTCCTTTTAACGCGGATCCTGGCGAGAGGAAGACACCAAGCAGAACGGGGAGAGTTCGCACGGGTGAATTCAATGGAAGGTTATGAATATCCGATCCTCTGTCGAAGTTGCGTGTCATAGTTAGCCGACTTCTTTTTCGCTGTGACGCCTTTGTCTGGTGTGCATGTACCTAGGCATTCCCTCGGTCAGAATGAAAGTGAAAATCTTCGTTCTAGTCGCGGATGACCTACTGCTTGCCAAGAATCTAGGTGCCCCGTCACATCATGCTGCTGTGTACGTCTTGTGTTCAGAACACCTTTGGGGAGCAGTTTCATCAAATTGAATTGTATTTTTCTTGTGGTATTCACCTCATCCTGGTTACAATTATTCACCTGGAAAAGAGATATTAGTATAAATTTATTATAAAATGGTACATTGAAGGGTGCTTCATGAAGTGATACAAGATATGAGCAAGATATAAAAGTAATTATCTTTGGTAGTGAAACAAATATTTCTATACTAAGTGATTTCTATTAATATTACCTGTTAGGTTATGAAGGTATGATTATTGAAAATGAAATGTGAGATCCACAAGATTTACGAGATTATTCGTTGCTTAAGTGAACGCAAGCTAGTGAGCAGCTATATTATTTAAACCGAGAAATTAGCAATTGCAATGCTGATCGATAAATGTCAATGTCAAAATGCTCGACTGATTATCATGTACGAAAAAGGAAACTGGTGATTTCCATGGAGCACCATGTTGAAACGAGGACGGGAGGCTCGCTTAGAAGCGTCACGCATCATTATGGAACCATAGTACACTTTACAGTATCCTTTATCCCATGAACGGTGGAGATACCGTTTAATGATACATAACGAGCTTTTATGAACTGTGAAGAAGTACATAGATACATTCTAATCTCAACCACTATTATGAGAGTTCTGGACGCTTAAGTTTCATGACTTAAATGTAAGCTGTCTAGAACCTTGTATGTCCTTGACTTTTAAACTTTAGAGTACTTAACCTACAAATTTCAAAGTTCCGAGACTACCAGTTCCAAATTATAAAATTTAATTTAAAGTTTTTAACTACTAAGATTTCTAACCTAATAACAAGAAATTGAAAGCTCTAATGTCTGCAAAATCTAATTGATAGATTCAGCAGCGTATCACAGTTCTACATCACAAGAGGTCCATTCAAGTTTTCATAGCATAAATAGCATTCGAACGTCAATTAGAACAAGAAACAACAGTAATCTCCAGATTCGATCTGCTTCAGGTTTCATCACTTAAAGAAGAGAGACTTCTGCCAAATCCATAAAACGAGTTCATCACGCTTGCTCAGCTGTGTGGAGGCTTGTAAAACATGTCCTATTATCATCCTTCTTTTTTCTCAACCTATCTTCATCGCCGTAAATGCACATCTTATTCTCTTCTCACATCATTCGAAACGCTCATGACATTTCGGTCGCCTCAACCTTAAAGTCTCGCCACCCGAGACCGTGGCTGATCGCTTGCGTGATCTCTCTTATGTAAGTGAGCCTGATCTAAATCCTGAAACGAGTGGGACAAGCAAGGACTAACGTGACTGGAGGCGTAGGACCATTAGGGATCCTTTGCAAGGTAAACTCTTCTTGAAGAGTAGTTGAAGAATATCTCTTCTACTGATCTGAGTTTGTTGAGACCTCTTCGCTGAAGGTATAACATCAATTATGTAGCAACTTTTATTGCAGTAATTGGAAGAGCATTCAACAAAATTTATAGAAGTATTGTTACTTGATATTCATTCTTTATATTTTGATACTCTACATGATTTTATTATCTTATAGGTGGTGAATGTCCTTGCATATTTTTGTGTGCGTATCACCACATTCGCTGTTACTGTGTAGACACATAATTTGTATACTGTAAGAACTGAAATGTTGAGAAGTGTGCCATCAATAGTATATATTCTGAGGTCATCATTGCAGATAGGAACATCGTTACTGTCGAATTTTTCTTCGCATACCGATCTCGTTTGTTAACACAAAGGACGCCACGGTGAACTTTTACTTCGCCTTAAACTTTAAACACATCACGGTGCAACTTAGCAACTGGCCTCTTTTGTTTGTTCTCATAAAGGAGACGAACAGCGGAATGCTATTATAGTTCACCGGGTTATCGTCAATCAGTCATGCTCGGGGGATAATTAAACGACTTAAATGCACGTCGTATGAAATCGATTCTAAAGCTGTATCCTTTTTTGTCTCTCTTTTCCACGACCATCGAAAGAAGGATATTTTCCTGATAAAAGCTGCCTGGTACCTGTTTTGCTCGTAATTATTCTTTTATAACCAGACAGGACCGGGAACTTTCTACGTCTTATGTAAAATAATATAAAAAGAAGAAAATTAAACGAAAGCATAAAAATAAGGATGAAGGTGTTTTTATGCTTGTTTTATTGTGCCTCGCCGTGTGTAATTTCCTTTGAGGAATCCGTGAATGATCAAAACGTCCGATCTCCCTTGGTAATAAAGTCGGTTCCCTTTTCTTCTTCTCTTTCTCGTTCTTTTTTTCTTGCATTTTTCAAAACAACGATTGCGTAAACCGGATTCGAATTTATACGACCATTTAATTTAACGGAACGTTCAAGGAAATGACGTAAAAGTTTGTTTTACGAACGTCCTCCGGTGGTCTGTGCCACTGAGTTAATGAGACTTTTGGAATTGGGAACAATGAAAATGGAATTCGTATTCAAACGAATTCGTGTAATTTAATGACGATAAAATATAATATGGTAATTCAAGTTACGCAATCGTTCAAATGGACTTCCTTTTCCTTTTTGTTTTATGTGTTTCTGGGTTTCTTATAATTTTAACATTTCAAAGGATAACTTTCTTTTTCATCAATTAATTTTCGTTTTCTTTCATTTCATTCCGCTTCTGTCTCTGGTATAACCAGGATAACTTTTCTTCTACTTTGCATTTTATATTCAAGGGTTTCTCTCCTTTCCCTCTTTATTGCATTTCTTCTCGGACAATTTGCATTCTTCTTCATCTGGAATCTGAAATGTAAAAATTTTCATTTAATACTTATTCTTGAAAAAAGTTTCATTTTACATTGTACCTTTAATACCCTCAATAAAAAGTCCCTTTTTTCCTTCTGACTGTAGTTCTCAGTTAATTCTGTTACTTGTCATTATTCTCTTTTCAATGTATCAAGATGGTAATTAACTGTTTACTCAAGCAATTGTTAACAATTTCTTCAGTTTCTCCTCGTATTATCACGCAAAATCTCACCGACATTTCCAAGTTTGTAAAATCGTCGTTACACGCGTCACGCACCGGTGCATCATCCTCGTCGCTTGAATTGCTTTACGGCCGCGCTAACACGCGCTTCGGTCAGCCCCCATGAATTTATCCTGGTGAATTTATCGGCACGTGGACGCACGACAATTTATGGGAAACAGAGGTGAAACTGAATACGGGGATATTCGACGTTCTCTGCAAGCGTTGACGCGGTCAGATTTATTAAATATCAAATTTCACGGGGAACGGAGGATCAATGATGGCCACCAATTTTCTTCTTTTTTATTCTTCATCCTGCAATCATTGAATTAAATTAGCGATTAGAGAAAAATACACCGTATATTATAAGATACATGGCGTTGCACAGATCAGAGGTTACAAACGAAGGTTCATAAGAGGTTATATATAAAAATTGAAGGTTATGATTTGACACTTTGAGATTTCAAAATTTTTTAACTTTGAAACCTGGAGATTTTGTGACTGCATGACGTGATCTGAGAGCTTGAAACTTCAGAGGCGAATAAGTGGAACAAGAGTGTCCCCAGACCTCGTTCAAAAGAAGGAAAAAGGAAAACTCCAGAAATGTTTCAAGCTCAAGATGGTAGAACCAAGGCGGTCGATTACGGATCACGTAACCCGCTTAAGAACGATCTCTTAGCATAGCACTTTAAGATCGAGGAGGATGAAATGTCACGAATGTCTCGAACACAATGTGCGCCGAAGAGAGGGAAGGACAACGGGGCAGAGGACGGCCGTGGAGATGGAACAGAAGAATGCTGGCATCCATTGAGGAGAGCATCGCGCTCGATCCAGAAGCGAGGTGTTAATGTCACGCACTTCGAAATCAGATGGAATCTAATTCAACGAACCTTGATCTTTACTGCCCCCTTTCTTCTTGTGTAAAACAACGTTTTCTCCTTATTTTCAATCCTTCAACCCTTTGATGTCGAAGGCCTCGTAGAACCTGCACGCAAATAAAGATGTTAAAGCTGGTTCTAAAATTTGAAATAGTTGAATAAATAGTTTGTTACAGACCTAATGGAACTGTACGCAATTTTTAATACCTACAAATCATTACGGATGTGTACATCTCAATGACGCAACCATTCGATTACCGCAACCCTTGAAACATATACAGTTAATGATGTACTCTCTTTAACGTTGTGTAATTATAAACGGCGACAGTGCGTGAGAATTAATTAGCTGACTTTCTATACGGGCCTGCGTACCCGGGTATAATGAAGTTATGAGGCTTAATTGATTTCAGCGAAAATCCGTCAGCTCTTTGATCACCTGAGGAACATTAAGCATACCAAATATATACATCATTACTGTTTAATTGTCGCTGACGAAGTGTTCAATCTCTTTTCTATAATACTTCACTGACCAGGAAGTAATTTGAAGGATTGCTCAAAACCTTTTGCAACGCCGTGTCAAGATCTTCATATTAATTTCTACAGGTCAAATAATTCTTTCGCTAATGGAAAAGTTTTCGGATGTGCTAATAAGAAATTGAAAAAGAGAAATGTCTTCTGTTAATAACAGCATGTAAAACTTATTACTGTTCCAGGTGCTGAAGATGGGATCGCATTCCTCGCGCCACTTAATAACAATGAAAGAACGTGTAATCGTTCTATTCGGTAGACGTCTTCGAGTCTCTCGGCTACCTCTTGCAGCTTAGGATTGTATGGTAATCGTCCGATTCAAAATAGCACGCCTCGTTGTCGTGTCGCTTCTTTTCAGCCACGGAATCAATTTCAATAATGGCGAACAATTGTATCGAGACATTACCATTTAATGACCTCTTACAGAACTGAAATAATACAGGCTTCATTACTTCCTTCAACAGGAGTGGACAATATAATGTGGCTATACAAAATGTGACAATATAACTTGTAATGCAATGAGTGTCACTATGAACGCATAGAATTTTAATTATAAAAGATTTCTATATATCTAGATCCTAATTTGCTGGGTCCCAGTATTCCCATACACTTCAGTACCTAGACCCTGCACATCCTAGATCTTGGTACATCTCCCATTATTTCTACAACCCAGCTTACACCCTGCACCTAGACCTAGACCTTGCCCTCAATATATCCAACCCCTAACATTCCTAGCTCGTATATCTACTTGCCAATGCACCTAGCTCTAAGCAAAGCCCTAGCAAAGTATCTAATATACACACATCACGAACAAAATGAAATGAACAAATATATTTATGCATGTTTCAGAAGTATGTATTCCGTTGCGAGAAAAAGTGTCAAGTTCGTGCGAAATTAGATGGAGTATATTAGATAGCTTTCGATAAGGGAATACAATGCGTTGAATACCAGCTGCGTGATACTTGAACGAACCTCGCATAATGGCAGGATGTTTATGCTTCGCGCGAGTCGTAAATTTAAGGGACGCATACACGATAAAGTTGGCTGGCGAGTACTTTAATGGAAAAGCATTGGAACAGTGTCTCCCAAACACGTGTCTACTCGATCTGATATCCTTATCGTTATTATTGACAACTGGTATCTTGCTGCTACTGAAAAAATACAAATTTTAATATAAATTGTTATTATTCATTGTTTACCAATTATGTCATAAATTGTAAAGTTCTATGATGCAGATTTGAATATTCAAATCGAATTTATAGACAATACCTGTCTTCCTTCTCTTGTTGATCGTCGAAATATTGATACGTACTACTAGAAAATAGCAGTACTCAAAAGGTATTCATACAAATGGCCCCTGACGAGAATATGGCGAGGAGGATAATGAAATATGCATGTTCTCCTGAAATGAATCAAATATTAATTTTTAAATCATTTGTTATGACATAAATTTAAAGACATAATGCACGGGATCGTCGAAATATTGATATACACTACTAGTAAACGATGTCTAGAATAAAAATTACGTGCCAGCATGCAATGACACAGAATTAAATAATGATAAAGAACTGTCGGTAATTATGCTAGTTGAGAAACACTGCATTAGAATAATACGCAACAGTATTATCTCTGGATATTAGATCTTCTCAAACAAGACCTCATTAAGACTTCTCATTCTGACGTTTGAGCTCATTAAACCCGATTCTCGATATGATTACCGGTATAAATCATTGTTATTCAAATTTACATATGTAAACGTTCCGAAAGGAAACGAAGAAACTCGTCATCCGGTTTAAATCCGTTTATTTTTCCTAACAAATTGAAAAATAAATCCTTTAGTTATTATAATACTCTGGTCCAAGTACTTTTCAATTAGAATCGCATTTTCTAACCTTACCACCTATTCATTTAACTTACCATGATTTAATGTAACAAAAATTATTTTTTATGGTGTTCCATACACCATAACTTTCTTTTGGAATAACTGGCCCCAGTTTGCCCTTTAAATTGGCCTTTGCTTGACCACGTGTTCCGTACCTATAATATTAACATTCATTATCCATTTTTTATCACTAGCGATTACATGGTTCGTAATTGGACGATCGATAGTGCCGTAACGGAGACGAATAATAAATTACCACTTTTCGTAATTTTGTTTCATAGTGCTAATATCCTTGTATATTCCGTCAAGCGTTATCGAAGTTCTAGGCAACGTGTATATAATTTTCCACGAGAAAAACGTGGTGCATAAATCTTCCTCCTATACGTTTGCGTCCCTCGAAGTGAAAAGTAATTTAGGGCTATTTCATGCATCATTATTCGATTCAAGCAATCGAACCGTTAATCCAATTAATCGACTTTTATTTCGATCAAGTATTTTTGGCGCCAATTCTACGATAGGTACTCTGCATCGAATGAGTTGATTATTAATATTACAAAGGATGAATATAAAAATTAATAAACTCCTATTTAAAATATAATATGTGAAAACGAAGAAAACATCGATTCCTAAGTATTACTACTTATATTTGCTACTAATAATGATTAAAGGTATTGACCTAACCCTCTCAATATTTCGATACTTATCCTGCAAAAAATTAGGTTATTTTGCAGATATTAGGCGCAGCGATTTAAAAGATCTAGGTTAGATTTTCTATGCATGTGCATTTGAGCCAATCCACATTTTTTTCATTTCTCATAATTTCAAACAATTATTTATAAAATTAATATAATTCCAGGTATGTCGACAGCATATTGCCACGAAATATATACGTTTAATAAATAAATCCAACGAAGCAAATATCGGTCACAAAAGGTTAGAGTGTCGAATGTATTGTTTCCAAAAGGATCAAGTGTTGCATCGTATGTATATACTTATCATCGATGAAATCAGCGTAATCCCACCTATGTATATTAATACCAGATAGTCACGAAATTCACCGGATGTGTTTGTTCGGCCCTTCTTCGTACGTAAGCGATGGGAACAATTTGATATTTTTCATTCGACTTCATACGTGGCATATCCGTCACGGTATACCGGTTATAATCTCATTGTTACCCTGTAAATGATGCCATTTCGTTTTCAGGCTTCTGCCCTCGCGTTCGCCATGATAGATCCTTTTAACCGATACGTCTCACGCAGCACGGAGGATTACGAAAACTACGCCACCTTCGAGTATCGTCTATAACTATGTAAATATCAGACATCCTTTATTGTTACAAACTGGAGATACAAGGACCTGTAGATACTGAAATGTAGAGGTTGAAGAATCCAGACATATGAGGATGTAAAAGTGTAAGGATCTAAGCAGTACAGTGATGTAGAAATATGGGAGGAATTACAAATATAGCAGGATGTATCTAGAAATATAGGTCTCTAGGGATATATATTTCTATTAAAATGTTCTTTACAGCTTTTCAATCTGACGCGTCGTTTTCGAGATACATACAATTGAGGAATCGAATCTTCAACTTCCGGTGCGCTGTGTATACGTCACTGGTGCCTGAGACGTCCCGGAAGTCGTGTACCCCACTTTTTAATCGCTTATATCTCGAAAACGAAGCGTCTGATCGAAAAATAGTAAAAGACTATTCGATTTTATTTTTGGTAGAGAATTTAATTTTCACGGTGTACTGTCTTCCCAGGACACCTTGTATGCTCATTATTCGACGAAGCGATTCAACGGATTCCAAGATCCTTCATACGATTTCTGTTTCGTGAACAAATTGGCTAAGACAACGGTGTTCTAACGATGCCACGTCGCTCGTGTGAGTGTAAGTAAGTACGTGCCTCGTATCTTCGCTGTACAGAAATGGTCTCGCTGAAATCTGATTGCCTTTCGCGCGTTAAAATTGTTATCATCCGATCTCGCGTCAAGGAACACAATGCCGAACAACAATCGTTACGAAACGGGATTTCGATGGCTGTGAACCGTGACCTGTATCGTTTTTACCTTTCAACCCCTCCTTTGCTTTCTCTTTCGCTCGTCGTAAATACAATCCTTCGGAACAAGCTAATTTTCGGCGGAATTCCCATGTTAACATCTGCTTTGCATATGTAGATTACAAAAGACATTTTTGTACGCGAACATAAAATGTAGGAAACGGATCTAAAATTAAATTTATTGCTTTCTCGACTCAAGGGTTAAAGTTAAAGAAATACAAGCAAACAGTAAAGTTTATAAGAAAATAGAATTGATCGGTGTCTTTGTTTCAGAATCTTCGAAGGCTTCAAGGATGTGCGCGGAGGAGCATCGAAGGCATCGTTTGAAAAGGCCTGTCGAAGGAGCAGCAGTCCAGGTCAATGAAACATTAACTAACAAACGATTCGCGAGAGGACGTGGAATGTAGGTATACATATATACGTGTGCAGAGTAGCCGAGGCTAATTTGATCTTTGTACGATGGGAATAAAATTTACAGTGCACCACGGCGAACGAGATACGTGTATTAGCCGGATCGTGTATTGGCGGCGAAGCAAGACCTCGGTCTGTCGAAGCACATGTTGCTGTACGTGATTCGACCTCGCGCTCGCTTCGATACTCTTATATGCAAATCGCTCGAGCACACTACTTACTGTGCCGTGGAATGATGAGCGGCTGGCTAAGGTCATCGAAGAGGAAGGTTAGAGAACAGGATCGCAGTTTTATCCCCTTCGATCCAAGTGTCAGGATTAATCTCCTTTAATGAATCTAAGAATCGAAGACGTTCGCGTGCATGCAAACTTCTACGGTCGATTCGAATCTCGTACTTTTTTGTACTTTTGTTTCGTCGTTCATTTAGACATTGTATGCTAAGGGTAATGATGCTCTTAGATACACTTGTGCAATATTAGACGTTATTTGTATACCATAAATGAGTGTAGTCATCAGTTAATGTTAATGAGAGTCTTTGCCTTGGTCTATGCACCTAGAGGAGCTTAGGGGTGTTTTATATCTAAGAAGGTTCCGTCCTTAGGGAAGCTCCACATGTAGGACAGCCTGTGACAAGAGTGAATTTAAACGTTGCATTTATACATTTGTATAAACTTATATGTAAATGCTCCACCCTATGTGTTAACATTGCATTGAAATATATATACCAAGGGTGACTACACTCATTTCTCATCAGATGCTCACCATTTTCCAAGCGTATCTATTTCATTAATATGTTTGTTTCTCGGTGGTCTGAAGATGATCATCAGTGCGTTTCCAGCCAATTAGCCGCGTGAGCTTAACAAAAACCTCAACAGACCGTATAACCATTTAATTATGCGAAATTGAGTCGAAGCAGCCGCTATTGGATTCTCACTGTATTTCAAACGGCGGAAGAGGAATGTCGTGTGTCGTTAGCAACGAGATTTACTGGCGTGATTAATTAAGACACATGCTAATTAATAATACCAGCGGTAACGTAACACGATTAATTAATAGTAGGGATCAGTTGAAAAAGTAGCATCTATCTAAGGAGCCACATATCAAAATATGTGAAACTTTGTGGCATGAGTCGCTGACAGAGTTGCAATGATGAAGATAAAAAAGAAGAAATCTTGTAATAAGACAATGGCCATCATCGAGCCTATTGGGACTCTCCCCAATCTAACGAATCATGTGATTCGACATCGACGATACTTAAAGGTAACTCCTTCCGTGACATTAAAAAGGCACTCCCAGGCTCTTGTTGCATCGGTCCCTTTTGCTTTGCAGTTTCACACGCTACGTCGGATGTAGAAACAGTGTACCGGCAACGCCGTTCCTTTTGTACACCTCTCCATGGGGATCGGGAACAGATCTTCCTGTCACCTCTAAAGCGAAACGAGTACAAAATCCAGTTCCTCCTTTTTCTACCTTCATCTAGATATTCAGATGGCGTATTTTTCAACTGCTCGTAGAGTTACTGGAACAGAACAGTATAATACCTAGAGGAGAGGAAAGATAGTCAGGTTTCCCTTTTACTGAGATATATCTAAGTGATGACATTGACAGTTTTTATTTACAATTATTTATTTATCTTACATTTCTTCTGAAGAGAATTGGCGGTAATTGAATTAGATGCTGCCATCTAATGTTCAGGATGTAAACTAGTAGAAACTGATCTTTCAGTTACCTTCTTTATCTTATTATACTGTATGTATACGCATCATCAGATGTTAGGTGTGAACGATATTCGAGTTCCATAATCTATTGAAGATGGCGCTTCAAGTATTTTTAAAATTATTGATCTAATTTTTCTAAGAGTCCTTTCTCATTCTCTAATATTTGCAATATTAACAATTGGTCATTTGACACCTTCATAATAAAAAATTAATTTAAATTAAGACACAATGTAAAACAATAAGCATGGGATGCATCTTTCCATCGTTGACTGAAAGAAGTAGTAACAAATTACACAGTTCAATTCAATTTGCCAATGTCACAAGTTAATTTGTTAATCTAAACATATGTAATAATACTATCACACATTCTTTGTTTGCAAGATATCCCTTCATTGTAAAAACAGTTCCTATTTGGAACATATCCTTTGACCGTTACAGTAGAGATAGCTGCAATAAAATCAATAATGATATCTATTGTCAATTTCATAAAACTATAATTTATAATATAACAAATTTATATATATTCTTATTAGAGTTGTAAATAGAGAGATAAGTTCAAGGAAATTAATTCATGACATATTTGAATTGACTATTTGCAGGAGTGACCGCTAGGTGGCTTGCAGCTTCAACTTCTTCTCGCTGGTACGTCGTCACGTAGAAACCTATATAGTATCAGAAGATGAATGACGCAGTATCGCTTCTCGGCTATTTTAGCTAAGATCAAAGTGTAGTATCTGTTCTTATCAGCTTAATATCTGATACACTCCCCATAGGGGAGTCAGAATATTAAATGACTTTTTGATAACAGTCGAACTATGGAGCTTGCTCCGAGTTCGACACGGGTCGTATCTGCATTGCAGTTACGCAGATCGCGGCCCATATAATACAATTCAAACAAAATTGTTCAATACAGGTTTTATTATGTTTCATTCATTAGGTGATTTGTAATTTTATTTTACAACACACCTTGTAATATTACATATTTGCCATACATAAATTCCTAACTGTAATATTAGAGGAGAAAAAATGTCCAACAATATATGTTAATACGGATAGATCAAACATCATTGATCTAATTTTTAAATAAGATGAAATTTAAATTGCAACTTTATAATGTTGCAATATACACCTTAAATATTTGTTTATAGATGAGGGTTAAAATAAGTTAAAAATGCGTAAATTAAATAGAAAGAATATATTTAATTCATGTATTATAATAAAGCTTGTATAAATACGTATACAAATATGTATATAAAAAGTTCGACGATCGCTTAGAAGAAAGTACAAGCGTATGTGTTTTACAATAAAACGAAATTACCATGTACAAAATTAACGTATATATATATAATAATTACGCGTATTTATAAATGCACGTACAAAAATTATTAAATTATCTTAATCAGTATATATATATATCGTTAAATACCAGTGAGTGATTATACATAAATGTGCATGTGACTGAATGGTGTAAGTGTTATTTGAGTGGTAAAAGGTAAAAAAAGAGCTGTAAAAACGAGGGAGGTCCGTGACGGTTGTCGCCCAACATTTTAAGGAGATATGTCAGGTTTTGATGACGATGCGTGATGTAGCCGATTATTTCCGATAATTGTTACGTGGAGGTAGATATTGATTGCTTGCAGCGTCTCCACCACCGCTGTAACCACCTCTTCCTGCTGTAAAATAAACGTATCATAGTTTACAAAAGAATATTACAAAATTAAACATGTGTCTGTAAAATGAACTCTAGTGACATCTGTGACTAAATCATGGTTTTACTCAAAACTGTAATACCATCAGATGGTATGCAGAAGTGCATTTCTGTTTATAATACTGACAATAGATGGCGCTGACATTCATTTATGTTTGGTAACATGAAGAACGAAGAACGAATTTCTTCTTCACTGTAATGTAATTAATTTTAAGCAGTAAGGAAGAAATGATTATTCGTGTTTCATTACTTCATGTATTTCTTAAATGCTGAATCTTTTTATGCAGCTCACAGGCCACTAATTTTTTTGTATGTATTTTGAACAGCACTTCATAACCTGATGCAAAGTACAGGCTAAGTTCATCAACTAATTTATCTTTTATTCATTTAATTACAGTTGTATGGCATTTAATATATTATTGTATATAATTGCAGCAGATATTGCAATAAATAATTCATATATTAATAAATTTTAACTAAATTGTAACTTGAGGTTAAATATATGAAGTTATTGAATTGAAAAGAATGGAAGAAATTTCTATATGCAAGGTATTATCAGAAAATTGTTCAGATACATAAAATTTTACTTATTTACTATCATCATATACTTATATAATATTGAAATCATACTTACCACCTTGATAGCCACCTTGGTATCCTCCTGCACCTCCTTGATAACCACCAGCTCCTCCACCATAAGCTCCAGCTCCTCCTCGAGAAAATTGGGCCTGTCCCTCATATTGAACATCAGCAGTGTATCCATTTTGATCATCAGCCATGTATTTTACAATTTGTGTCCTCGAATCAGGTAACAACACTCTGTATTCTCCTTGAACTACGTTGCCATCACTACTCTCACGTTGAGAATAATCATTGCCACTTGGAGGATCATATACTTCATATTGGAAATTGTATGGTTGAGGCTAAAGAATTAAAATATTATTTAAATCTTATGGTATCTATCATGGTGATAAGATTGTCAACACTAAAACAGCAAGAAGGGGCAGTAGAGAGATTTCATTACTTTACACCTAGCAAACTCCTATATTTTATAGTGGATATTGAAGAAAACAGTTTAGTATACTTATTAAGTTATATCTACTTTTTTTTAAAGCACATATCACTACTTTAATTATAAAGAATATAACATATTTCAGAGTCTGGAATACTAACAAGAGACAAATCTGAATGCAAGTTCAATCCTCAGTTCATCATACTTACTCTTCCATTGTCTCCACCATAACCACCATAACCACCTCCACCACCACCACCTCCAAATTGTCCAGGAGCTCCGTAAGTAGAAGAGGGACGTCCACCGCCGAATCCAGCGTCACCACCGCCTCCCGGTGCACCGTACAACGCGTTGGGCCTTCCTCTAAAACCTCCTCCACCACCTAAATCTCCTGGAAATCCTCCAGGACCACCGAAACCACCGCCGCCTGGTCTATTGTACTGGTAACCACTTCCACCGGCGCTGCCACCCGGCAGCACTCCAGCAAGTGCATTGCTAGCGAGACACGATAGCACCAATAGCGCTTTCATTAACTGAAACATGATTGTTTATCAGATTAGTTGTTTACATTTTTGAATGTTTATCAAAGAAGTAAATGAGATAGCTGAATGGACAAACTTTTTAAGATAAATGTTTGTAGTCAAACTGAAGAACTTTTGATATTAAACTACAAGAACTATGAGATGCATACAAGAAGTTCTAACTCAAAGTTTGTATGAAATATCAGAAAATGGTTATTGATTAATTATGTCAGTGAAAAGATATTAATAACGCAATTCTTCAGGTCGAGACTATTTCTTCGCAAGAATAGAATTAATAACGACATGCACGCAAGATGAAACGATTGCTCGATTTCGTCATTGAACGTCATTAGTATCATCGACAAAAAGAGTCGTGGAAAATAGTGATGCTGAATTTAATAGAAAGCCAGAAGTATCGTGTGCCAATGATTTACACATGGCGAAATTAACGTTTCGTTGTAATCAGGGAAGATTACTTGATTCTCAAAGTATCTTCATGGAAGATTTTTACTCGTGTATAATTCTTTAAATATCAAATGTAGGAGAAAATTTTTTTATCAGTTTTACTAGCTAATTTTGTTAGACTGTATCTTTTATTCTTTTTTTAAGAAGTTAAATTTTGCAAATGTGTAACTCAAGAATCCATGTATGAACTACCTGAAGCTTCACAAAGGACCCTATATGAAATGCAAGAAGAAAAGCCAGAAAATGTTTAAAGGAACACTGAGTCGAAAAGAAGAAATGAAAAAAGACCCTCCACAAGAGGGTGAAAAATGACTGATAGAATTTATCGCAGATCTCGACGCAACCACCATCGCTATTGTCGCGTTAGCAGAGCGTCGATCAGTAATCATACTCGGGAAGATAGCCTACCTGATGGTAATTCATATTGCTGTTATGAGCGAAGACGCGAAGCGAACTGAGAAGATGATCCACGGACGAGTTTATATACCATCCGGACCCTTTGTTACAGTTTATCCTTAGCGCTGCATATCCATGTATTAACCGGTACGTATTAGAATGACCGTCTGTGGGTGTGGGAGGTGGAGAGGAGCGCATCTTCCCTTCACTCTCGGTGATGCATCATGGGAAGAGATATCCCGTTGATGATGACTGAAATAGCTTTAAATTTTAATTGGATCCACGCACGTGACTGCTCGATAGATTGGGTTGTCCCAAGAAAAGAGAGAGCCATCACGGGAGGTCGGAGGACCCTTTGTGAATCCTTCAGGAACCTCATCCACTTTCTGTGGATGTTGCAACTATTTTGTGAAGGCTTTTCAGTTTTACCACTGTACTAGCATAATACTAGACCATCATCAGACTACTGTATTACTAAAATTCTATATGCTGAAGATGTACAACCTTGTAAGAAGCTATTACACTATAAACAAGTATACTAGAATCTACTATACTATCATGAAATGTACTATCAACATTAATTCTTTTTTTCTTCTGCAGGTTCTGTTTGCTTAGCAAGAAATTTCTAGAAGACTTCCGCATAATTTTTGCCTGGTTTCTAATCTCAAATTCTTCAGATAACTCTTCAAGAAGGAAATTTCATTGCATAAATGAAGATAAGATAAAAGTCTAAGCGAGGTCAAAGCTACAAGCGAACATGTAATGAAAAATAATTGTTTATTATTGAAATGCATGCAGCCATTGGACTGTATTGCACTGTCCATTCTGCTGAATCTTTATGTCAACATTATCGATGCATCCTATCTGAAAAATTCTTGACGCAAAAGATTTCAGTCTTAACCACTGCTTGAATCTGCTGAACGAATTACTAACTTGTAATACGAATGAAAGGTAAATGAAGAAATAGGCACGCCAGCGATTGAACAAGCAGGAAAACGTTTTAGTATGTATGTAAAACGTTTATACATACACTTGAATTAAAATTTATGGATAGAGAAAAAATTAATCAGAGTTGGCAATGAGTCAATATAGTGACTAATGTTCTTCGTCATTTCTTCTTATTTCTGATTTTATAATCACTTGCAGGGTCACTGGAAGCATCAAGGTTCATCCATAAACGTTCACCCTACACTTTCACCTAAATGGAGTGTGACCCTGTTTCAGTATTTGGCAATAGAAGCTGCCACTTTCTTGGACCAAGGATCTTCCAAAGAGATGCTTGTGTAGAACAAAATTACTTAAGCATATAAAAAGAGCAAAGTTCAACAAGAATAAATGGTACACGTATAGAATTATATCATACTAGTTATGTATTTTTCAAATTGTATATTCAGATTTGTTTATTGAATGCTATTTTAGGATCTCAAGAAATGTGTCAGCAGGAAGGCTTCTCTGACGATTGATTGCTGAAGTAACAAGATGAAAAGTACTCTTCCAACAAAAGCACCGTATTCACCCAGAAAATTGTCATCAACCAGTTAAGCGGATTTTCCAACAGAATGGCGCATGTAATTGCACGCTCACGACAAATAATGATTTCTTTGATCACACGTTGGCCCATCGTTATTAGTCGAGTGAAAATTCTTTTATGCGATGGATTAGTCTGTCACTGAGCTTCCATAACTTTAGAATTCACCTAATGTAGTGTACGCGTAGTTGAATGTTTTCTTAATTGCATCTTTTCTTCATCTTCTTCTTCCTGCACGAGGCGTTCCTTTCGTGCCCCATTGTTGCAACTAATGATTCAATTAAACATCCAACAGACTGTTTTTCGCCTCGATATCCATTCAATCGTGCTTTACCCGTGTACACGCTATAATCTTTATTGCCTTAAATTCAACCGGGAACAATCCGTGGTAATATCTACGATCGAGTTCTTTGTGAAATTTCGTTGATTTTAACCAACGTAACTCTGTTTCAGTGTTTAAAGTTGCCTTCAAAAAGTACCTTCAGTGACTACAGTGATTAGGTTATTTAATAAAATGAAAAGGATCCACAGGTATACTTTCAAAGTTTTAAAAATTACAAGAATCAAGAGAGCCACTGTTCTAAAGTTTCAAAGTTCGAAAGTTGTTATTTATCATGTTGAAGTTACTAATTTGCCAAGTAACTATTTTGCCAGATCAATCAACCACATGCTGTACAGAAGCGTGTAATCAAGTTCCGCAGTTGCTGAAGAAGAGAAACTAAATTTGTCACCGATCATGTCTTTAAAGTTAATATTCTAACCCGAAGCGTTCACGAGATGAACACGCTAACTGGTGAAGTTACGTGTCTTGGGTGAAAGATAATTACTGGAAAATTATTACAATTACAATTATTATAATTTATGGTTGTAGAGGATGGAAAGAGAAGAGCATGAAAAAGGTAACCGCACTTCTACCAGATAAAAAAACACATTATAAAATGCCATTAACCTTATAAAGAAGTATAATAATATTTCAGATAGAAAGGTACGCCCCATAAGATCTCGAATGATCCATAAAAGTTATGATCCAGGTGTAACGACCGTGATAATTGATTTGAATGATAGTCAGGTTAAGCAAACGAGCACAGTATAGCTGCTGATGGTAGCAATTATTGCGGTCATTGATATAATCTTGGCTATTAAATAAAAAAGGAGATACTGTTCTATTTTCAATGAGGTAACCGTTCATTTAATAAAGAGTTTATTAACTAGCTCTCTGCCTAGTTTCGAAAATGAGTGAGTCGAATTTTTTTCAAGGTGCCAAGATTGATTGCTAACCAGGTAGAGCTAGAAGATAGCTCGGAGAAATATCTGGAGTGCTCCTATTCAGAAAGTTGACTGATGCCCACGGTACTGTTCGCTTGTGCGAACATCTTGACTCATCTTTAGTCAACTTCTTTATGGTTTGATTCAAATATTTCTTCCATCGTTTGATGCTGTCTTCGAGCTTGAAGATAATTAGGATCATGAATTATGAACATGCCTATGAACATAGAAACAGGTGTATCATTTGATTATTTATCTTTGAAACATTTCTTTGACAAAACAAAAGGTTATGTTCGAAACTTTAGCGGACAATCATTGAATGAGATAACCTGCAATGCTTAAATACGGCTGAACACTATGGCAAATAATCGTATGAGCCAAATGATATGATCGTCATCCGACTCTACCATTATATTCGTTTCGTAAAACGTACTGCTCGTTCAGAAATGCTAGGAGTTACTTAAATCGCCAAACGTAGGCGATTCTTACAACACGCTGCCTCATTGCCGCTGCATCTCAGGAATCACTTTCCCTGCAACCCCTTGTAAATCATTAATCTTCCTTTCTCGACACACTGGCCGTCATTTGATCAAAATTTCAATCAAAGATGCGTCGAATTCTTTGGGTGAAGCATGGGTGCTACCAGGTTATTAGTCAAGATGGGGTAGCAAACTTTGAAGGTAAATTTCATCATGCCACTTTAAATAGGTTTTACACTTATGACAGGAAAATTAATTTAATTATATTCTTTTTCTCTAGGAGTAGATCTGAAAGGATTCAGAATTTCTTCAACAATGAAGAAGACAACTGAATTGTGGAACATAGTGATCCAGAAATATAGAGATCTAGAGGAATTTACTACGACTCTAAAATTCTCTGAAATTATGTAAAGAAAGCCAAGACCAAAATGTTGAGTTAATGATTTATTTAGAGAGGCAGTATGCCGAGTAATTTATTATAATCGTTCGCCTATGGCGTATTTACAATCACTAATTCGTTTCTTAATCTGAATTTTGTAATCGAGATGGTTGCGTTATTTTCGAGAGAACCCGATACCTTGTGGAGGGAGACGCTTAATTAATCCCGACATAATTAACGCTAATTGCAGCTGACACCGTGTACCGAGCAAAATTATTGTATGGGAGCTCGTGCCGTACAGCAGAACGCCCAGGCAGATTCTCTCCTGGCCACGGGATCATGAGTGAACGTTTTTGATGCGCCGTATACACCGTAATCGGGATAAACGGCGATTGCGTAATCGTTGCGATGCGGAAGACGTGCTCTGTCTTCTGCACACGTACCTACACGTTCACCTCTTCTTCGTCTTTCTTTTGATCTCTTGAAGGGGATATTTTGATCGACATTGCTCCCTGATGGTTAAATTCTGATGTAACTTTTTAGGACATAAAGGGTTGCCTGAGTTTTGGTTGAAGAGCGTTGGCTTAAGATTTTACACCCTCCAATACTAACGTCAGGGATAAAGATGCTTGCACTGGGAGTTCTAAGTGGATAACGGTAGAATAGATTGCCCAGTAGGTGAGCAACATGAATGAGAAGTATTTCAGGATATTACAGATTGGAAACTGGTATGTTGACGCAGACTGATGCAATAAAATATAATTTACAATAGCAATCATCTTGCAAAATAGTAGTTTAGATCAATAAGGCACGGCTGTTTAAGTTAAAAATAAAGAATCATCATTTCAGAAAAGTGTGGAACAATACTTGTATGCAAATGGAATGACATATCCTATCTTCAGAAGGAATGTAAAGGTACAAAACTTCTCAAGAATTTGAAACGGAGAAGCCTGGAAAGGACAATGTAAGGTGTTGAAAAATTTGAAGTTCTCAGAGATGAACATTTCATAAGGATTTTTCGCCACAAATTCAGAGCATTACCAACTTATTCTCGTCATTATCCGCGTTCCTCTGCAACGACTAACGTCTTTCATGTCGAACCACTATGCAACGTGTACATATGTACGTTCGAACGCATTACCGATTACACCATCGTTCTACGAAACCTTTTTCGCAACTTTATCCCATCCGTGCTCACCCTCGCAATAAAGCGTGTTTAAATAGACACATTTACTTCTAAATTCTTATATTGGAATATGAAGATTCTGTTAGGAAATCTGAATAAGAAGCATTCAAAAATATTTATATTATCAGGCCATGAAATTAATCAAAAGTAAAACTGTGATGGATGTTTGAAGAAGAAGTTTCAATAGATTATTAAACTAGGAAGATACTCTGTAACTAATGGTGTTGTTACTTAACTTAAAATTTCAATCAAAGTCATTACAATTGGTAAGACTTTCATAGTGTATCAAACTTGTGTAATGCTCTATTAAGACTACCCCCTAAGGATACTTTATCATTTACCTTCCATAAATCTAAATGTATCTGAACGTTTACCCATTCCATTTAACATGTAATAACTATTGTGTTTCTTACAGATGGACCTGCAATCCTACAGGACCGCTCTGTCATCAATCTACCATCTTCATCCTGGACTTATAGCAGAAACAGAGGGATGTACGTAACACGTCTAGCGGATCCTTCTCGACTGACCGTTCTCCATCAGTTTAAACGAAGTCAAGGAAATTAGCTATAAATGGAGCGGCATGGCAGGGCTCGCAGAAAGCACTTTCAAAACTGTTGTAGCATCGATTAAACCGGCAACTCATCCTTCATGTCGGGTAATCTTAGACCACTAGGTAGACGCATCATATTGATTACGTCAGGTTGTTTTCGTAAGTTCGACCGGTACGCGTTTCAACAAAGAGATTTTTCTTCACTGATCCACTCACCTTCACCTTTGCTTTCATTTAGGCATTCCCTGTTGACAAAGAAGACAAAAGGAATGGGATCTGTCCTTACTACTTGGTCATCCCTTCACTGTACCATTCTATGACAGCTAAGTAGCTGTTAGACCATTTGCTGTTAAAGACAAATATGGTGTATGTGGAAGACTTGATTAGTTAGAGCGTCTCCATTGTCTATTCACAAGGATTAGTTATCTTGAATATATTTAAAACGTTTAGATCTTCATACATGGTATGTTCACATTACACAATTGCTATCTAAATGACTACATCCTCATATCTCTAAATCCTTAGATTACTAGACAGTCAGATAGTGTAAACCTTTGTATCCTATATTCCTGTATTCCCAAATTCCCAAATGCCTATATCTCCACATCCTTGTATTCTCAAAACCTTGTATCCCCAGATGCTCCCCTCTCTTATCCCCAGATCTCTGCATTCCCAGATCCTTATATCCATTAACGGTACTAATTAAAAAGAAGTCTTGTTATGTATCAGTATAATGTACATAACCTATTCACACAATGTAAAACGATTAATTAATCACCCTTGAAATAACAGTTGCTACAACTTTTACCTAATTAAGATAGAGGTACCCAATTTTCATGGATAATACTTTCTCTCCTTTTTTACAAAGTGAAGTAATTAATACAGCATAGCAATTATACAATATTCTCACGAATTTCAAGTAAGATTTAATAAAAACATCTTTTTCAGAACTTTAAACGTCAAGTGTACTTTAGAACGGTTATGGCTGTCGAAGCTTCGTCAGTAATTTAGATATTATAGTATCAGAGAAAGTGTCTCCTCGAGCACGAAACTGGGCTTCCTGGTGTCATAATATAACAGCGTCCATTACGATTATTTTACATGTTGCGACAGGTTCAAGTATTTGTTATTTTTGTTCACCGAGTACGTAGCGCTTTTTAAATAGAGTTTCATTCTTCCTACTTGATGCATCAACCCGATACGCGCTCCATTAATGATCGATTTCACCGGCTATGGGAAAATCCATAATTATACAGCTTGTCACGATGAAGTATTATTATTTATGTAATGAAGGAACCTCTGGGATACACCTGAAGGCATTTATATTTCCTGCATTGATCACATCTTTCTCTATCTGTTATCTTGAATCAAAGTAAAAACGATTTTAATTCTATCAAATTTTATTGCAATATGAAATTATTTTCTTTTAACAGGACTCGCTCATAGCAAACGATTGGGGAAATTACAAGACGCCAGTACAAATTAAACAACTGTTTTATTACAAAAGAGCTAATCTTATAGGACGTTTCTTATTCTATGCTAATTGGAATTATACTAGGTCACTTAAAAGCTGGACCATACGTCGTCGATGGAACTCGTGTGTTGTAATTATTGCGACCACCAAGACTGTTAAAACTGTTGTCCAGAGAGTTGGAACCGAATGGGTACTGATAATTGTTTCCATTGTTGTAGTTACCAGAGGGTGGTTGATAGTTGTATCCTCCATTATTTCCTTAAACAATACATTTGTTAGATGAAATGCATAGTATAGATATTGCATAATTATTTACAACTCATAATCATAGGATCAAATTTCTAAGTCTATAATCTAATATGTAGTTTTTAATTTAATGAACACCTGCCTACTAAAGTTATTTGAAATGATAAAAATGATAAATGATAAAAATTCTCAATTACCTCCATTGTACACAGTAGGAGCATTATTATTATTATTATTTGTACCCGGGTATCCAAAATTCTGACCACCAGCTTGATTGTTGTTATTGTAAGCATTATTATTATTATTGTTGTTATTATTGTTGTTGTTATTGTTGTTGTAACCATTGTTTTGTGTGTTGTACTGATCAGGATAGGTCGCTGTTCCCTCATATCTGACATCTGCGTGGAAACCCGTCCTCCAATCTGCAGTGTAAGTCACTATTTGTGTCCTACCATCAGGTAGTTGGACTCTGTATTCTCCTCGCACGGTTTCACCATCGCTAGTCTCGCGTCTACCGAAATCATTCCCGGTTGCCTGGTCTTTCACTGCGTAACCAAATTCATAGGACATCGGCTGCAACATAGGTACACACGATTACAGCATCAATAATTAAATTATAGAAAGATTTAATGACTGTTATTATATTTCAGAATCTGGACAAAGTATGTTGAATCACTACCCTCATATTAGAACTCATGAGGAAGGGAAAAGAAATGAAGAGATGGCGTTATGAGATTCAACTTTCTTCTACAAAGAAGTGGAGCAGATGCGGACTGCGATTTAATCTGGCTCGAGCTAGGTCGCTCGACCCGCAGGCTAGAACCGCGCGAATGCACATAACCAGACCGTTTAGATTCTCTCAGAACGATTAGCTAATCGGCAATAACGATTTGCCGTGGATGATGCCTGCGGTCGTTGGTTCACCCTATTAATATTGTTGCGTAATAAACGCGTTTACGCCACAGACTGACGCGATGAATGTGTAGCATTTCGATGATGGATCCGAGATTCCGGTGCCCACGCGGTTTCTGGTTCTCAGATCCGTGTCACGGACAGGTTAGAGGTTACGGAAACCGTATCTAATAGTTGGTCATTAAGCGCATTGTTTTCAACACTTCTGTATTTATGTGTTTAGCTTGATCAAACTTGAAACGATTTAAATGTAGAATGTATTATATTTGGAACGCTTCAAACTTGACACACCTTGTACTTGAAATACTTCAAATTCACAACGTTTGAAATGAGATCTTGTAAGTAATGTGCTCATTGTCCTGACTAATATACATGATTGTGGAGATACATTTATATTCTAATTAGGAACTTGAATATTACTAATGTAAGTAAATATTTTCAGATGAACTAATTAGATCTGGGAGAACGGGAAGATGCCATGAAACTTCATTCCCACTTCCCATCATCTTTGCAACATTGTAGGTGAGCGCGTTAATGTAATTTCATCGTGGTTGCAGCATTAAAGGAGTGGTTATTGTTACCTGTCGCAACAGCTTAGGGTAGTTATGAAGTACATAAATTTACTTAATAGCAGTATAAAACAAGCAGTTAATTCGTGGACTCCAAATAACCCTCTTTCAGATTTTCAAACATATAATTACTAAAAAAAATTTACGTCTTCAACACCTTAGACAATGAATCTTTGAGAGAACAGTTCCTTCATTTTAAAAATTTTGTTAATTAAGAGGAAGTGGAAACGAAGAGAAGGCATTGACTTAAAAGGGAAGAGAAGAAAGGAAGTCGATGCTTGATCTATACATTCTAGATTTACGTAACGAGATCGGTCATGCCTCGCTCGACAAAGTTCAATGTTACTTGTACAATCAGCGTTAACCCAGATCTATTCATCTACTGCAACCCTTGGTTCTACTATGAAATATTGTGGCGGAAATACGAGTAGAATTGATCAATGGGTATGTTCTTCAGGCGATTTGGTATTAAGATCTATTGCTTTTCCATTTTGATTATCTGTGATATATCAATCGTTCAACATTCTGCAATTTATTTGCTCTATTGTAGGGCTTTGCAAATATGGCAATTATTATTATGCTTCAAATAGTTTATAATAAATATATGTTGTGCCTCTTTTAAATTTCTTCTTTTTTTCTACATTTAGAGATATGAGGATCCAAGGATATAGGGCTTTTGTCAATGCCGTTTGAGACTCATTTCCAAACTGAGTTTTCCAGAAGTGAAGATCCATCGTTACGAGAGAACGCATCCGTAATTCTATTGCAACAGGGAATTGTTCATAGCACTGAAACGGTCTAAGAAACGGCAATTAAGTTTAAGCAATCGTGATCGTTAAATGCACAAAAGAAGCAATCTGAAATGGCAAGTAATAAATATTTAATTATATTTAACACCGCAGGTACAGAAACTTCATAAATAATTTTAACCTCTATAATATCATACATACAAATTTCAGATCATTTACCTGATCGACGTAATCGTTGTCATTTCCGTTGTCATAATGGTGATTGCCAAAGTCATTTGTACCCGAGGAACCATGGTTGTGGTGGTTGTTGTTGTTATTGTTGTTGTTATTGCTGCCAGCATAATTTCCTGGTACTCCGTACTGATTGTTTAATGGAGGATCACATTGTACGATTCCTATGCTCACCATTAAAGCGAGCGATAACTGTAAATTAAATATATACGTCAGGTTCTAATTTAACAATATTAATTTAAACAAAATTGAAGTCACATATTGTTTCAGGTCATTTATAAGAATAATGTTAGTGTGACTCCATGTCTCAATCTGATGTTCCCTAGCTGATGTGTGCAACGGTATCAGACTGTTAATTTAAAATCAGATGGATTCCCAAGAGCACTACAAGAGCATAGCACGAAAGCGCGAGATGATCGAGCGGCTTGCGTTGCGTAGGCGAGAAATTAGAGCCGTGAGCCGGTGTTTTCCTCCTGATTTCTGTCGTGAGAAAGCGTCAAGCGTTGCGTCATCGTCGACGTTCAAAATCAGCTGGAGATCGGGCACGATTGCGACCAGGGGAAAAAGGAAAGAAAGGATTAGACTGTTCCGGCTGACGGTAACCCAGTCCTCGTTAAGGAAACTCGTTAGCGGCCTTTTGACGGACAAATGGCACATCTTTATTTAATGCTCATGTGTCGTTGACAAGATTCACGTTTGCTTTTATACTATTATCTGCCGTTCTGTGGAATCGAGCACAAAACTTTCGTTCATAAATTATCCATACAAAAAGCTTCGTAATAAAAGAGCTATGCTTCCGCAAATTAGCTGATACTTATAATATGAGTCTGTTAAAGCTACTTGAATCTCTTAACACAAATGTTAATCTGTGTTAATCAATATTATCTGTTAGCATAATCTCAATAGCCAGTAACTCGATTGATGTTCATAATTGTTTGAAAGTGGAATTGAAGCTTCTTGTGGAGAAGAAAAATGAATTAAATTCCTTTCCGGTTGATCAGTCAGGATATAAAAGATTTCTTCAATCATATTTAACTTGTTTCTTGTTTTTCAGAACAGAAGAAGGAATCTGATGATTCAAGTAATCGTTGAGTAATTTCCTGTTGGGAAGATTTTGTTCAAAACTGTTGCAAGATTTATGGTTTTAAAGGGAACAGGGTAAATGGTGAGAATCTGTTGCTGCTGATTTTAATTATATTGTGACAGAGAATAATTCAGAGTGCTAGAAAGCAGAGATACTGAGATGAAAGAAAAGCACATTTGAAATTAAGAAATCAAGATTGATAATAATTTATGCAATGAAGGGTGCTATTGTGTATGTTATGGCATGAGAGACAAGTCTCTTCCAGTGGTTAATTATGAGAGTTGATTATCTGTGATGTATGTAGATCATGAATGCAGTTGTTCAATATTAATTGTTAAGAAAATCAACCTACATCTTTGAGACATAAATCATTCTTGTCTCATAGAAGAAATATTTATTATTAAAGTATCCTATATTTGAATTTTTATATCTTCATTCATTGTGTTCTATATTGTGTGCTTTAAGAAAAAGAACGCTATAAAAATCTCTGAAGAAAGATGCCCTGAAGATGTGAAGATTTTCGTAACGAGTTACTTGGAAGCGTGCATGATGTCACTTAAAACGATGTTAGAATAATTTCACGTAGTGGCTTGCGAAATGTTTATGTTATTATTTATATTCCCGTGTAAAGCATACGTGTCTGAGCCGCATTAACGGAGATGATTACACGGGACCAAGTGTACTTACATAATGAAATGCAACAACCTACTGTGTACCTACAAAATGAACTATGCAATGTCTAACTGCGCTTGCAAATTGAAACATACGCATCTCACTTATTGAAGAATTTGAGATTTTATAATTTTGAAAATTGTAAAGATACATTAGAAATTTATATTTTATAAATACTAGGGTAGTTATAAATGAACAATTTGGAAGACTTTTAAAAGTATAACAGGTATAATTTACATCAAATACAGTCAAAATAAATTTTTATGCCATCAAAAAGTGTATAATGAAACTTTTACTATTTTCAGATTCTGAGAAATGAATAAAAAGTTTATATGTACACAGTTATGTGAAAGGAATCATCAGTGCTCAGGAATTTCAGATTTAAACTAATAAAAAGCATTTTATAACTTACAATATATAAGTATAATTTCTCACATCAGGTAATATTAGTTTCACATGCAATGTACCAATCTGTGGTTTGAATAATGGCCCAGAAATATTGATTTATTATGTCAATCTTTATTAATGGAAACAGATATCTCAAGATAATCTTAACTCATCCGGTACAGTGGATGTGTGTCATATGAAGAAGATATGCATTTGAGGACAATTTAATTCACACTGTACCAGCTGATGGCTACAAACTAAAGCACTAAAGATACAATTGGAGGACATCCAACCCACAATTAGTATTAAACATAACATCTTTTCTGGACAAACATTCAACCAAACCTTGACAGCAACCGTACTGATTTAAGACTGTTCCACCAACAGGTCACCCCAAATCACTGCTCACAAGTCAACAAAAAATCACGTAGCAGATGAATTATAGCAGCGCCAGCACCAATGCAGATCAACACTTATCCTGATTACCTGTCGCACCACTCTATTCATACTTAAGAAGACTTAGAAACCGGAGCACCGTGTGTAATGTTGAATTATGGTGACGTTTTGCTGCCTAGCTGGCTTATATAGAGAGCCCGTGTACGCCTACAAAGATTCATTTCCTGTCGGCTACGGATCCAGCTTGGAGGAGGATCCGTGTGGATCCGCGTGTAAAACTGGGGGTTACTCGGTATACTCCAGTTCACATAGGAACGCGAGACGTGTGGAAAGCCCGCGCTTTATTTCCCATTGTTCTGCCGGAGGCATGTGCGATTTTGGGGCGGCGCGTGCATGAGAGGAACGCGTCTTCTAGAGCGGAGAAAGCTGATTACTTCACCGCGTGGGACAGCCTGCTGGCGAATCTAACTGAAGAGGCAACCAGCTCTTACTACTCGAGCTTCTTAATTAGCCAATCGGAGCCTTAATTAAGACGGAGGACCATTGTCCATCTCTTGATTCATTGGTGGATGTCGTAACGTTGGTCAATCTTCCATTCCGTCTGTCTTCTTGTATTGGACGAACTGAATATGTAATTAGAGGTTTAATTGTATGGATAATCCATGTTTGGTAAATTGAAGGCATTGTACAGGTGAGAATGAAACTCACAAATGGAATACGGTGCATATTGGGAAAAAGTTCAAGCTAGGTCTAGGTTGATGCGAACTTGATGTATTCTATTTGAGTCCACTGGGTTATATCACCTGTTTCTTCAAATACATGGAAAGGTGTTTATGAATTTTTATGGACTCACAAAGTTCTAAGGTCAAACGAGTGAAGCTAAACTCCACATGATCTTGATCATATCACGCTCATAGAAAAGTGTAAGATTATAATCTTGAAACGATGCCAATCCGTTAAGGTTTATGAGCATATACTGAACCACATCCTAAAACACAATTGAAGTTACATAATCAAACTGGAAGATACATTCGTTTTGTCGGCGTCAGACCGCAACGCATCAAGGATCTTCATCTCGACAAGTTTGTTGGATTGTAACACGCAAGACGCGTGACAAGAAATGGCACGAGCTGAGCACAATGTATAACACAAATGAATACTGAATCCAACGAGATTGGCACCCAGACCGATTTAGAAAGTACATTTGAATGGCGTTAAAATTGCTTTTCGTCTTGGTCATTCTACACAACCGACCACGTTGTTACATTATTACAAATAATCTCGTTTCACAATTCGTCTCATCCTTACCACCTTAATTTATTATGCGTACACACAGAGTCGTCGAGTTTCATTCAGAAGATAAATGATGGATTGAATGCTGTTTAGGTATCTCGAAGACATTATCATTATTTTTTATTAAAGACTCTTTAAAGAAGAATTAGAATAGGACTGACGATTTTCTTCAGTGTTGTAAAAAAACTGAGAAGCTGTAATCAATTAATTGGTCAGCCATTATAATGACTGAGAACAGTTCTTACAATTAGTGTCCTAGGACTTGTACCTAGTTAGAAGGTGCAACGAGATTAATAATTGTTGATCTGGTTTAGGACAATGGCCACTATCAGAACGGTCGATCTAATCTTCTGGATCAATGAGTTAAAATGAAACCTAATCAAGAGGGGCTTTATTGTTTATTTAGTGTGCGAATTCTCACTTTCGATTCCTTTCGTAACCTTTCCCTGATTGTTCGCCGTTACGTGAACGGAAACCATTGCGTTACGATAAGCACATGCTCCCCGCAGGACGATTAACAATGATGCCGACGGTTTTCGGTAATTTGCTTCTTATTGTTCAGCCAAAAATTCGTTGTGTAACTGGTGAACTTTTATCTTATCACTTTAGTAAAAAATGCAGGAACAAATGGAACGGTATTCTTAGCCTAAGTATACTAATTGATACTTTCTCAGCATCTGTGTTCATTATAATATTAATTAGATATGGTTGAGATAATGAAAGAATACTTTTAAACATAATAATAACACTCCTCTGCAAATGTATTTATAGTAATAATTTTCTTCTGGATTACAGGTAAACTGGGAAGCTGTACCTAATACTTCTTCATCGGTTCTAAAATCAGCATAAGATGCAAAGAGGAGAAAATCAAACAATGTTTAGATCTTGGTACAATTTCTTCATGATATGTAATTGAAAGGATCATCATAACAACCTCTCTTTATAATCTTCCCCTCACACGTGCGCCAACATGATCGACAAGGTCATGACGTGTTCAAAGGATGCTCTAAATTCATCCCAATTCATATTATGCAAGCCACCTCAGACAATTTTGTATATCAGATTTAGTTTTGTTGTGAAACGTCATGATGTGGAAGATAGGCATGTAAAAATTTCGTTATTATTTCATCATCTTTAACAGACTGTTCAATCAGCAATCATGATTGAAAGCAAATCAAGGATATGGTTTTTGGCGTGAGATTAATACAGCATCATTTTGGATCATTATTATGCACAATTAAACTGAATTGGGTTGATGGGTCTCTGGGAACTAGTATTAATACACTGCAGATGTTTAGATTGATGGATCTTAGATGGATAATTCATGACAAAATTACTATTCTACTTTCAAACATTAGTTATGTGAAGGGAAATTGTACCTTCAAGAAAAAATATGTAATTAAAGGAAGAAAGTACTAACACTAACAGGTGCAAGAAATGCTCTGCATTTTATTCATGATTTCGTTAATAATATTCAGGAAGTTTACGCACGAGGTTTCTTAACGAGAAGTGCGAAAAGAAACAATATAATGTCAATATCAATTCCGCTGCAACCTGTGATTAATCTTAATTGAATATCAACATTTATGCAGTGCATCAATGCAGTGACATGTGTGATGTATTGAAGTGTAAGTAATTTAAACGCGACGTCATAATTGTTTCCTAGTCGACAGAGTAACAACAGAGCTGAATATGTTAGCATCTTATTGACCGATCGGGTACAGAGCCGATTGTTTCCTCTCTTAACCTATAATTACAGCTATATTCTATTACTGCAAGTGAAAATTACTCCCTCAACTGTTGTTTATCAAGGAGTGGTCAAACAAACCTTATGTAACTGAAATACTTTATTTCTTCACATGGTGTGATATATCTATTTCCTCTTTACAAAAAATGATCAATAAATTTTTTATTATACAATTTTTATTTGTTTACAAAAATGGCATCAAAATGTTTATTTATTTCTAACTATTTACTATTATTTTTTTTGACGATCTCTTTTGAATTTACTAATCGGCCGAGCATGCTCCTGTGTTTTCGAAACATCGTTTACAGGCGCTGTTGTGTTCCTTTCTTGAATATCTTTTACCACCTGATGGTAACAAAAATATTTTTGTAGTACATATAAAAAGCAGATAAAGTGAAAAGATATACAAGATTAATCCTTACTGATTCATACGCTGAAGGTTTATTAGATTCTTCTTCTTCCTCCTCTTCTGTACTATAATCGGGAGGAGGAGCCTGTACAGGGATATCGTTTGGTGATCTTTTTAAAATAGATTTAGGTTTTGAAAGCATCTTATATATATCTGCTGGTGACTGTATCGATTCTCCATCCGATTTTATAGTCGGATTATTTGAAGAATGACTAAATTCTATTCGAAGAATATCTTCCACTGAACCTTCTTCTACATCTTCATTATTTGTTTCTTCTGATTTTTTTAAGTTTTCATCTTTTTCTTTCTTTTGATTATCTTCTGATACTGCAAATGAAACTGATTTTGTTATTCTATTACTTTTTACATTTTCCTCTGGCTGTTTTTTCTCAGAATCTACAATATCTTCATCTTCCTTTTTAGAATCATTTTCTTCACTTTCAGAAGAACTTTCTGATTCATAATAACATTCCCCTTCTTTTAGTTCCTCACCAAAAAGTTCATGCACTTCATCTTCCAATCTATAAACCAATGTTTCAGTTGTCTTAAAAATATTTTAAGATTTATATAGAAAATTAATAGATCCAGATACTATTAAAATATACCTATTAAGTTCATCAGCTAATTCTTCTTCAATTTCAAGTTGATCTAGTCTATTAAAGAGGTCTTCTTCTGTTTCAATCTTCTTTATATTGTCTTGCCTAAGTTTGGTTAATTTCTGGTGATACTCTTTCTCTCTTTCCCTATGCTTCTCTGTAGACAAAAATGTAAACTGCTTGATTACTTGCAAAAAGATCATCAAGAAGACAATCATAAAAAAATAATTACTTCTCCATTCATCAATCTGTTCTTCATTCCAATGCTCTACGATTTCTGTGCCAGCACAATCTTCAAAGAAATCATTTTCTGTAACCATCATCCTAGTTTCATATAAATCTCTTTCTGTGCTTAGTTTCTTTAACATTTCTTCTGCATCTAATGAGAAAGATTTATCATTACTATACATAACATTGATTATATTTTCTTCCTATTTGATGCTATTAAACATTTTATTATACTTTGTATTCTTCTTTGACAAAGAGCTATTGCTCCTGCAGCACTATACTTTGCAAAATATCCATCACCCAGAAAAGCAAGAACTTCATTAGTATGAATTAATCTTCCCTTCATTAGTGCCCTTTTTCCAATTGGTACCATACAGTTTACATATAAATCTTTCTGAAAAGTCTGGAGCGCTTCAGCAACCTTTTCATGACCAGTTTTATAAGCTCTCCATATTTTGCACTGTTCTTCATTCTTTTCGATCCCCTTAAACAAATAAAAACAACAGGATTATAAACAATTATAATATATTAACATATTTTATTTTTATAGAATAACTCACTTTTGAAAGAACATCATCTAACAATGCATATTGAATTTTTCGTGTATCAATCTCGGGATTCATTGTTAATATAAAAAGATTAACCAAAAAGAATTTTTCCAAAGCATAGAGGTACAATTAAAGTCACTTGTTGTACTTATTTCATTCTTGCAAACATGTTTTATGAGGATTTTAATTTATGAAAATTAATATTTCACATAAAGTCGTATATCAAACTGTGTATGTTAATTAATAAAATCACATCGTTATATTAATTGCGACTGTCGTAATTATTTATCTAACTACTATTTCGAAATTTGAATTCCCTTAAATCTAACCTCAAAAATGACATTTAAATTTGAAGGTTATTTGTGATAGCGGCTTAAGATGGCGCTATATGAAAGTCATGTTTTACCATGCCTTATAAGTAGAGGTAGAGTGTAAACCAGATATATGTATTAAATTTATAACAATGTCACTAATTTTATAATAAAAAGCAATCAAATTTATTATCCAATACAAATTCGTTCATCATTATTTAAACTTGGTTTCTTTTTTTAATCATCAGATGGCGCTGATCATGTACAATTTGTAAGAAAAATTCACATCTATACTTTTCATTGATCTGTGATTTTCTTTCTTATTGCTTCCTGCCTCAAAGGAGATAAACGGCAAGATGGTTAGTGAAAGAATGGAAATCTATTTGTATACCAAACATCATTATTAATTGTTTTCCAGAAACTTAATCATTGAATTTTTAGTCCTTATATAAAATCAAATATTTGTAAATTTTTGTGCATGTGATACATATTCAAAAGACAATCATACACATAACCTATACTTCTGTATCAGCAAGATGTTTAACCCCTTTTTCTTCCTTTAGCTATATAAACATTGTTTCTTTTTTTAAATAGTTGATAGAATTAGTACTGATCATTGCTATTTCCATACAGTATACAAAAAAATGAGTGGAATGTCACTGAATGTTACCAATTTTTCATGCAAGTCTTGAAATGTTAAGTGTGATGTTAATAGTGGTGATGTGATTTCAGGGTAAAATTAAGTGTACCGAACTGAGGACAAAAGACAAGAAGGAGCTGCTGAAGCAGCTGGAGGAGCTCAAAACAGAGCTGACAAATCTTCGTGTTGCTAAAGTCACTGGTGGTGCTGCTTCTAAGTTGTCAAAGATGTAAGTGCAAATCTTAAATATCATATAAATTTCAATGTAGCAATTATTTTCATGTCAAATGAAGTAATAAGTCTTTGTTTTTATTTATTTTTATTCTCATAAAATTTAATATTAGTCAATACTTCTTGTTCACAAATCTAAATATTTGATGTATGTTTCAGCCGGGTGGTCAGAAAGGCAATAGCTAGAGTGTACATTATTATGCACCAGAAACAAAAGGAAAATTTGCGTTTATTGTACAAAAACAAGAAGTACAAGCCGTTGGACTTGAGGCCAAAGAAAACAAGAGCACTCAGGAGAGCGTTGACACCTTACCAGGCCAACAAAAAGACTCCAAAAGAAATACGCAAACGATCTGCCTTCCCACCAAGGAAATATGCTTTAAAGGTGTAAACTACAAGGTATTGATAAGGGATAAAATAAAGGTTTTTTAAAAATTCAATACTGTGTTACTCTTTAAAGAGACAAACATACTCCAAAAAAATATTGGCAAATGCTTTTTATTTTGTATAGAAAAGGTGTACAAAAGTTAAAATTAGACAGACAATTTCTACTCAATGTAAAATCTAATATAATTCTTGATTATTCAATATCTGATATTGTGTGACGTACTATGGCAGATCTTCCAGTATCTGAAGATGCAAAAGATGCTTTATGAACTATAATTAAACTCCTAAATACAAATTTGGAACTGAATTACAGCACCCACAATATATAAATGCAATGTTCTCACACAAGTAAACTTTTGTATAAACAATCTTAGGTATTGAACATTCAAGAATCGTAGAAAATTGATACATGAAGCTTAAAGACGTATGCCAGGGTTTCTAGAAAGGACAAAGTTCAGAAGTTCATCGCTGTCTTCGCATACAAAAGGCTTTCGGTGATGGCAAGCCACGTCGTGCCATTTGATGCCATCATTGTAAAAGTTGTTTAAGATAGACAAGCAGGACTCGTCGTTACCCTGCAACAGAAACAATTAATCATATATTAAACCAAAAAAATACGTTTCTAAAATTAAAACTCATTTACCTGGGCAGCTTCACGATTGTCAGGTTGCGGTTGTCCGTATCCGCCAGTGTTACTCCAGTCACCAGAGTTACGCTGCGTAGTAGGACCAATCTTAGCTCCTGAACCCGACCAGAACCATCCATTGATGTTCTGGGGCTGAAGATCTGGTCTGTCACAGCCATTGAAGTTGCATTTGCGTCCCGATGTCCAGATGAATCTCACGTTTCCTATATAAGAGTAAATTGAGATACATTCGTCGTAAATACCTTAATAATAAGATCTTGTTTTATAGTTTACCTCGTGCCAATCTCTGTTTGATAAATTCATTTTCTTGCGGCGTTTCGAGAGAGACTGCGTCCATACAATGTCTGCGACAAATGTTACGAGCATCCAGCCAGTCCACCTCCAGACTTCTAGTCGGTTGATGTTCCCAACTGAAGAAGTATGAATGTGCAACACCTCTGGCATCTCTGTAGGTAGCATGTCGTACTCCTGCAAAGAATTAATTTGTTTTTGTGAGAAAAAAATTACAATTATATTTTCATGAACTAGTTCACAGTTTTGAAAAAGTCTTACTGTTTGCACAACTGCGTGGATCAGGAAGAGCGAGTCGACGTTGAGCGTGGACTGCGACGCCAACGAACAACAGCATCAACCATATCGTCCTCATCTTTATGATTCTTAAACATGAAAAAGAAACGACTTCTATTATAAAAGTAGTTACTAAATATTTTTAAAGTTGGAGAAGCATCTTCGGTATACGAGAATTTGCTAATTATTTTTTAATTTGCTGGAGAGAAGAAACGCGTTCGCGTTTTAAACGAAATGAGGAAACCGTTTTCCGTTGTAAATGATTATCCGAGTAGAGGTATCTTGGGAACGAATCTTTGTCCAGGGTGAAAGGAGACTTTGAGTGAATTACGATTTGAGAAAGAGAAGAGAGGGCTCCTACTAAGATGATTCTCTCGCGTCGACGACCAGGAAAAATGTGAGGGGATTTTGCAACAGGTCTTCGTTTTTTGTAACGTGCCGCCAACTTTCCTCGGAGCTCCATAGGCTTGCAACTTTCTAAATCAGCTCCACGTTACCGGTAGATGATATTCACAATTAATGGCTAAAGAATGCCTCTGAATATTAATCACATTTGCGTCGCAACTACAATTATCTGAGTAGCATTCTATATCACAGGAGAGTAAAGATGTAAGAAAATGAAAGTAGAACATAAACTGTGCTGTAGAGTCTGAGCAATCTAACATGAAGTAGTAAGAAAGTGATTGGAATTGATGACATGGAACATTAGGAAGTACAGTTGTCTAATTATTCATGTAATCGAGTTTCCACGATACAATGTATTAACATTATCCTATTCGCGTTCAATTCTTAAACTGAATAACAATGATTCTTGTTTAAAATTCCACGCTGTTGCAGAGTTAATGAAGTCCCACTTTTAATGGCGCTGCTTTCGCTAAAAATTAGTGTCAGCGGTCGTTCACCTGGGTTGAAGAAATACCAATACCATCCCGGAAGAGGCGAATCAATTATCAAATGATTAAAAATCTCCGTTTGCAAAACAATTTAAACACACCGTGGAAAGTTCAATATACCTCGTGTTATTTACACGGCATTTCGTCCTTTGGAATCATTGGATTCAACCATACATAGTAAAGTTGTTTTTCAATTATCGGTTGACGCAACCATCAACTACGAGTCTGCGAGCCTTGTCGATCGAAGAATCTCTTCCGCCTCTAGTATCCACAGAATTAATTAACTGGAATGATGATCATAGCTTTTACTCGAATCTTTTACTGGCAGTTTAAAATGTTCTCGTATTTTTTGGTAGGGTGTTCGGCGGAAGGAAGACGTTAGGAATTTCTAATTGGACAGTCGGCAACCGGATGAGACTTTCGACACAATATTGTTTTAACTACCTATGTATTTCGTAACAGATATTATCCGATTACTGAGGATTAAGAAATTAAAAGTTGTCAATGACACTTTTGCAAACTTATCTGTGATCAGTTCTTTACTAACATTAAGAGGTTAGTTTTTCCTACAAAGTAGCAGTATATTTATTAACTACAAAGTAGTATTTTTTTTTTTACAAAATATACCTTAAATATAATATACTGTTTATTGGTAGTTTTGTAAACATTTACTGAACCAAGTACTTATTTGTAGGGTTAAAAGCGTATTGGCAAAAGAATGAGAAAAAGGGGAGAGATCGTGGCTTTATTTCGTATCCGTGTATGTGCTCGTGAAACCGTTATCTGGCCGGCTTTATATCGTCCGGTTAGGCACTTGACTGTGGGTTCTACGTGTTTCTTAACGGCTCCCTGTCTGTATGCGTATTCGGGACGAGTACAACGATATAAAAAGGAGGCAGGTGTGTGCCGATGCGTTCAATGAAAATAAATATCGGTGCCGGTTCATTTTTGACTCTTACTCGATCAAGGATCATTACGTCATCCGTGTCCTATTTTTATCGGCGTCTCGTGTGCGCTTCTTGAAGACGTTTACACGCAACCCGTCGGAAATGTTTAGTGTCAATACTATACATTAAACGCAAGAGACATTGTCGGATGTTCGTGAATATTTTCACCGTTGAATATCGCAGTCAATGAGTACGGAGGTACTCTCATTTTTTATGCAAATGTGTGGTTGACATGTGGGTCAGTAGTGGCTGTTCCGCCTAAATCATTATCTGTTTAAATAAGTAGGTGATACTTTTTTCAGGTGCACGCTATTAAAGTTTCTGTGACAAAAGCGCTGTTTCTGAAGTCAAAATGTGGCCAGATGCTTTCAAGACCAATTTCAAATTCAAGAAACATCGTAAATGCACGCTTCGATTTTCTAACAGGAATTAGATATTTAGTGTGGGAAACGCATAATCTTTTATTCAAAACTTTTGCTTGGATGTCGTGACACGTTTAACGAGGAAGTTTCTCTCTTTACCAAGCAGTTTTCAAAGGGGAAAATCGGGTTTGTTTTTTTCTCCTTTTGCGGAGGAGATGCAATGAATTCTCGACCAAAGCAATACTTCATGTAAGTTACAAGTTGCATCGTTGCGTACACGTGTGCCGATATTACGCAAGGAAAGTACCTTAGCGAAGATAAACCCCGTCACCTCTCGCGAATCGAAGAGAAAGTGAACTATCTTCAAAACAATCGTGTTTACTTGAAAACTGAGATGAAAAGAAAATAGCTGATTCTACTAGAATGCAACATTTGTCATGACATTTAAATTTATATATTCATTTTCAGTTTTAATCTCATTAAAAAACTGAACACTTCTAGTTCATTGTTTAGAACGTGATAGAAGTGCCAATTAATTAATATTTGTTTGAAAAAGCGAAGGAAATAATTCTCATGGATAAACTTAGTGCGAATTTTGAGAACAATCATAAATAGTGTACATGAAAAAATGGTGAAGTATATAATTGGACAGGACTTATTAATTAAAGGTAACTGGGAATAAGTCGTTAATTAAAGTAACGTTAATTACGCAGTCTTTTGTTCTACTAAACAAAGAAATCAAGAACGAAGTAACGCGGTAATTTAAGCAAACAATATCATACAAAGTGGTCAAAATTTTAATGAACATTAAGGGTCTCATTTCCTTCAAGTTTTTTATTATAATTTAATTCAAAAATATTAAAATATTATTGAAAATGACATTGTTTTATTCACGTTTAAATATTGAGTTATAATTTATTATTTACACATGCAAGAACAATTTTTCTAATTATTGCAACTTACAAAATTTTAATTAGATTATTTTTATTTATCTCCCAATAAAATTGTGAGGTTAGTGCTCTTAAAAATATTGTCTACAAAAATTCACGAATAAACATAATTCTTCTAACTGAAAAATTATGCTTTTTGTGGTAAAAACATTTTTGTTGAAGGGTAAAAGGTAATCGAAATTTTGCAATGGCGGAAAGCGCCATCAAGTACTAACGCGCCAAAACGCCTCTAGGAAAAGGATGGCCAAAGAGAAAGCTCCGTAGTCCCTGTGCGGGTCATGCGACCCGGCCATCCATTCACGAGGTCGTCGCTTTCGATTTCTCCGGGTGCACTTACCTAGAGAAGCTTCTTCTAAGTCGTTAATGATCCTGAATCTCCAGAAATTTCTCGCTTAATACAAAGGTGGTCGGGAATAAAAGACGAAAGAATGCAAAACACTTCTTTCGTTGTTTCCTGATAGCTGATTTTCGATTGATCCAATGTTAAACGTAAGCTCGTCCAAGACTTGTCGATCGCGACGAGAAAGAAGAATGAACTGTGGTATACGAGCAAGCAACCGGTATATAGCCGGCCCACATTCCCTTCTGGCTCGAGTAACCCAGATTCTTCCCACCCATGTGTCTGGGGAACATCTTCGGGGGCCTGAAAGGGGCCCTGGATAATTCCCATCTTGCCCCGGCACCTCTCACTGGTCACTTCCCTCACCCGTTGCCTCCGAGCTTCCCCGAAGTCGTCATCTTTCGGAGCTACAATTCGTTTTTCTCGTATTGGAATCCATCACTGTAATTGATTCTTTTAAAGGAATTGTTCTTTCGTTGACCAACGATAGGCAATGCCCGCAAGGGCATAGTGCACGAGCAGGCAGGGCGTCTGCACTTTCAGCCACTGATACGAAGATAATTTTTTAATTTAAAAATTATAAATCATCAAATTTCGAAATTTTCATATCCTCATAATCACACATCTCTATACTCTTGAGATCTTTAGCAGGCATCCGTCTAACACACTGCGAAAGCTTTCATTTATGTCATTGGTAACAACGCAAAAACGACCCTGAAGGAAAGTATAAAATATAACGGATTATCGTGTGAAATATAATTTATTAATACAAAAGTGTATATGGCATTATGCTATTTGTTGTAGTACCATTGTCCTTAATAATTAAATATTTCTGTTGATTTAAAATTAAATTACAGTATGATAAAATGTTTAACTGCTGTCATATACTACAATGTAATGATGCAATGTTCACCTAGTCCCATATAATCCAAAATGTGTTCTTGTATTTATCATTTAATCAATAAATCCCTTTAAAAATCAGAGGTAGAACTTCTAATCTATTGAAACCCATGCACCAAAAGAATCTATTCCTTCATTCTTCTTCTTGGATACACTTCTCCACTAATTCTCTTAAATTAGGATTCTCCATGGCAGCTGCTATCCTCTCCTTGTCATTTATCTGTTTATTTACTGAAATATATATTTAGTTAGTAAGATAGTATCTTTACCTATAACAAACTGCACTTACTTTCTTGCTCTGTTGAGTGTGCACCTTGCTTAATGTATATGTCTAGTTTAAAAAGAGCTACTAAATGACGTTCCAATTTTACCCTAATACAAAGACCTATCAATGTAGCTAAAGAGCAATGCGGTACAGTTGGATTGAACTCGATGCGTATCACGGATACTCCTTTTGGAGTATGCTTTGAAATTTCAACACAATCTTCGTACACAACATCCAGTTGTTCCAACGTTTGTGGCTTTTCAGGATCCTTAATCGTTCTCAATAGATCTATGATAATTTAACCTTTGTAAGCCTATGTACGTAATTAATTGAATACACAATATTAATGTTGTTCAACAAATTCTCAGTCAATCTATTAGTTGATGAAATATCTTATTATTAATTGTTAATCAAGTGGTAAATTAATATTATGACATTTGATTTTAATCAATTACATCTAAATATTGCGGGTATTAGATGACTCCAAATAATTTTACAATATGAACTTGCCATAAACAGATTCCTTAAGCTCAGTGTCCGATTGCGAAGCGAGAATTTGATCTTTTACGTCTGTGCAGCCTTCTGTAACCTCCATTTCGTCGCCTGTTGGCAAACCATCTTTTATCTTCCCCCCAATTGAGATTTTTCGAAAAAATGACAACATGCTTGCCCCGTGCCCCCCTGCCACTTGTTATAATCAATGATACATAATTAAGATTTGTTTATATTATTGGCTAACAAGTGCAATCATCCTAACCTCTTTACACCGACGAAAAATGCATAGCAATTACGTCATTGTGCCGCGAAAATTCAAATATTGATTAATACCTTCCTGGTATGACTATTTTTATTACAATAAGAAGGACAATCTTATAATTCATACATTGTAATAATAATTAAACATCGAATAAGTACTTTGTGATTAACTAAACATACGATTTTCGAAAAATTCTATGGTCCCACAAAGCGGCGGCAAATTCAAAAAATTTCGGTAGCGTTTTGCGCGCTATCTATTGGTATTTGCAACAACTAGAACTACTGACCGTTTCTCGTTTCAACATTCAATTCAGTTTCAAATGATGAAATTTGGCAATAAATTATTGATAAAGAATTCTATGTATCGAATATTGAAATTGTAGTGCTAAATTTGAATTTTAAGTATGCAAATAAAACCTCCAATCAAAGAGAAAATATTATTATAGCTGAACAAAATTTATTACCTGCTATATCATGAATATCAAAATAATTTGCTTTTTAATCTGTACCAGGGATAGGTTATATCTATAAATTACCAACAGTGGATTCAAAATCAAGTTAGTATTTATAGTAATAATTTATTTACTTTTATTTGCATAAGGGTAGATGTAAATCAAGTCTATAAAAATGATCGTTAATTTATACACGTGTAGTTATGAAATTTGTGCATCACAAGTGTTTCTATCTACAAAATGATCCATAAATTATCATCAAAAATTCCTATTAATTCGCATCTTAATATGTTTCAGGTAGATTTGCACAGAAAAGAAATTTCACTTTCTCATTAACACTCAATTCATGTGTTTCATTCAGTTCCGTTTCTATTAATAATGCAGTATGCTAACATATATATTCAGTGAGTCTTCTACTTTGTGTTTTATGTTGTAGGCTTTCCCTGAGCGTTCCCGCGTAAAACCTGGAACTCAGGTACCCGACATATTCCTTATCCTATAAATTGGTCATCACTTTTGAGACCTGTTCAGCCATCTTTGAACAAGGTCATTTAAGGTCATGAAGATCATTCAAAATATAATGATAGAACTTAGTAAGGTACTCAATGAAAAGGTAAATATACAAATTATAACATTGTTGCAACCTTGAATGATCTTGCACAACAATGTTGAAATTTCCATTGTTATATAATTCAAATAGTAACTACATATTCTTAACAGGTTCTGCGCCTACAAATGTTCGGATTATGATAATAATTTAAATTCAAGAAACGTCATTAGAAGGTCGTTAATAATCGAACACAATTCGCAAAAGCTTCAGTAAATTTTTTATCAGAATTCGTCTAATCTTACTAACCTCTGACTTTATCAACTTTCGGAATAAAAGTTTGATACATTTTACTATAAACATCTCTGATAATTCTATCAGAGTTCCTCACAAATCGGTTAGTATCGAATTTGAACATACAAATAATATTGAAAAGGTATTAAAATTTTTTTTATTCATTTAATCTCTCTGCCCCAGTGATATTTTTCGACGAACATTACATAACAGATTAAAAATTTTTCATCTGCTGGAAAAACACGTTTGATTGGATACTTCAGCACTTTCCAACCCTTGCTTAACATCAGATCAATGTACACGGCGCTCCTCCATAGGCGATTGTGAAACCTTTATCTTATTTATCTGTCCACCGTTAGAAGAAATTCTACTCGACAACAAAAGTTTCTTATTATAGCGTTATCAAATTATCTTTCATCTCGATTCAACGCTGAATGTTCGTACAGGAAGAATTGCATGGAACGAAGAAAGTTCATAGTACAGAGATCGCGACCCTGCTGCGAGCCTAAAACAAATAACAGATTATCCAATTTGTATTGGGAGTAAGAGTCGTCTTGGGTGTTGCATCTTGCGCACGCCCCGTTCCGCAGCGAGAGCAGAGACAGACAACAGTGTCGCCGGTAGGAATACTGGCAAATTCGTGGAAGCTAACGGCGATCCAGGCCCTCCGTGAAACTGATAAACGCATTCATTCTGGCCCCGGCGAATGAGGTTTTAAGGTGAGAGAACGGTGCAACGCGAGCGAAGAATGCGAAAGAAAGCTTTCTAGAGGACCTGCCTGATTTTCTGTTTAATCTACCGACTTACTCTATCACGAAACTTAAACGTTATGTATTCACGTTGTAACAGCGAACGCGAGTATTCCATCTCCGCCGATTCCAGCTCCGCTGATTTTGATGAAGCTTAGAACGCGTCTCTATATGCAGGAGAGAGCTGCCGCCGTCCCTGAACAATTGGAGACGAGGTGGTTGTGCAACGATATAATCTTGCTTCTTTAAGCTCCATGGTGAGTGCAATGGAATTGCTTTTTTCACATAAGATATACACCACTTACCCATATAGAAACGTACACTTTATTTAAATGAAGCAATTTACATTTTTTATATGTTATACTTATCATCTACTACAGCATATTGCATGTACAGATTTACCAGTATTGTCATACTTTCTTATTACATGTTATATTAGTAGCACACCCTAATATAATGTTGTAACATCTTAACATATAGTCTAGGACCCACCCCATTTAACTTAACTCTTACCTAACCCCTGGCATAACCCAGATTTACTTCAATTGTATGATATAATATTATAATTGGTGTACTGCTACGCTCTAAATAATTTTGTACATGTATCTTATATTTTTAGATATTTAAGTATTATGTGACGATTACACCAGAGTGACCAAGAAGAGAGAAGTAGTAAAAAACCAGGAACTGGATAAAGAATAATTACATAGAATAGTTTAGTGGTTGAAATCTTTCACAATGGAACGCGGAGTAACTGTATATACTTAAAGATATTCGGGAGAAAGTACAAGCGTTGACAAGATAGACATCGAAGATTCGAAATAGTGTTAATTAATACGATAGCTTTATTTGCGTGAAAGTTTAGTGATAAAAGAAGCATAACACCATTCTGCCATTATAGAACTTGCAGATTAGCTTATCTCGAACCGATCGATCGATATACTTGCTTCCATTTCATTGTATTGCGCTTGAGAGTTTAATACCATTAGAGTCACTGCTCAATAATGTTCAATCAAAAAAAAATTCTAAATGGAAAGTATTTTAAACGCCATTGTTGTCGTTCGATTTTTGGTTCTTCCTTTCGTTGAACGCGATATTTATTCTACTTTCTATTTGTCCTTACAATTAGTAAACGTGGTTTCCTTAAAGTGATGTAACACGATAGGTCTCGTTCGTGCTAAAAGTAATCGTTAACCTTGTTGTCGAAGAGACGGTAAAGTGAAATTGTATCGTTCGAGATCGTGACCTTGAAAATTTGGAATAATTGTGATGGTATTAGCAGTCGAGAACCGGCTCAACTGTCTTTGAATTCAAATGAGACATTCGGCCGCTTTCTGAATCACGTGACTCATCCTGCATAAATAGAGAATGCCAGTAAGGATTAATTCAAAAAGATCAAGGTCATGTATCAAGTTAAGATGATTTAAATTCCACTTGAAACGAAACAGCTTAAGCTAATTGTAACTGAAATCAGATTGAAAAAAATATTAAACGTCTTGGTCTCTCTATCGGTAAAGAAGTAATCTTATCGTGACATTAATGATATGTACATATTTCATGAGAGGTATGAGCTGATAAGAGTTATCTGTCTGAGAACATCGCCACATCGTCCCCTGTTATATAAATGTCGAAATTTGACAGCTTGCTTTAAATCGAAGTATTATCATAAATTTCTTAATAGTATTTATATAATTCCTTTAGCCTGGAAGTGCATTTCCAGGTACTTCTCATTTCTTTCAAGAAAGAACATTAAAAATTTACATCATTATCTTTTATCTATCTATAACTTGAATTTGTTCCACAAGTATGCACAAGTGCATAGATAAGTGAACTAATACCTCCGTATCTTTAATACACTACACTTAAGTTGATTTCTCAATTACATTTAATTTATTGGTAATTCCAGCTATGTATTCTTTTGCAGACTCATTATCAACCGAGAATTCCAATTATAGCATTCCTTGCATCGTTTCGGTAGATAAAGCTTAATTGCAGCAAAATGTCAGATGTCGCTCCAATTACATTCTTATGTAAATGAGTTTAACGACATCGTTAAAAGAATTCATTCTGCAATCGGAAACAGAAATTAATTTTCTACGATTATTTTTTTTACGATGTTATAACAATGCACCGTCGAATATTATCTATATATAACATCACAAAGAACCTCCTATTTTCGTCCTGCCGGGCGTCACCGTCCCCATTATTCAATCTCTCATTTAGCAGCGCGCGTGTGCAAGATTTCCATCAAGATTCAATGTGATTCGGCTCAAAATTTTATTAACAGGTGTTTCAACTAATCGAAATTCGTGCAAGTTGCATAACTTCTGTTAGACGACGTTTCGACCGCAACTGCTAAGCGAGATATTCATAAGACGGCGAGTTCTCAGTTCAGGTAGCTCAATTTTGCTTTTCCAAAATCTTATTATATAACTTAATATATACAACCACATGTGTTGACAGAAGGTTCACAAGTAGTGAAAGGATTGATACTGATACATATTCATAACATTCAAACAATTCGATACAGATGTACTCGATGACTACTGTGACATCGATACTTTCGTAAAAGTGTCAAACAAGTATCGATACGTGTCCGTAGAAGCATCAAGTAGGTATCGATACGTTTATAGAACTATTAAACGGCTATCGATACATTCGTAGAATCATTAAGCGAGTATCGATATACTCGTAGATGTATCAAACAGGTGTCGATAGTTTCGTGAAAGTGTCAAGTAGATTGTGTCACTGCCCTGCGTTTTCGATACCAGGTGTACATTCGCGAACTCATTGATAGTGTCGATGCAGTATCAATCCCAACACTACTTGCAAGTATATCGTCTTTCGGTCACTATATACGTGCGCGTTACGACTGCTTGCAGAGTATTACGCATGCGCACAACGAGTCCCTTCTAAATCACCGAACGAATTACCGGCACTATCGGGTAACTGATTGAACTGAAGGTAAAAAGAGGTCCTGGTCGGTGGAAATAATGCCGCTGGTACGTTGGTGGAACGCTGTTATCGGGATCAGTCGGTTTAGGACGTGGGAACAACTGACTGCCATAGCGGGGTCAGGGGCGTCAGAAGACAGAGCATCCGTACGTCTGACGGCTCCACAGCCGGTAGTCCAGCGGACGGCTGTCGACAGAACACTCCGTCGTGGTATGGCGAGCAGCGCATCCGGAAGGAAAGTCCTCTCGGAGGACAATGTCTTCACGAACTTACGGAAAGTGGAATACGCGGTGCGCGGGCCCATTCTCCAGCGCGCCCTGGAGATTGAAAAGGAACTCATGAAGGTAAGGAACCCCATGGAGAATTAATTAACCAACGGCGGCGGGTAAAAGTCAGTGCACCCTTCGATCACCGTGAGACAACTGAAATAGGCCCCGTGTCATAACGATAATCGAACACTTGCGCTGAAATTAATCGATATTTAAATGGACGCGCAAATGGAATGTTAACGAGCACGAAATTAGTGCACTTTCATAATTTTCATTATAGAAATAACAGAGATGACAGCTGTATTTTTGGAACAGACGCGATGACATATGTTAATTGGTTTCGATCAAGCTACATATAATATACATGGTGTAAATATAATTAAGAATGAAATGGCATGAGAACGACCTAATTGTTAGAAGCATCATGTATAATGCTTGCATGTATGAAAAACTGGTGCGTGAGTGAAGGTTATGTTTCAATTTCATAATATCTTGAAATGGAATAACAAGGAAACAAATTAGTAACATACAGTAATTAATCTTTTGTCATAATTTCACTTTAATCCAGGAGAAGATATCTGCATCTCTTACCGTTTTATCGCAGTTGTAGAAAGTATTGGATTAACAGAAAAAGGTTTTTATCACATATTATCATCCTATTTTTTAAATATTAATATCTTGATATTATTATAAGCTATTTTAAACAGATTTTAAATAAAATTGATGCAAGTTTGATTGATTGTAAAGGATGATGGCGTTGGAACCACCTGTCGCGGAGGTCTACGTAACTAAAAATAGGGTATCAATTGGCGAGTCGATTGATGCAGATGTGCCTTGGATCTTGAAATATCACGAAATGATTGCAATTTTCTAAAAAAGGTTCCATTTTTGTACATTGCGCGTGGGCGATACAACGCGTGGGCGACATAATGCATGATTGCTGCAACACGTAGGCAATATAACACGTGACTATTAAAACGCGTAGACGAAATAACGCGTGACTACAGCAACACGTACACAATATAACGCGTAAACGATATAAAACACGGGTGGCACAACGCGTACCAATTGGTATGCGTGGTTGATATAACATGATTAATCGATCGGACTGAATTCAGCAAAGATTTCAAGACAAATAATTGCACTCCCAACAATTCGATTGATAACGATAGCCATTTGAGTGGTTTGTTGTCTGCTCATGGAACTCGATACCATAAACTAATGGAAAAAAACCAGAACACGATGCAAGCTTAGAACGTCCTTCATACGTGTTATGACACATTAGTAGCTACGTGCACGTGTGGTTTACATGTCCTATATGAATGTATACACAAAGTCAAGGATTATCTCAGGTGGTCCTTGTATAAACATGTTTCATCACAGATGCATTAAGCGAGATAAATGAATATTATTAAAAAGTATAATGCAAAACAATTGGAATAATTTTACAAAGAAAGTATAGTAACGATTTTATCTAAAGTACAAATTTTGATATCTGAAATATCTGATAATTGATAAAAGTTGCAGACATAAATGATAACACATATTGAAAGCATATGTTACGTGACTTTTTCGGCAGATTGTTACGAACGTTGTATTGAATTCTGTGGTAAATGAGTCATAAAGAAAGGACTACCAATGATAATGTCTTCATACAAGTATAAACGAGACGGACATCTATACATTAACATTTTTATAAAATTATTTTACATAATGCAGTTCTGCTTTCCTTCATCCCCTATTATTATTCACTGTACATAATGAGTCGTGTTGAATTATGCAACCGTTTTTTTTCATAACGTTAATAGTCTGTGAAATTACAAAGTTTGTAATATGCGGTCGAGTATCTTTTTATCCTGACTTGGAAGAATAACGAATGAGTTTTAAATTGTTGGTTTTGTCTGATTTCGGTTTCGTAATCGCAAGACGAAATATTTAGTTTTGAAATCTTGAAAGTTTATCTTTCAAGATGCTCTTTGAGCGGTAATACATTACAATTTTAGTAGCATAATTTAACATTTTAAGTTCAAGAAGAGACTGTAGAATATCTGATTTTAATTCTGAAAATATGTTAGGGTAGGAAATTATTGCACACATCCGATACTTCACTCACAATAAGCTATTACCTGCTCGACGCACATACTAAAAATATCCTATAATAAAAGCCAAGGAATTCTTGGTATCATTAAAACAAGGTTCATAGAATAATATTATACAATAAAAATTTAAAAAATTAATGTTTATATCCTTTTAAAAAATTATTAAAAGGCTGTAAAAATATTTTAAGTAATATGATTTTATAATTAATATAATTAACTCTGAAATATGATGATAAGAATTATTAACTTAATTGTTATTTTTTCAGGGAGTCAAAAAGCCGTTCAAGGAAGTGATAAAGGCTAATGTGGGAGATGCACATGCTATGGGTCAACAACCAATAACCTTCCTGAGGCAAGTGCTGACATTAACGGTGTCGCCGAGTCTCCTGGATGATCCTAGGTACCCCGAGGATGCGAAGGAACGGGCTAGAGTACTTTTAGATGGTTGCAAAGGAGGTAGCATTGGCTCGTACACGGAATCGCCTGGAATCGAGATCATACGCAGGCACGTGGCTCAATACATCCAGAATCGGGATGGAATTCCTTCTGATTACCGTAACGTCATCCTCTCAAATGGAGCTTCAGATGCAATCAAAGTGTGCAAATTCTTTCTTTTATATCTTTCGATTTTTAGTAGTAGCATTTTGTTACAATGTTGATTCCTAAACCGTAATTATTGAAAAATCTACATATTTTATAATTTTATATTGTTACAGTCGTTCCTGAAGTTGTTTAATGAAAAACTGGATGGAAAAGCATCCGGGGTAATGATACCCATTCCACAGTACCCTTTGTATTCTGCTACACTGACAGAATTTGGGCTCTGTCAGATAGGATATTACTTAGACGAGGAGAATAAATGGGCTCTTAATATTTCTGAGTTACAAAGAGCATTGGACGAGTCAAGAAAATACTGTAATCCTCGCGTATTGGTTGTAATAAACCCTGGCAATCCGACGGGCCAGGTTCTCACGCGTTCTAACATAGAAGACATTATTCGGTTTGCTCAAAAGAATCATCTGTTCATACTGGCGGATGAAGTCTATCAAGATAATGTGTACGACAAGGACAGTGCCTTCCACTCGTTTAAGAAAGTAATGACTGAAATGGGCGAACCGTACTCTAAAATGGAATTGGCGTCCTTCATGTCTATATCTAAAGGTACATACTACTTACATCACTTATTACACTTGGGAATCTCAATCCTTTGTACCCACTTTCCAAAATGGTCATTTGACTCACTGATTTATAGTGTATCAGTCTCAAAGAAAATTAATAGTTCAGCATAAATTTAATTAGTTCTTGTTCAGTGTTTAAATAAAAATCTAATGTTATAGGCTACATGGGAGAGTGTGGAATCCGTGGTGGATACGCTGAAATCATCAACATGGATCCTTCAGTTATGGCAATTTTAATGAAGGCGATCTCAGTAACGTTGTGTCCGACTGTTCTCGGCCAGATTGTGATGGATGTTGTAGTAAATCCTCCAAAACCAAACGAACCATCGTACGAACAATTCAAGAGGGAAAAAGAGCTAACGCTACGCAACTTAGCAGAAAAGTCACAGTTGGTGGTCGACACACTGAACACCATTCCAGGTTTTAGGGTATTTTGCACTTTCTTTGTTATGGAAACTGCAGAGTTTACAGATTCTTATTTTCTTAATTTCCTTACAGGCGAATCCAGCCATGGGTGCTATGTATGTATTCCCGCGGATCGATCTACCCCAGAAAGCCATAGAGGAAGCAAAAGCAAAAGGTATGGAACCTGATGCGGCCTATGCCTTCAAACTGTTAGAGGCTACTGGAATATGTGTGATACCTGGCTCTGGATTTGGCCAGAAACCGGGAACGTACCACTTTAGAACCACAATCTTGCCACAAAAAGACAAGATAAAAACGATGGTTGAGAGTGTGAAACAATTCCACTTAAAGTTCCTGGAAGAGTACAAATAATTATAAAATTATCACGTTGTTGCATTTTATGTCTTTGAAGTGCCAGGACCACAATGTGCAGATTATTTATATTACAAAAAAAAACAGTATTATGTTCGCACGAAAATGATTGAAAATCCACTTAAAAGCATCAAGAACAAATATTAAATTGTACATTTTGTAATGTACACAAGTTTTAAAAGGAATAATTTATAGGTCAAAGTACACTAAGTTTGCACAAGTTTTGGCACGGAAAGGAAAGGGATCTTTTTGAGTGCATTATTTACACGATTCATCGAATATTTATAGTGTAAATTTATAATTATGTTAAGTAATCGAGTGGCATACTAATTGATGAAGTCTTTTTTTTAAATGTATGGTGGGTGTTTATGCGTGTGTCTCATAGTAAATTGTGATAGTAACAAGTTGAATTATGTTTTTATAATACTCACAATGGTGTTTTCAGTCAGGATAAATCGGGTACGAAGCTTGTAACTTTCCTGTGTCACGGGCACATTATGTAACAAAACGTGTAGGCAAATAAAAAAGAATTTAGTGTTTATATTATATACGAATCATGTATATGCGATAAAATTCACCCACCAGAGTTCAAGTACCCGATGTTTATCTAAGATCCCCATTAACTAATCCAATTTCAGAAAAGTTTTAAATGAGATTAGAAACATAAAATATTCATATATCCTATATAGATATACAGTGACAATATGATCAGTTGTATGCCCTTTTTAAAACCATACCGTTTTTATGCGTCTGCGTTGAAATATTTCTCACCTTAAAAAGAAAGCTCAATACGATTTAGAACGAAACAGATAAAAAATAAATCTTTAAACTCTGAATGAGAAAACGAACCACTGTACTCTATACAATTAGTTCATTAAAAAATATTTTTTTGAATGCTTCTGTTAACAAAAACTCTGTGTTATTTATTAAATTCCTATGGCGGAATTATGTTATATTTTTTACAGCACTTCAATTTAACTACACATTTTTACAAACAGCGCTACTAAAATGGACGAATTATTCTATAAATCGCTGGCGAGTCTCTCGATCTCCTCTGCAAAGAATCTCATATCGGCTTCAGTCAGTCCAGAATTTTGCAGAACCAGCCTAAAGAAATTAGGCAGTTCACGCAGCGGTTGATAAGTGATTAACATTGATCCCTTCTTCACCATACGCTCCTTTACAGTTGGCCCAGTTTTCTGGAGAACTTTCGACAACTCCTCGCCCTGTAAATGACGCTTTGAAGGTGGCACGTACCAGAAGCACACGTTCGTACATTCAGGTTCAATGACCAACTTGAAGCCGTCTCTGTGTCTTATGTATTCTGTGAAGTACCGTGCTAACTCGAAGACATGGTCCACGTGCTTCTCAAGACCTCGAGTACCTTTAGCTTTCCACATGAACCAGAATTTTAATACGTCTGCTCTACGACCACACTGCACGTGTTTGTCACCGGTGTCAAAGGAGGTGTCATAGAATTTGTCTGACTGAAAGAGGTAACTAGCTCTCAGACCGTGTGCAGCCTGCAGGAAGCCTTCATGGCGCAATAACAACGTGGAGCATTGTTGTGGCGCGGCCAACAGCTTATGAGGATTCCAGGTAACAGAATCAGCTAACTCAATACCATCTAACAGATACCTATGCTTCCTAGACATTAATGCTCCACCTCCCCAAGCTGCATCAACATGAAACCATAAATTATATTTTTTGCAGCAAGCGGCTATGTCTCGCAGAGGATCATAAGCCCCTAAAACTGTTGTTCCTGCTGTGGCGGAGACCATGAGTGGAACTGCATTCTCCTCGAGGGCTCTTTTGATCTGAGCTTCTAGGTCTGATACACACATTTTTCCTCTGGCATCTGTCTTCACTTCATAAACGTTGTTGGTACCTATACCCAGAAACGCACTAAGTTTTTTCACTGAATAATGAGCATCCCTGGACGTGAAAACTATTAATTTGCCACCACTGCACAGGCCCAGTTCCTTTAGCTGAGGAAATCTGCAAATCATTACAGTTGTAGGAATGCTCAAAGTTACTTGACAAATTTATTGTAATTTATTATACCTGTATTGACGTGCCAGGTTGATAGCGTAACCATTAGCGATGGAGCCACCTGGACAAAATAAGCCTTCTCCTCTGCCGTCTTTCCAGCCAACGACCTTCCTCATCTCACACAACAATTCTTCCTCCATTAAGGAGAACACCGGAGACACTTCGTATGTATAAACCGAGGGGTTCAAAGCATCTGTTAACCACTGTCCCAAGAGACCATACGGGTCCACGCTGGAGTATAGTTGATTTACAAATCGAGGATGCCCTGTTTTCACACTGTACTTGATCACGTTTCGAGCAAGGGAGAGAAGTTCCTTATGAGACACCCCTTGATCAGAGAGTTTCAGGTCGACTGCTGAATGAAGTGCAGCTGGCTCCATCCACTCCACCACTTGATTCTCTCTTGAAGTTCCCTGAAAAATAAGGTAATTTCATTACTTCAGACAACCATGATGACATGTTTAATTAAAGCAAACATTCTATTTCTGTTATAGTGCTTCAAGGAATTTCTGGAATGCAATTATTATGGAGACAAGGTAAAGATTATCTAATAAGAGCAATAATCGAGGCCTTCTACTATGAAGCCTTCCAGACACTTTTTCATCTTCCTCAACGAAATTTCATAAAAGGTAATTACAGTTGAAATGTTGTAAAAAACGATCTCCATTATTGAATACTTTTTTCTAGGTCGTTGAAACAAAGTATTAAGCTTGTTATATTCTCATAAATCAAATCAGGACATTCTATACTTCAAAGTATGTCACCTTGAAATTTTCTATGGATCGGTAAAGAAATTATAGTCCTTTTTTTTTCTATGACACAACCTGTAAGGAAATTAGCTTGGACTCAATTGCAACGTAATTCTTTGTCCATGAATTGATGGAGTAGCTCGCTAATGATTGCAAAAAGCGTGCATAACGAATGCCTGAATCATGCTTTGATGCCTAGGAGGAAAAGGAAATCGAATTTTTAGTAGATAGATGAAATTACTAGCTAATTAAGATATTTCATGGTAACGATTTGCATTCTGCTTTAATCAATTAATATTTATCAGGATGTAAGATATATTTAAAAAAAGAAGAAGAAGATTGTGTTCATTGGTGAGAATTAATGCCTGGAGCCATTCACTTTCAAATAAAAAAGATCATTGCCAACATTCATAATAATCATATACATTTATATTCTTTGGATCATCATGTAAAAATAAATGAATACAAAAAGTGACGCGATGTAGAAAGTTCAGTGACGCTAACGACTGAGGAAATAAAAGAGTATCCTTATCCCTAACAGGAAAATGAAACATACTTCTCAACAACTCGCGTCACTAAGTGCAGTAATAACAGGATATACTTCAAAGTGGAAATTCCCTTGCAACTTTCAAAATGCCATTATTATTAGAGCATGTCAGATGGCAGCCTTCACGATTGAACTTCTTAATGTTTTTATAATATAACTAACAATCCATTTTGCTTTTGTACAACATGTTAGAAAATTGCAAAATGTGAATGACCTTATAATACCAGTATGCTATTAATATTCATGAAGAAAACTGCTAAAAAGCAATTCAGTTAGAACACATTACTAAAAACTTTAAAGATAATAAATTTAATAAATCTCTGTAAATGTTGTAGCAAAAGAGAAAGTTTTAGAGTTGTTCAAAACCCTGTTAATTTGGTTTTGATAATAAGCATACAATACTTTGTTTTACTATGTTATCTTAAATAATTACATGTTTACCTTACCTTAAAAATTGCATCTTCCAGAAGCATATCAATGAAGCTCTTCATGAACTTCTCATGGACCTGTCTGTCTGGCAAGCTTTTGTAATGGAAATCTTCTTTGACGTTTCCGTTGACGATGACACCTGAACGACCATTCCGGCATTCGTCTTCATCACCAGAGGATGCATGACCAAAGTTGTTTTGCAGACCGTTGACACAGACTGTCTTCAGACAATTATTTCCAAGTGGAGACACTGGCTGTTCACCGGAATTGCTCAAAGTATCCTCATTAACCGGCATGGTGCGCATCGAGGTTCTCTTCTGTCTGGTCCCGAGGTGCTCGTACAGTTTCCTTTATACGTATTAATCCCCGCGGGCCAAGGACAAGATCGTTGCGTGTGAACTACCTTCGGCTCATTTGTTCACTGGGATTTCTCAGTACGCGACTGGTTTTCCTTTCCTGCCTCTTTTTCCCTAACAGATACCGACAGCGCAGAGCCTTGATGAAATTAGGAAACTTCCTTATGATCAGAAATCTCAAGTCAATTCTATGAATCATGCTGTGCTTTGAGGAAATCGTTGTTTCAAATTTTGTATACTCATCTATGCTATTAACCCTTTATTGCATACAGTTTATTTATGGTTGTCAAAATACAAGAATTTGAATACAAGAAATAAGGAGGAGTTAAAAAGAAATGTTATGAGAAAGCAAGTTACACTATAATTTATATTAATGTATTTTCTTTAGGAAGAAGAAACAAATTCATATTTAAATTAACTAATAATACAACTCTTTCAAGATTGTATATCCATTCATAAATTATTTAAAATCTGCACTTCTGTGCTCAGCATGCTTTCTTACTTGGAAATTTCTTTGTTAATCGCAATAGCAAATATTGAAATGTAAATTCCATTTGTTATTGACATCGTAATGACCTGTGTTTCCAATGAAAATCGTACATTCTATTACATAATTTTATTACGTGTATAAGTTGTACGTAAACGTAGTTATTAATGATCTCTGAATCCTTAATGTCATTGATATAATGAATGACATGCACTCTTCCACTTATTAATATTAATGAAATTCGCACTGTAGTGAAAGTAAATTCTATAATAAAATTTGGAGAGCTTGAATGATCTTGAAAACTTGAATAAGAACTTATAACAAATTTATATAACTTAAAATTGTTCACAAAATGAAGTGCAATAAGAAAAATTGATCCAGTTCTAACACTGACATTCATAATACAAATTTTACGTTTTTTATATTATGTTTGTTTTTATGTAATGTCTGTATTTATTTTCATCTGCATCAGAAAGTTGTAAATACGCAGATTATGTAGAATCTCACTACGTAGAAAAAAAAGAAAATACTAGAACCATATATGCATAAATGAATATGTATATAGAGAACTGCAAAAGTGGGAGAAATCATTCATGTATCGCGTGTACGGTATGAAATATCATTAATATGAATGCATCTTGAATTACAATTAACCAAACAGTACCAAATTTCAATTACAGATCAACTATCTATAATTATGAATATAGTTTTACTGTCATTAAATGCACTATATTAATACTTTGACTAAAACTAAAATTTTCGAGCGCAACTCTATTAGCAACCTATTGTCAGGTATAAAAAAAGAATTTTAAATTGGAAGAGTAAAAAATTCCACGAAATGTATAATCGTTCACGGTGTTAATGAACGCCGTTGTCAATGATAGTGTTTAACAAGTTCTACTCACTGATGTAACTATGCAGGAATCAAATAGGCTTGACCTCAAAATATAAACTCATCATGCAGTGTAAGGGACATAAAGATACCTTACATAAGAAATTTTTAAATTCCCATACTTCTAGTTGCCAAAAACTACAGGTAAAGTATTACCATTATTATTAAATCTAGAACACCTGATTTACCACAAACATGAATTCTAGTTACACCAGTGGTCGTATTTAATATTTATCTATGCAGATGTTTCATGCTTGTTATATAACAATTATCCTGAAGTTTGAAATTAGCATTAATCAACCCTAATTTTATACTACCGATTATTAGTGTTTAATATATCACCTCTGCAAGGTTTGAAAATTCACCAAAAATTGATAACAAGTTATAATTTTATAAATTTTAATAACAGTTTCTTACAGAATATATGTTTCTAGACAAGCATATCTTCTACAGGTGAACTGGTAGTCCTTTTAATTAGAAAAATATTATATATTTTCAGGTACTTAGTATTTTACGGATATGTTTAGATGCCTCTCAGTAATCTTTAACATCTTTATTTCTATCGTTTGAACCTGGGTAGCGTAATCTTTAAAAAGCGTTCAAGCATAACTTCTAAAAATTGTAATTTGTATTATAATACCATTGATTAAAAAGTTTCTCGAAGTTTGTTTAAAATAAAAGCACGCAAGTTATCCCAAAATGCTTATAGCTGTTACAATTCTGTACAGTACATATAAAAATATAATGAAGTAACAATTTTTACAAACACTTTTCATTATTAAAATGGTTCCGATATCCGCAGATATTGTTTTCTTTTTTTTTTTTATAAAAATATAAATCGTGATACGAATAATTCGGTTCATTAGCCGTTTTACACTCATCCTCTCATGCTGTTATAAAAATCATTACAGCTAAGTATCACAATAACAGCCTGTTATCGCTTCCCCTGAGATTCAAACATTTACATGTACTTTACTCTAATTATACTACTAACACTTATGCACCAAGAAACATTAGTAAAAAGAACAATTGCAAGAACACTGTTAAATGTATCGGTTACATAATCATTAATGAAATTATTTATGCAAAATAATTTCAATTAATTATTTAAAGCTCGTATGAAATCTGCTTTGGAAGACTTTCTATAAGTCCTTTTTTGATTTTTAAATATTTTGTATAGAATAATATAATAATTTTCATTGCATTTCTTATCATCTAATGGGATGATAATTCTTATAAAATATCTCATAATAACATTTTAAAATATATGATAATATAAATCGTTTGCTGTTATTATCATTATTATTATAAAATCATTACAGCTAATAATAATAAAGTGCAACAATGTTAATCAGAACTCTTTGTTAACATTTACAAAATACTATACATTTTCTTTAAATTTACAAAACCTTGAATACGTGAAATATGAAATATCAACTACAGTTCACTCTACTCTATTGAAAATTCAAATAGTTCAGATCATCATAGTTGCACAATACCAATAACAAATCAGTTTAACATACTTGTTTTCGTATTCAATGTTCACGTACTTATAGCCACATCAGAATTAGCCTAATAATGTACCTCTAGCTTTCTATTTCACAGAAATTATGTTACTGTATAACAGTAACATATCAACCAAAGTAGGCACCACAGTTGGAACAACGTCGTGTTTTTAACAACAAGCAGCAAATTATTCCGAAGGGGAAGAACAGAATTGCACATAATAATCCCAGACATGTAAAATCATCCTCCATTACACCTACCTATATAATGAAATTCACTTTTAATTATCGATCTTCTAACAGAATATCAAGTTTCTAATAATCAATTGATAAGCTCCAATCAAGATTATACAAATCAAACAGAAATACTTACTCTACAGGCAGGGCATCCTCCAACTAAAATGATTTCTGGCATAACCACTGTAGTTGATTGCGTAGAACCATATGAAGGAACATAATTGGAATTTGTAGCTGTTCCTGTACTAGGATAATATCCTGGAGGTGGAGGCCATGAAGTTGATTCTCCTTGAGTAGCAGAATTGTACGAAGGAGGAGGTTCCCAAGAAGAAGTTGCTATACAAGAGTACATTTTGATGCTCAACCTTTATGAAGACCTTACACAAGCAGTGTATATTAACAATACTACAAGATTCTCTACATTTATTAACAAATTGGATTGCTATAAAGTAGATTACTATTATTCGCAGTAATTTAGATTGTGCTAATTGGAGTATGTAAAGGGATAAAAATTATCTATGATGAACGAGTACACTAATAGATAACAAATGTTTTTTTCTGTTCAGTTTTACATAATATTATGCGACATCTAACATTATGATAATAACTTTACAAAAGCTATACGCAAATTAAAATAAATGTAAATAGATATTGTCATGAAAAAAGAAACAATGTTAAATATGCAACAATGAAATATAATGATCTAATCAAGTAATTGTTTAACTTGTTTATTAAATGATAATTAGGTCCAAAAAGTTCACTTGAAATTTGAACTTCTTTGCTTACATTTAGGTGCAGTAGCCGCGGAATAAGGTGCAGACCTGGCAGCCCCGGGATTTATTGGCTGCTTTTCCATTGTTCAATAAACAAATTAATCACTTTTATCGGTTATATGTTAGATGTTAGATAATCAGCATTAATATTAAGGTTTTTGACAGCTAGCACCCGTAATGGCCTCCTGGTCCCGTAAACCGCTTCCAAAACAAATATTGCATTACAATTTCCGCTTGGAAAGATTCTCTGAACCCTGAGATTACGATTTTTCTTTTATTCTTCGATTAGAAAACGAGCTTGTATTGGTCGATCAACGGTGACGTCATTCCATTGTACCTTATAAGTTGAAAATTGCATAATTTACATCTAACCTGTACATATTTTTAATTATTTAAATTTGTACATGTATATATGATTTTGAATTGATAATCTGAAATAAACTGCGTATGAAGAAAAATTGAAAATACTGAGCATGTGATTTCATACCTTTTGCTTATTTATGTAAATGATTACATATCTTGATTGTTTGGTTCTTTATTTATATACGTGTTTGATTAGAGTAAAGAATAAATAGAATTTCTCCATGCACTTCGCGCGTTTATATTCGTAAATATAAAATGAATTACATATAGCATTTGAATTTTACCGCTCTCACTTACAGTAGTGCTTTCAGAAGCATATAACCTATATGTTAAATGCTTTGATATAACCTCATCTCTTCTTAATTTAAATGCATTTCATTCATTTGAAATAATGCATTACATTCATTAATATATATTTCTTATAAATGATATATAAGATAGTATCATTATATTACAATAACAAAGTTAGAACAAGGAAAGATTTTGAAGTTTCAAACTCTTTGATATTTAGAGTCCCTATATTGTAACTAGCAACCAGTAGACATGTCGAGGGCGCCACATGGTTCTCCTTCGTCGTTTCAGTTTGTCTCTTATGGTTCCAGTGCTGTTTCAAAAGATCGTTGTCATTTTTGCACTTTCATCACTTTTTTACATGATTTTCTGAAAAATGGTTTGATACATATCTTTACAATAAAACGTCCAGGAAATTTGACCATTGTCCAGATTAAATTTGTTTTTGAAGTTCTTGATCGATCCGTGTTTCACCGTCAGTGTTGCAGAAGTTGCCAGTCTTTGAGGACAACCCGCCTCTAGGAGGTGATATAAATGATGTACAAAATACTGACACGTAAATCACAGTCGTGAAGATGCGAGACTCAAGTCGAGTCGCGTGTTCTTCCATGCCAGCCTAGCAGAGGAATCAGCGCGGCCCGGCGACGATGCAAAATAATTCCAAAGAAATGTTCATCATTAGAGCTTTGGAAAAGATCCTGGCTGACCGGGATGTCAAACGGTCGCACCTTTCACAACTTAGGAAGTCCTGCGAGACTGCACTTGGTAAATGTTTTAAATACTAGGATCGTTCCAACTTCACGTTGACACAATATGTAATATAAAGTTGTATCTTATTTGTATAAATGATGTCATTGATTAGAAACTTGCAGAATGACTTTAAATGTTAACACAAACTTGTTTGTGGAAATATTAAAATATAAATATATATGCAAATTACATTGTGCAATGTTTTGTAATATTTATGTTATTTTTATCTTCAATTTCTTGACATATGTGTGTAATAATTAATAACGATATTATAAGATTTAATTCCTAATACATGTAGTATATATTTTAAAAGAACATTTGACATTAAACTTATAATCACTAATAGGATTCAGATATTCAGAGTTATAACTATACATATATATACAATATTAAATATAAGTATCTATGTAAAAATAGTATTGAATGTTGCTTCATATCTAATTTATTTTTAATCATATATTATACAATATAGTTTATCAGAAGATGAAGTAATCCAATTTGTCAAAATGTAAAAATGATTAATAATTATATATTTTACTTTACAGACAACTTGCGAAATGAAATCAAAGAAGGTTCTAATGCACAAGTGTCGACTGCCTTGCCACAACCACGCAGCGATTCCTATGTCATCTCTGCAGAAAAGTATTTTTTGCCATTCGAACTGGCTTGCCAGAGCAAATCACCAAGAATAGTAGTTACTGCTTTGGACTGTCTACAGAAATTGATTGCTTATGGACACCTAACTGGAAATGTACCTGATTCCACAGAGCCAAATAAGCTATTGATTGTACGTATTGTTGAAACAATTTGTGGATGTTTCATGGGGCCACAAACTGATGAGGGAGTTCAGTTGCAAATTATAAAAGCACTTCTCACAGTAATGACCAGTCAACATGTTGAAGTTCATGAAGGCACTGTATTACTTACAATACGTACAGTTTATAGCGTTTACTTGGCATCAAGGAACTTGGTTAATCAAACCACAGCTCGTGCAACTCTTACACAAATGATCAATGTTATTTTTGCTCGCATGGAAACACAAGCGGTAAATATAATAGTTAAATTTGATTGGAATTAAATTTTAAATAATCCAGTACCAGAACTGATTGACATTGCCTTTGGCTTTTTTGTCATATTAGGAAGAAGAAAATGTTAGAACAGAAGTGGAACATTCAGGAATAACTGTCAACACAGCTGGCAGTACATCTGGAGGAGAATTAGAAACAGAGACAGTAAATAATGAAGAACATTCAACAGAAAGCAGTCAGGAACCACAGTTAATTGTTCGAGGAATTTTAGAGGATGTTGTGAATTCAGTGGTTCCAGAGGATCCAACAATTGCTGTTACAGTAACTTCAGAGGAGGCTAGTTTAGATCAAGTGCCTATGGACGAAAACTCCGACGAAGCTGTCGCAGAAAGCGACAATATGGTCAGGGCAAAATTCACTCATGTCTTGCAAAAGGATGCATTCCTGGTGTTTAGAGCACTCTGCAAACTGTCCATGAAACCACTTCCGGATGGCACTCCAGATCCTAAGTACGCTTGTTTTTATTCATATTGTAATCAGCATCTTTATACAGTATTACTTTAATTTTAGGTCACATCAACTTAGGTCAAAAATTCTTTCGCTGCAGTTGCTTCTAGGTATACTGCAAAACGCGGGACCAGTATTACGATCGAATGAAATGTTTGTAATAGCCATAAAGCAATATCTTTGTGTGGCACTCTCAAAGAACGGAGTCTCCTCAGTGCCGGAGGTGTTCGAGCTTTCCCTGGCGCTCTTCCTCGCGTTGTTGGCTCGCTTCAAAATGCACCTAAAAATGCAGATAGAAGTTTTCTTCAAGGAAATTTTTATGAACATTCTTGAAACTTCTAGCAGTTCATTTGAGCACAAGTGGATGGTGATCCATGCGTTGACTCGAATTTGTGCGGATGCACAGAGTGTGGTTGACATATATGTGAATTACGACTGCGATCTTTCCGCTGCAAATTTATTTGAAAGGTGGGAAAATAAAGTACAATAAAATTGAACGAATGGATCAGTGATGGACAATTAATTGGTCACATTTTTTGTCCGACAGGCTTGTAAATGATTTATCGAAAATTGCACAGGGTAGGCAAGCACTAGAATTGGGTGCCTCGCCTAATCAAGAGAAATCAATGCGTATCAGAGGCCTCGAGTGTTTAGTATCAATCTTGAAATGTATGGTCGAATGGAGCAGAGACCTGTACGTAAATCCAAGCGTTCCAGCGGATCAACAGCTTCCATCGGAACCACCTGATCCTCCAGTAGAACCGCCACTACCTCGTTATGGAAGTGCAGGCAGTCTATCCTCTGCGAATTCCAGTTTAGTGGGCAACAAGGAGATACCAGATTCACCGGAACAGTACGAGGTGCAGAAACAGCAGAAAGAAGTGTGGGAGACTGGAATTGATATGTACGCGTTGCAGTTCACAACTTACTCTTTCTTCTTCCGTTTGTTTGATTAATTTGAAGTATCAAGCTGTCTTATTTGTACTTGAAAAATTTCAAGATTTTAAGTTTTAACTGAGTTTCACTGTAATAAGAGACTGCCTGATATTTTGAATCGTTCTAGCGATAGTTTAGGACGCGCGAAGCGTGCGAAACAGGCATGCTCTCTATTAATTGAAATGGTATTCTTACCTCTAGTTTTAATCGAAAGCCAAGCAAAGGAGTACAATATCTTCAAGAACAAGGTCTTCTAGGTAATTCGTCCGAAGATGTTGCACGCTGGCTTCATATGGACGAACGACTCGATAAGACCGCGATCGGCGATTTTCTCGGTGATCATAATCACAATCAGGTGATGTACAGTTATATTGATCAAATGAACTTTGCCGATCGCGATTTAGTTACAGCCCTGAGATACTTTCTTGAGGGCTTCAGGCTGCCGGGAGAGGCGCAGAAAATCGATCGGTTGATGGAGAAATTTGCCAGCAGATACTGTGAATGCAATCCAAAGTAAGTGTATCTTAAATTTTTCTTTATATTTTATTTATTTCTAGGAGTCTAGGAGTTTCACATTTTATACATTTTTTTCAGTAATGGATTATTTACGAGTGCAGACACTGCATATGTTCTGGGTTTCTCTATCATTATGCTAACCACTGATCTCCATTCGCCTCAAGTAAAAAACAAAATGACAAAAGAACAATATATAAAACTCAATCGACGTATCAGTGATAACGAAGATCTGCCCGAGGAATATTTATCGAAAATTTATGACGAGATTGCGGGTAACGAAATTAAAATGAAGTCGAACCCTAATCGACCTGGTAAACAAGGTAAATATTTATGACACAGAAAGTTAAATAATTTCACTAATTCTTATTTGTTACATAGTTATCTCTAGTGAAAAGAAACGGCGTCTTTTATGGAATATGGAAATGGAAGTAATCTCAACCGCAGCGAAAAATTTGATGGAATCCGTCAGTCACGTTCAAGCGCCATTCACAACCGCCAAACATTTAGAGCACGTTAGACCAATGTTCAAGATTGCATGGACTCCATTTTTAGCTGCATTCAGCGTTGGCCTTCAAGACTGTGACGACCCAGAAATCGCTTCTCTTTGCCTAGATGGCATTAGATGTGCAATACGCATCGCTTGCATATTTCATATGACGGTAAACATTTGTGCAACATCAACAGAATTCCTTGTCCTTGTAAATCTGTTTCAGTTTTCTTTACTTATATCTTTCTTTTTTTAAGTATAGTTAGAACGGGACGCATACGTGCAAGCGTTAGCACGATTCACTTTATTAACAGCGAATTCACCGATCACCGAAATGAAGGCGAAGAATATTGATACCATAAAAACATTGATCACCGTCGCACATACTGATGGCAATTACCTTGGCAGCTCCTGGTTAGATGTTGTCAAATGTATTTCACAACTCGAGCTTGCACAACTTATTGGTACTGGAGTTAGACCACAACTTCTGGGTCCGCCATCTAAACCACATTTTCCATCGCCATTGGTGAATTTCAATCTAACTCACAACAATTCTCATCAAAATAATAGTTTAAATCTCAGTTCGTTGGATCGTAAGTGCATTGTTTATTAACATTTAATAAATGGGATAAGGATCCTAATGTGATTTATTATTTTCTTTATCAATCACAGCAAGCGTAAAGGAATCTATAGGAGAAACTAGCTCCCAGAGCGTAGTTGTGGCCGTCGACAGAATATTCACTGGATCCACCAGATTGGACGGAGATGCAATTGTAGAATTTGTGAAAGCTCTTTGCCAAGTCTCTCTAGAAGAACTGTCTCATCCAACACAGCCACGAATGTTTTCTCTCACTAAAATTGTGGAGATCTCCTACTATAACATGGGTCGTATTAGGCTCCAGTGGTCCAGAATTTGGCAGGTGATAGGAGATCACTTCGACAGAGTTGGCTGTAGTCCTCGCCAGGACATCGCCTTCTTCGCGGTCGATTCGTTAAGGCAACTTGCAACTAAGTTCATCGAGAAAGGCGAATTCGCCAATTTCCGGTTTCAAAAAGATTTCCTCAGACCGTTTGAGCATATCATGAAAAAGAACAGGTCACCAGTTATTAGAGACATGGTCGTTCGTTGCGTCGCGCAAATTGTACACTCGCAGGCACCCAATATTCGGTCAGGATGGAAAAATATATTCAGTGTGTTTCATCATGCAGCCAGTGACAGAGACGAAGCTGTTGTTGAATTGGCATTTTCAATGACAGGCAAAATTATAAGTTAGTGTTTACTCTAGATTTATAAGAATATTGTGTGTTCGTATATTTATTTAATATATATTTGTAGATGAATTGTACGCCGAAGATTTTAGTATCATGGTGGATTCCTTCCAAGACGCCGTCAAGTGCCTCAGTGAATTCGCTTGCAACGCCTCTTTCCCAGAAACAAGCATGGAAGCCATAAGATTGATACGTTCTTGTGCCTCATACATTGATGCTAATCCAAATCTATTTGCAGAAGGCATGATGGATGATAGCGGAATGGTGTCTGAGGAAGACAGAGCTTGGGTAAAGACATTATGCAATATAGAGGGTGTTCCAACTGCGTAGAATTAACATTACAGCATTCATAATATCACTGTTTAGGTGAGAGGCTGGTTCCCATTGTTGTTCGAGCTATCATGTATCGTGAGCAGATGTAAATTGGATGTTCGAACAAGAGCACTAACTGTGTTGTTCGACGTTGTTAAAACACACGGGGCATCTTTTAAACCTCACTGGTGGAAGGATCTGTTTCAAGTTCTCTTCAGGATCTTTGATAATATGAAACTGCCTGAACAGCATACAGAAGTAATTAAAAGAATCATCTCTTTTTAGTGCTTGTTTTCTCATTTAATAATTTCATTCAAAATTACGCTTCAGAAAGCAGAATGGATGACGACCACTTGCAACCACGCCTTGTACGCCATAGTGGATGTGTTCTCCCAGTTCTACGATACCCTAGGGCCTCTTCTTTTGGAGCAACTATATTCTCAGTTACTGTGGTGCGTGCAACAAGATAACGAACAGTTGGCAAGATCCGGTACGAATTGCTTGGAGAATCTGGTGATCAGTAACGGGATTAAATTTGACGAGCAAACTTGGGAGAAGACCTGCAGCTGCGTTCTCGATATCTTCGAGAGTACCTTACCATCCGCTCTTCTTACATGGAAACCCCTATCACCTAACAAAGAGTCTGATCTGGACGTGATCACAGGCGAGACTGATAACCACGTTGGCATTCTAAAGAGGAGCAACAGTTCTCAAAGCCTATCGACCAACGAGTCCGGGAAGAACAAGCTATTTTACGCGTTGTCAATAAAATGTGTTGTACAGCTGGAGCTGATCCAAACAATAGACAATATCGTATTCTATCCAGCAACGTCGAGGAAGGAGGATCAAGAAAACCTGGCACTGGCGCAAGCGGACATGTTCAATGGTAAATCCTCAGAATTAGGTGTCAGGGCAGGTGCGGATCAGCAGAAAGAAGAACAAGGCATGTATTGTGCCCTGACAACGATGCACCTGTTGCAGCTAGTCGAGTGTCTGTTGAAATCTCATCGATTCGCCAAGAGTTTCAATTCCAACCACGAACAACGTAACGTGCTCTGGAAAGCTGGCTTCCGGGGCAACGTGAAACCAAATTTACTTAAACAAGAGACTCAGTCGTTGGCATGCGCGTTACGAATACTCTTCAAAATGTACAGCGACGAAGCTCACAGGGCTGATTGGAGTAAAGTGGAGTCTAGGTTAGTCGAGGTGGCTTGTGAAGCGCTGGAATATTTCCTTGCGCTTTCCAATGAGGCTCATAGAGACGCCTGGACTCCTATCTTGTTGCTGCTTCTGACGAGAATCCTGAAGATGAGTGATAATCGGTTCGCGGTGCACGCGTCTAATTGTTACCCATTGCTATGCGAGGTTATGTGCTTTGATCTCAAGCCAGAATTACGATCTGTACTACGAAGATTCTTTTTAAGAATTGGTCCAGTATTTAGGATCACGCAGCAATAATTGCTGTAATTAGGCGCTGTAAAGGAAAGATGCGTTTTGGGCTGTTCTGCAAGGTATAGAGTGATTCTTATAAGTGGAATGGGTTATAATTAGGGATATGTGCATTCCTAATCATAACTATTTCCTAAAGATAGAAAATTTGTACATGATTTGATGAAGTCCTTTTTTATTACAAACAGGCAAAAGTAAAATATCAAATGTAATTTAGTATTTGAAATTTGTGTTTAGAAATTGTAACTTATTCTGTTCATAAGAATCTTCCTGGCGTACAATTGTTTGAAGACATTTCGTATGATATGAGAATCGAAACAGCGAGGTTAAATACGACGCGTGAATAGGATAAAATAAAACCGACAAACAGAATGGATCGTGTTAGTAAAATAGTAGGAGAAAAACATATGTATGTATTATGTAAGTTCCGAATCTCCCTCCTTTGTATTTAATGTTCTTCATTTTTTATAAGGAAGAGGAGAGACTTCGAGTCGATGTGCGTGTGCAGGGTATTTAATAAATAGGGTATTTTCTGGTCTTCGTAGGATACGGAAGGCTAAAATATAAATCCTCAAACTTCTAGCTAAATTATAATTCTATTTAATGATGGTTTAAATTTACTTAATCATTCTGAACCTTGCTTTATTGATTAGGAGTGCAAAGGATTTTATTTTAGATACATTCAGAATGTACCATGTATTGAATGCATGTAAAAAGGGAAGGTGTTTCCTCGTTCACAAGAAATGTGCTATTTATCAAATGTTTTGCATACGTATTTGAGCATAAATGCATATACAAAGTGTCTCTTGAAGTATACTGTACCATCCATAAATCAACCAAGCAAAGAATAAGATAATTTGCAATATTTTTATAGAATTGATTAGCTATTTTGTAATTCCTAAATAATTTGAGAACTGGTAGCAGAGCCCTCAAGGATTACCTTATCTTGAGGTTAGATATCTTATTTGCAGTACATTTTTTCAGACACTTTCTGTATGTTAAAATACTTAGGAAATGATGGTATAAGCAAGAAATGACAGATACTTAAGAAACAATATTTTGTTAAAGGATCAACCTTTATTTTTTACAAGTATAATTACAATTCAAAATAAATATGTCTTACTAGAGAATAGATGCAGCACTTTGATAGATACATGGAATGTTTCCTATCAGTTTTTAAATATATCTAATCACAAAGATTTTATCTTACATTTTTACACATTGTTTTTCGTCAGCCTAACTTAAATAAATATAAAACGTAGGATATTGAATATTAAGAGATATACTAACTGAAAAAACAGAAAGAGTTTTAAGAAATTGAACATTTAGTACTACAAAGTTTCTTGTTTCCAGCTTGTACTATTGTTTTTGAGATATATAGTCTGTGTACAAATGCGACACGCGTATAGTCATCACCAAGTAGTCATATAAATATCCATCGTGGATAGGTGTTCAGACAACGAGTGATAGTTTCTAACTCGTTAGGGTTTTGATTGTTATACATAGAACCAGTTTACGATTAAGACATGAGAATCCCATGGACATAATAATACATGTATATTCGCATTGCATAGAATTATTTATGCTTAAGTTAGATTAATTATTTACATGATGCAGCCTTATTTAAATAAATTTTAGAGAAACAAGGATTTCCTGTTTGTTTCTGTTCTCCTTATCAAAGGAAAGCTTAAGTCATTGTGCAATTTGTATCACAATCAAATAGTATAGTAACGAGTTCAAAATACAAATCACTGGAATGAGTTTTATACACTGAAACAACTGTGTATTTATAATATATGTACATATAGACTTTTTAGTTTAGTTTTTAACTAGTATCTATGATTACAAAAAATTGTGAACCTAGTGGGGTTAGAAAGAGTAATTAGGAACTATTCCGCACCATTCTTGAATAAAAGCTAAGATATCATTGAGAACTGAATCTTGAGGAGCCTGACGTGCTGTATTAATCATTTTGGTCCAATCATCTCGGTCAGCTACTCGTTTACTCTAAAGAAAAATTGTACCTTCAGTAAAATTAATAATGTACTAAAAATAATGTACTAAAATTCTTTTGATTATTTAAAGTACCTCTGTAAATCGAATGATGGGACCTCGTACAGGGTATCCTGTTAAAATACATTCTTGTAAAGCTGTAGTACCAGCTGACGGAGAAGTTAGTGATCCAACATAGACTCCTCTGTGATCCGTAGGTAGAACTTGTTCCACTTTCTGATCCATGGATACTGCCAGTACCCATTCACGAGCTTCTTCCCGTTGTTCTGGGCTCATACTCAAAGACTCTGGTAATGGAACTTCCACTGGGAAGTCTGTGACAGCTAGATCATCGACATCCATTACAGTACTGTCTCCTTCTTCTATGCACTCCTCTAAATCCAGGAAGTGATTCAGGAAAACGAAGGCTTCGCTGTTTAATCCGGCTGTTCGTGCCTCAATACCGGCTTCATAATAAGTTCTATCAGCGAGGAGAATGTCCGTGTACCTCAGTAGAGATATAGAGGCTTTCAATACTAGTCCAGACAGTACAGAGTAATCACTGCATCCGCGTTTGACTGCTGAATAATGTGTTGCCTCAAGTAACCTCTCAAATTTGAATGTTGATGAGACTTCAGAAGACTTCAAACTATTGCAAAGTTCCAGAAGAACGGTTCGCAAGAGAGCAAGATATTTATACTCATAATATGCCTGTTCACATTTAAACATACTTAATAGAAGAATTAATAAATGCACTGTTGTATGAGTATTCCATTTACCTCTGAATTCAACACGCTCTCTGATAATTGTAAATACAGATTGAAGTTCTGTGGAATAGGAGGTATTCCATATTTAACGTACAGCTGCAAAGCCTCGAGCGGAGCGTTCATCTTCAAAAGCTGAACAGCTCGTTGTGCAACGTATTTGTGTAAAATCTGAGAACCCTGAGAACTGGCAGTTTCAAACACTTGATTCCACTGTCCCTTATTGGCCAGTATTTCAAGACCAGCCGCTGCGTCAATCTCCACTAATCTCTCTATCTGTCCATCTCTCAGCATAGCTTCCTTATACTTCTCTTCAAGATAGGGCTCTATATCCGGTGCCAGTTCCCTCACTATACGTTTAGCTCTTTCCCACTCTCCAACCGACGCCAGTGCGTCAATGGCATCTTTCAATCTATCAGCTTGTAAAAACACCTAAAAGAGAAATAAGTTTTAAACTTTGAGTTAGGAATTGAGATGGAACTGTGGAAATAATGACCTGTGCAGCAAGAGCATGTTCGCCAACAGCAAACAGTCGTGCACCAAGATCTCCGCCAACTTGAGCTGCAGTTTCTGTATCAGCTTGATGAAGCAGAATATCAGCTGCTCGTATAAGGGATGATCTAGGTGCTTGGGGATCTAGGATTAAGATATCCAAAGCAGCTCGCACTTCTCCAACCTCCAACCACTTTTGAGCTTCTTCAAAAGCATTCGCGCCAGCAAGCGAAGCACTCTTTTGACCCAATTCCCGTCGAAGATTAGCTTCTTGACTCGGTAAATATTCTCTACAAACGCGTAACGCTTCAGACCACATGCCTGCTTTCTATAACACATGAATGTTTCATTATATTCTACGTCACACTGCATAATACTGTATTATCATTGTAATATTTTACTTTGTAATGTTCAATGATCATTTCTGGTTTATATGCTCTCAACAATAGAGTTTCTGCTAACGAATAATCTTGAGCTTCCGCAGCCTCGTTTGCCCTAGCGATGAGAACTTGGGCAACCGCGTCCTGATTGATCGACTGCGCCACATCCTCAGCTGCTTCCCAATCACGATTATGTATGTACATCTGAACTGCTTCCATTGTTCTTTCCGCTTTGATGAACTCCTTTTCGGCTTCAGAGAAGCGACCTGCATCCTCCAATGCCATTGCATACCTGTAGTGAACCTCTTTCTTCTGATCAGCATTGCCATACTTGGAGATTTCTAAAGCCCAGTCGAAAAGACCTGCTTCGCAAGCCAACTGAAGACAACTGTCTAGATAATTCAGACGTATTAATAACCTTGCTGATAATTCTGGAGCTAGGGTGCGTGCCCACATTAAAGCGACCTGAAGAAAAAGAAATTAAATATTAGCAAGGAATGCAATTTGAGTGTAGTTTAAAAGTATATATTCACCTGCTGAGCAGCATTATCCCCAGCATTGTTTTTGGCAACACGAAGAGCATCTTCCCACATGTTGGCTGATCTGTAAGCAGTAATAGCACTCTTCCAATCACCAGCTGCAAGATAGTGCTCCTCAGCTTCTCGAGGTTTCCCCGCAGCATCCAATTCTCTGGCTAAGTGTGCATGAGTTGCCTCCAATAGGTTTGGTCTGAATTTTCCCACCAGTCGAATCATGTCTGCACGGCGACCAGCCTTCTTGTACATTGATATGGCTGCATCGTATTCACCAATGGCAACGTATAATTCTTCAGCATGTTTCAGGTCTCCTGCTTCACAGAGATTGGCAGCGTGCTTAGCCAGTACTTCATTTGCCTCATCAGGAGTCATGTATTCTTGAGCTACTTCGTAGGCTCGACTCCAGTTGCCATCGTGTATGTGGACTTCCACTGCGTGTCGAGCATCCCCAGCACGAATAAAGAGCTTCTCTGCAATATTCTTATCACCTATCGAGGCGAAATACTCGCCTAGTTTTTCACACTGCTTGCGCAGAATGGGACTATCATCCTCAATAACCTAAACAAAGATTGTTCATTGAATTAATTGGGGATCAGTCTTTGAAGAAATACGTACTTGCACAATTTGTAAGCCCTTCCTCCACTGACGAGCATTGATAGCAGCATCCAGGGCTAAAGTAGTTTCCCCTGCTTCAATAAAGTGATTAATGGCCGCGTCATAGTGGCCAGCTGATGCCAAATGTTTACCCCAGTCTCGTTCAAGATCAACCACACAAGTTGGATCTACTTCCCTAGCTAATTCAACTGCTCTTGCAAATACACCAGCTTGAGAATAACATTTGATAGCCTCCTGTGGTTCTGAAGTCTTTTCTAACAACTCTCCAGCTAACTCCATCAAGTCTGTCATCTTCAGCACCCGCACAATTTCGTTAACAATCGTCCTGTCTTTTAATAGTTCATCATCAGTCAGGACCAGTCTAGCTGCTCGTCCAGGTCGACGAGCATCTAGATACAGTTTAACTGCTCGTCGTGGATTGGTATTTTCTAGAATAGCTGCGGCTCTGGCTGCTTGGCCGCTTTCTAGTAGCCAAGTTAAATGTCTATCTCTAAGTTCCTGGAGACCTGGATACCCTCTGTTTTGTGCCAATGTCAATGCATCTTCCCAATGCCAATACCTCTGGTACATGTCTAGAGCCTTATCCAACTCGTTCTGTTCTAGGTATATGGCCTCTGCAGTCTTCAACTCTCCATTTAGAATTGCTAGCTTCGCCCAACAGTCAGGACTGGAGAGTGGATCATTTCCAGTTTCTGTACTGTACTTTTCTCCAATATTTACAATATTCTTTAAGAACCTGCAGATAACAAATCAGAGTCATTCTTTTGTAAAAGCATCAAAAGCATTAAAAAAATATGCAAATAGAACCTAGAACATGCTACATCTCCCAGTGCTGCATAACACCTAGCAGCAACCAACAGTTGCCTGGTGGCCATTGCATTCCTAGCCACGTTCTCCCACATTGCCTCTGCTTGAGGCCTGTCTGCCAGTTCCTCCAGGAATAGCAGAGCTCTACCAAAATCATTATCGTGCAGCGCTGTGCCAAATTCAATTAATGGCTCATCAAGTAAATAGGCTACTTTGCCTCCAAGCTCTTCTACCATAACAGAAGTACGCCCATCTTCTCGGACAATGTCGACTGCGTCCCCACGGACAGGTATTAGAGTAGCTACCTCTGGAGCATCCACATTGTACCAAACTGCTAAGGTTTGGCCTGTTTGAGCTACCACTACATCGCTCCCTAATACCCAGGAGACAAAACTGACACCAGTTAACAATAAAATTCGTCCACCCAGTTCATCGCTTAACCACAATCTGTGTGAACAATGTGAAGCATGAGTTCCATTTAAATTTGACATAAAAAGACTTTGCTATCACAATTTAGATTCTTTACCTAGCTCTTTTGTCTCTTGATAACAATCTGTGGCCAGTTTCGCTCAATTCCAACCAGTCAACACGAACATCATGAGAAATCATGGCAATTGTTATCCCAGTTATTAAATCAGCAATACGTACAGTTCTAGGATCCAATAAATAAGCGAGTCTCTTGTTGTCTGGAGCATTAGGTACTTGTCTTTCATTGATTCTCACACTAACTACGTGAGGATTAACTGCCTCTGTTCTTACAGAGCCCAGTGGCTCATTATTTCCATATTCCACGATGGTCAACTCTCCAGAGCAAAAGATCAAACACACTCTGGGATACTCAAAAAAGAATTTCTCACTATTGCTTTTATCATCCCATGGAATTTCACTGATCAGATTCAATTCAATGTCAGCAAGCAATAGTGTATTAGCTGTACGAGCTACTACATTGTTATCAGCTCGTCCTAGAACTTTAACATCCTCTATTTCATTGCCTGTTTGTGATCTGATAATGACAGGGCGGTTGCCTTCATGTAGTGGTCGAATTACTACTTGACTGGGACCAACATAAGCTACCTCATGGCTGCCTCTTATTACTGTTCTCTTCAGTACCGTTTCAAACTGCTCTACAGCACCACAGAGGCTACCTAAGAGCAACCTGAAAAAGAATGAGACATTATACAATAAAATAATCTTCATTTATTGAAGAAGAAACTACCTTACTTCATGTGAATGTTGATGGAGTCTTCAGACATACTCTACTAGACTTCTATCTAATAATGAATATGAAATGTATCTTTTTTTGTTTTCATTAAATAGTATAATTGCTAACCTGGAACCATCACGACGCCATGATATAGCAGTGACAGTGTAAAAATTAGGTAAAGCTTTTGTATTGGCCTCCTCCCAAATTGAACGACGTGGACTCCAGTCTAATATTCTTATTTTATTCCAAGATCCAATAGCTACACTTTGTCCACTTGGACTGCAACAGGCCACTGCTATTTCCTTCTCATTTTCGCGACTGTAATCGAAATTCTTCACTAGTTTTCCTCGAGAATCATAAAAGGTTACTCTCTTATCGCATCCTGCTGCTAGAATGTGAGATTGGGGCCAAGCTAATGCATAAGCAGGCACAGTGTGTGTGCAGATACGTCCAGATGGTTCATGACTTCCATCATCAGTTAAATGATATTTTATAATAGTACCATCAACATGACTTGAGAGAAATCCAGTTCCTCTTATACTAAAATTAAATATAATTAACTTATTATTCATGTGAAGTAATATTTAACACTCTAATAGAAGGGATTTTTAAGTCACTTTGAAGCTAATGCAATAGTTGTTGAATCAGCTGTATAGAGAGTCTGAGCTTTTTGAGATTTCACTAATGCTGCACGGACTTTTCCATCTACTAAACCAACAATGATTGGTCCTTCGGTTAACCAAATCAAGCAAGTAACTGCTGAACTTTGTCGAAACTTGTTGCATATTACCTTCTTCTCTCCCCTGTAATCAGCATGTAATATGAAGCATGTATAATTGATTTTAAAATGTAATGTTTTTTCACTTTTATTACATACCATTGTTCTCCAATCTTATACACATAAATTATGCAGTCAGTTTGACCAACTGCTATCTTTGTTGAGTCCGGAGAAAAGGCTATACCTTTGATCATATAACTCTTCTTACCAAACTATGAAATAATTAACAACTTTTCAATGCCAGTACGAACATCAATTGTATTCAATACATTCTGTTTCATTACACAAACCTTGGAGTCAACAGGTTTTGTTGAAAATTTGTCCCGCTTTACACAATTTTCATCAAAAAGATATATGGACCGATCAGATGATGCAACAGCTAGTTTCAAATTGTTTGGTGACCAAACAATGCCTACTACACGGTTCTCATATTCCTATTTAAATAAAAATTAATATTTAACAGAACAAAAAATAATTAGATGATTATGCTTAGAGAAACAAGTTTATTAAAAATAACAAATAAAACAATTAAAGAATATGTAACAGATTAAAAATAACTTATAAAAATAGAATACATACACTTGGTGGCACAACATTGCCCAAATACTTAAGTAACATGATGATTCTTGATGACAGTCAATGTCACTTGATTATAAAGAATATTTACTCAGTCATGTGTTTCTATATGATTCCATATTACACCATGCTAAATCATGTGTTATTTCATGAGATACATGGTTTGTGTATACTTGAGTTGCTTAGCAACACTTCAGCTTATGAACAGTTGACGGGGGTTCACAGAAGAAGACAATAAAAATTGGTTTTTTAACCTTGTTTTGCAGTACATGCCATAGATTATTCAATTTGTTATAATAATAAATAATTGATACAGATAAAACGCATTTCTTTGTTTATTAAAACACGATAGCAGTAATAAATAAATGAACGTTGACAAATAACTAATATTTATTCAGTTGTTAAAAGCAATTGGCACATATTAACCAATTTAGCTTTTACAAGAATAAAAATCCAAGGCCTTCCACTAAATTTCTAAAACGATTATATTACTATCGACACAAGAAATCTACACATCCAACACGTGTACTGAAATCCATTTATCACAAGTTACCTTCTATCAAATTATGAGAGAGATCTCGGGAAAGGAACGTTTAAGACAAAATATTTTACATTCAATGTAGACTTCCATGATTTGAGCGTTAATTAAAAAATGATCTCGCAATAAAATACACTCACTCACACAACAGCCTACTAAATTATAACAAAGATCCAAAGTACACTCAATATCTTTTGACTACCGAAAGTAGAATCTAATGAACTGATTTCGCAAAATCTCTGAACAGTGGACTAAATTTTGGGATCTTTGTCAGATTCATTTGATAATAAATGCAATTTACAATGAAGTTACTCAACTTCAAGCGCCAACGATGAACGGCCTATATCAATTAGAGACTAATATTCGTGTCGAATAAATCCTCCTTCAGTGGCTGAATTTGCACCGTGATAGAGTTTTCAAAAAAGCCGCTCGATATTAACCGTATGGAGGTAACACCGTACTCTACCACCTCACGATAATCTGAAACAAAAGTAAAATTTATCTTACAAATAAATTGTTTTAAGGTCTTTATAAATAGGTAAACTATTAAAGGGAAACGTTTCGAGTTCCAACTATTATTAACTGAAAGCATTGGAATTGTAATCCTTCAATATAGACTTGGGAGGATTATTGTATGTATAATAAGGTCTTAGGTTTCAATCGGGTTGTTCGAGTTCAATGGTGGTACACTAATATCCGTAGGAGTCACTTCCAGTTATTTTCCAATTGGAATCGATACGATGCCCCAAGTTATTAACCGTATTACCTGGTTTAGAATCTATTCCACAAATAGAATCAACTATCTGAACTTTAGACGTGTCCAGACCGTAGCTACCTCCAATTACCACTCGATCGTGTGGACTGGTTTCCTCGCACTAAAAATGAACATTGATATCAATAACTATACTCGATAATTCTTATTATAAATAATATTAATTATTAATAATCTTACACAAAGTGTAATTGTTAGACTAATGTGTTTCATTGGAATATGATTACAGTTATTGTCAGGTCAATGATCAAGAGTAATCAATTAGTTAACTTTTACCCTAAATAACTAAACCTTAACTACATCGTCAGAAGGAAATAGAGTAGAAGTACAGAAGGGGCTAATAGAAGTAATTGGAGGCGATTAAACTTAATCGACTGTGTAATCGACGATCTATGATCTTTTACTGAAAGAATACGAACTTTCTGCAAAGTTCCGGTTTCAGTGGTGCGAACGGAACCAAGGAAATTAGATACGCCGACTTCGAGTGCGATTACTTGCACGGTTGCTGGATACAGTGCTACGTAGGTGCAATTTATCCGTCTTCCGTAATTACGGATCGTAAACGGCTCGTTTATGCTCGTTGCTAAGACATTGCAGGCTATAAAATCGTTAAGAAATATACAGTTATTTTCTATTATTAAAATACAAAAGGGGTAACTTCGACAGAGATCTGGAATAACCCTTTGTATCAATAAAGCTCTCTATTCCCACCCTTTTGAAATCTAAAATTATACCATTCAGTAAAAGCTATTGATACTGAATTACAAATGTATTCACAATGGAAGTCTTCACAATTATTTAAGTTTCCCAGCAAGCATTGTTCCAGATGGAATTCGAAATTGTGGATAGTTGGCTATAAAGCTTCTCATCCGTGTCATTGAAACTTACGTCTGGGATTTTTTATGAATCTAGCAAGCACAGTGAAACCCTTCCCGGCTTTCGGAATTCTGTATTGTATAACAGCAACGTTCTGTGAACTGGCGAAGGTTCTTTTCATGCCGATATTTTTACCGCAGAATTCGGTGCTTCTTTGCTTGAGCGGCAATCGATGATCTATTTCACTGGGAAACACTTCGCCGTTCAACTCCCATCCATCGACCACCTGCGCGTTATAAAAATACATACATACAGGGGTAAACGGACGGTCGCAATATTGTTTCTTTTATACACTATTCAAGCATTTGTTTACCGAGACAAGTCCATGGTGTTCGCAGGGAACGTCGAAACTGATGAAGTTTATCTCCACTTTTTCATCGGGTTCGGCCAGAAAATAAATTCCGCAAACCTTTTCGTTGTTAGACTCTGAGGTGTATATGAAAGAACCTGGCTCTGACGTCACGAACATGCAATCTACAGAAAAAAAATTTTGTTGAAGCAATCAAAATTTAACAATGACGCGTTAAAGTATTTTTTTATAAGAGAAAATAACTTATACCTGTGACTGGTTTGAAACGCCTGTAGGTATTAAACAATCCGTTCTTCAAGTCGGGACGGTAAAAATCCTTTGATGCGAAACGTTCTCCGGGAAACTACAGGGGAAAACAATAATACAATCAATCTATCTTGATAATGCCACTGAAATCTAAAGAATTTTATTACATTATATATTGACTCTCTATTTCATAACTTTTATATTCATCTACTCTTATATCCATTTCTTATATTCATCTTACATCCACTTATAATTTAACTCTAAAAATTGTGCACATCTTGCAGTGACTGCAAGTAAGAAATAGCAACTAATTTTGTACCAATGGTTGGCAGTGGATTATGTACGTTACGGGAAAGATCATTCGATGAATAACTAATACCAACAGAATTCAAATGTCTATTCTCTCATGTGACATTAACTGGAAATATCTTTATCGACAGACGGATATTACGGCGTGATCGTCACTGGCGAACATAATTATCTGCCTGCATCCCTGGTGAATATAGAAAATATTGCAATAATGAATCGCAGCTTCGATTATACTAATTGCAATAATAAGGTTAACAGTGAGTCGTTAATTATCTTTAGTACCTAGAATACAATCACGAGAATTTCATTCTGAAGTCACTAATTGCGATTGCAATTTCTCGTGATTATATTTGACAACAATAATCCCGAGTAACAGGTTTTAAATTTGTGAATCCGTGGATTTTTACGAGATTAAAGGATGAGGATTAACAATGTCCCTTTGAGTAACAATAATATCTCATCTTCTAAAGGTCGTAAACAGAAATATGAAATTACTTTTCCCGGCGACAATTTGTCGATCTCCGATGAATTGCAAGAAATGAAGTCTCAGCTAACGGAAACGTTAACGGATGAAGGGAATTATGTCCCCGAGGCACTGTTTTACGATTACTTTTCCGTCTTACGGAGAAATGAAATTCAACGAATTGACTAGCAGGTGGCCAATGAAGATACTCATGGCCTTTCAACAAGGCTCTTCCTTCTTAATCCGTTTCTTTATCGAATCTCTCCCACTAAAAAAGTCTCTTGAGTACCAAGATATGATCTACATAAAACCTCCTCATTATAATGATATAACAATGTTTGTAACTTATCTAAAAAAGAAAATAAATAAGAAGTACAACTTTGGAATGACCTTAGATTAAAGCATGTAGTAACTAACAATACTGTTACTATTATAACTATTACATTGTTATAATTCCAAAAGCTGGTATGGCTTCAATTTGAATCCTTAATGAAAGTAGTGAAACATGTTAGAACCTGGGACGCAATCAATTGTTATGTAATCCGTTCAGAATCAGCAAATGTTACGTTAACGGCGTTTCTCGCTCATTCAGCACACGCACGTGTACCAGGGATTTCATGTGAACCGTACAAATCTTCAGAGCTTAATCTATCACAACAAACATTAAACATTATTTGAATCAGCAACAATATTTCAATATGTGTATTAATATAAACTTCATTATACCTATTTATTAAATTTTTAAATTAATTGTTAAATAACATGTAACAATCCTCTTTCAAGCCGATTAAATTTGGCGCGTTTTAAATTGGCGCGATTTAAATCGATGTAATTGTATTCGGCACGATTCGATTCGTTACGTTTCAATTCAATGGAATTAAATTTTAATGGTTCAATTCGAAGTAGTTTGATATAATTGAATTCGGGATTCAATTCCGATGAATGCTTGTAGTTTTGATACCTGCTCGTTTGGTCAAAACGAACCCTTATAATCGCACGGTTCATGGATCCTAGTTAAAGCGTGCATCCTAGATATACGTTCGTTAAAACGAATCGAATTTTTCAACTCGAGCATGAAAAATGTCTCATGAATTTTCCTCGGAGCATCGTCACGACGCTCCTTTCATTTCTCGGTGCTGAAAGTGTCGTGTTACGATCATCGATAATGTTACCGGTGCACTTTTTTTAACGTAGTCTCTCCCAAATGAAGTCAGCGTCAAGCGTAGTAACTAGACTATTTTCAGGCCAATGTACTAAAAATGTTAGAAACTTATACATTTTTGGAAGAATAAATATATTTGGAAAAACTGGATTTTATTTAAAAATGTCAAATAAAAAAAGTAGCGTGTTCACGATGTTACCTTAAGGGTTATAAATAACCTCACTACATCCTTAACATTTCGAAAAACATGATAAATTCGTTATGTAATGGTACAGAGCCATACGATCCATTAAAATAGACGACACATCAATTTCCTTTCCATTTCCAATGTTCGACAACTTGAAATCGATAGGTAAACACTTTTAATAATGATAAAACTTTATTTAACGGTTCACCGCTGAATTTAAACTTCGTAAAGCTGCGCCACTGACAACCAAGTGATTACTTCCGGTTTATGGATACATGAATTTGATTTATAACAGATTATAAATTGACTAGACTCTTTGAACGATTTTGTTATATCGATTATCGATAACAGATTCAACTCTGACTGCGTGCTCAAACTTTGAGGTTATATTTGTATAAAATATTTACCATTAGAACAATTATACCGTATAATATATTTACTTAACGTACCCACGCTTGTAAATTAATTTCTCTTTGACGAATCTCAACATTTGATTAACATTTCCTAATGAAACTCCAAATCAGATTGTTTGATCGAAATTTTTCGTTTGGCATTGTAAACAATGATATATCGAAGCGATGTATCGAAATCCTTCTTAAATTTCGAATTACGCGTTAACCAGACACATCGGTGGCGATTTATGATCGACTAAGAATACATAATCGATGTGCAAACAACGGTACAGCCGTTGTAAATATTTGCGATGACACGGATTCACCTTGTGACGATTGTTTCAAAACGAGATGCTTTTTTTGCAAAGAATAAATTGAATAACACAGGTTAAAAGGTAAAAGAAACGTCAAGACCTATTGATTCGAATGTCGATCGATCGATGGTAAGATGGTAAGCTGCATTTAAAAAAGAAAAGTACATCTTTCGCAATTACATATAGAAAAGAGTATTAAAAACAGTTGAATAGTAACTGTATTTTAATTAGAATTAATAAAATATCGTAATGAAGATGTTTATGTTATCCTTTTAGGATAGCCTCAAAAATATTTGAAGCGGAAGTCTCAAAATGGCGCGCAATTTAAAACGACACGTAAGTTCTAGCACTTTATATAACTTTGTTACCTTGATCTGCTAGTTATAACTTCGGAGTACGTTGCCACTCGATTTTTCGCATGTTACCTGAGCGCATAAATTGCGTTTACACTGACAACAAGCAATTTCACTTTGCAGGTCGCCAAACCTAACGGCGCTCTCGATAAGGCTTGGAGGCGAATAAAAGATTACAGAAGCATCCGCTTCGAAGTTACGAATGTTCCTTGTTAAGAAACTACACGCTCACAAGCTGACGCATAGCAAAATCTTTGCAAAGATGAAAAGTTAGGGAAATGGAAATTTATGAAACTACTTCAAGGATATTCAGAGCATAAATAATATAATCATGCGTAACTTGGTCAGAACAATCTGATTCACCAGAATGAATCATGTATGGGGAACAAAGAACATAATACAGTACTTTTGTTCTTATACAAATTTTGAAAAGTTCATATAATTAGAATAGAATAGGGCTACATTCTATATGCATAATTAAGTACTTGTAGTATAACATGGTATAGCATAGTTTATAATAGTATATACAATACTGTAAGTACAATATTAATGTTGTATTGAAATATTTAAAATAATGTACATAGTATAAGATATATTAAAAATGTTATAATCAACAGGTACAAGATAAATGAAATTGAACTGTTCTGGAATTGTAAAGAAGTCATGTAATAAGCATAAACACAAAACATTTAACAATTTATATATCATACACAGCTGAAAACACTGGATATCTTATCGAACGATGCAATCATTGAAATACGTGATTCCTCGGTTGTTTCGAGGAATATAATAATGCTTTTTCCAGTCGAGTAATCGCAAAATATTCAGAGAAGCGATTTTACAAAATCCCTTATCATTTTTTACCTCGGAGGGTAGCACGGAAACGAACCATTCGGTTTGGGTTACAATACAAATTCCAGTGTAGAGTTATTGTATGATACTCTATAACACGGATTTTGATTGAATCGATGCTTGTATTCGAACGTAAAAGCGTGTATGTTTTCAGTAATAAGATTACTGCACCCTCTGTTCCGAACGAAATAGCAAAGGTGACCTTCCTAAAAGGCCGCTAATAAGTTTGATTTCGTTTGCAGGCATTTTGGAGACACAGATACTTGATCTATAAAGAAACTCGACTGAAATCAGTGTCCTATTGGAAACCTTATGAAAATTACGTTCATAAAAATCTTATGAAAATGTTTATCTTACTAATGGAATTCTTATGAACATTCTTATCTTGTTCCATTCATCTTATTACTACTTCAGGCCGGTTTATGAAAGATATAAAACTGAGAATGTTATGAACCCCCTTTATTAGTTACAGCACGAAGTTTCAGAACTTTGGGAAAGTATTCAGCATTTCGAGTCAGAAATTGTAATCTTCAACTTTATTCGAATCATTTAAGGGTGGAACTGAAATTATTGTTCTAGATGTTATCTCGATCAATTTAACTTTGCAGATATTAATTTATAGCCAATTTAAAAGATATTAAATTTGCAGGCGTTCGGAGTAAGTGAAACGTGTTTATTAAAATTGCTTTTTCATCTATGAATCTCAATTAATTTATCAGCCGGGAAATCTCTATTCAAGAATCCGGTGGAGCAGGAAAAGGGATATGAAGGCATGTGGTGTTTACTTTGAAGTACCCGAGCAACTAATTGCCATGACAAAGGGAGGGAAATGTAAGCATCGTCCGAGTAATGATCGATCAGAACTTCGTTATTGGTATTCTTTTTAGGAGCTCGTGCGTGTCGTACAGAATCAATTTGGTATCACTTAATTAGTAGCTCTATCACAACACTATACATCCAATACATCCAGCAAAAAGTGGTACAGTTATCTATATTCATAGACAATTATGAACCTCAAAAGCTACAGAATTATTAGACAAAATTTAAATACTTCAGTTACATTCAATATTCACTTAGGATCTATTGAATACAATTATTTGCAAATGGAACATTAATATGTTCAATTGTGTTATTAACATAAAATATTAATTGTAACAACTTGCAGGTGATCAAGAAGTGTAAAGAGTCTTACCTGTTGCTGATAGTGCTGATAATCGGTGTTCCCTTTGATCGCGGCGGAAGCAGCGTTTAGGAGGCCAACAACGAGCAGCAGCCTCGTCAAATGACGTCCGGAGGACATGTTTATCGTGAAATGGAAGCGGAAGTGAGACCGTAGTTGGCAAGGATCTTTATTCTTCACCACCGAATCTGCCTACGCGCGTTCGCTTCAGGACCAACCGGAGATTGTGTGGCGTCGCGACGCGCGGCGTCCCTCTTATACTCGCTAGTCCAGCTCGCGATTCGTCCACGCTGCGCATCCCCGAGCACTTGCTGCGTTACACTGACGACGATAACGCTGATAACTTGCAGCAGCAAATTTGTACGCTCGAGGACCAGGTGAGACAACCTGGTTGGTCTCTGATTTATTGAAAGTCGGGGAACAAATGTTCACCGATGAATTGAACTCGGAGGATGGGGAGCTGACGCGAGAATGTGATTTATTGTGCAGTAGAACAATCCAGTATTTAAACAGACTCCGTCTGAGCAGTCTATTGTTTAAACTACTTAATGTACTTCCCGGCTGCTTCCATGTTAGTAGCATTTAGAGGAGAATTGTAATAACGATTTAACTCTGTTGATATGAAGTATGGGTTAAATGAACAATATTTTTAAAAATAGTCAATCGTTTAGTTACTTCGATGATTTTATTTCTTGTTCAAACTCTTTTATTGGTTCAGACGTCTGTACAAATCTATTGCAATTAAACTGCATTGTTGGGGACTCGTAACTTGACCTGGAGCGTTAACATGGGCCTTTAATTGTTTCCTAGAAGTATTTCATTCAAGTCATAAACAGTCAACAAAGTTAGAGCATTAGGATTCTGCATGTCATTAGTTGAGGAACGTTATAAAAGATTCAAAAGCAAACTTGCAAGTATGTAAATCAAAGGGAAAGTTACCTACAGAATATAATGACTCCAGGGATATGGTATACTGTACTAAAAAAAACTTTCTGCGCGACGAACAACATGCAGTTTATTTGAATATAAATAAGCGAAGATACCGCTTTTATGTTTGAAAAAAGTACATTTTCAGATGTAATGTAACAAAAATCTTTTAGTAAATAAGCGGAAGAGGGAATTGCATGTAGCAACTTTTTGCTTTAGTTTAATTAAATCATTCCATAAATCACCGAGTGAAATTAATGATTTTATCTTGTAGAAACCGAGCTTGCGAATGCACTCGAAATGTCTCGCAACAGCAAAGCTGATAACAAGGTAGAGGTATACGTACTAGCGACGTTCTAAAACAAAACGAGCGGAAGGGACAAGTCAAAACTTGTGCGTGCTGTTTATTGTCTCCGGCTTGAGGTCGTGAAATTTATACCAGCCGTTTTAAACAATTTTACGGAGTAAAGAAGATAGCTTGCAAGTTTTGTATTTCAGATTAAAGTTAATGTATACGAAGCTATATTGAAGTTTGAATCATACTTTGTAACATCATTTTTTACATTTATGATATATCTCTTTTTCAGCCCACGTTAATTCATCGTCCATCGTCTAAAATGATAAGAAACGAGGTGCAATAGAAATTGACCCCCTGCAGGAACGGCAACGGCCTCATAACTGCACCAACAGCGACAACAATGAAACCGCCTTGTTCGGAAATAATGAAATTAATCGACTATTCTTACTTTGCAGACAGTACTAAAATCTTAAACATTTAGTCCAATAGATATATACTTTAGATAATAGATAATTGTCACACTGCTACGATATAGTTACAACGATAAATATGTTATTCAACAGGTGAACAGCTTTCTCAATGTTGAATCAAATGTATAAACGTTTACGTTCCTTTGAAATCATGACCCGGATCAATTAAGACCTTTAACTACGATGATTATCTGCAGGAATAATCGCTGTAAACTCTACTAAAGACTACATCTCTTCTGCAAGAGATTTTCCCCTGGGTCCAATTACCTTACTACAATTTCAAGACTTGTGAATTGTCTTTGTAAAGAGTTCTATTTCTTCCTGGATCAATCTTATAAAATATAAATATTACCAGAGTCATTCACAAGCTTCGTTGCACTTAAATGCTACCAAACTTTGCCTAAGTTTATCTTTTATTTTCAGATATCCCCCTCGATCATGAGGAGCATTGTTTGAAGCCAGAATGCCACACGCAAAAAGACAGAAAGGAAAACTGAAGGTCTTAGGATGAAGAAAAAACGTGGGAAGGTCGAAACACTTTGCACGTTAAGAAGAACGCGCAATAAATATTTTAATTGAGCATGAATAAGAATGTTGTGAAGCGATTTCGTATTTACGAAGGTTATCGATTATACAAAGTGTCTTCATCGTTATACAAGAATGGACTCGATGTGTTCGAACCGAAAAAAGGAACTGAATTATTCACTGCGATGCTTCTGAATTTTATTAAATCACGTCCGCGAGATTTACCGTGGTATTTCAATGGAACCACCTACCCTCATTTTGTCGTCGATTGTTTGTTCAAGTAAAACGTTTCTTAATTTCTCTTTAATTGGCGTCAGTACTTGTCAAATTCTTTAAACGATAGATAGCTTGCTATAGAGCTATGTTAACTTAATTATTTATTATAACTTGTTCGTAGAGGCAACATCGCAGACATTCAGAATAAAAAGTGTACGTCGCCGACTCTCCGGGCGTAACCTTCGTGCATAGGGAAGCAGAATACAAAGGCGCAAAAAAAGAAATAGCAGATCTCCGGTAGTTTCTCGTTTATTTACAGTGTGAACATTTTGATAACTGTTTACAGTCTTTATACACTGAGTAAACTCTACCAACAATTTCAAAACTTTATTCCAGATGTCATTAACACTATTATTGAGTCACCTTCTTCAACACAAAAGTATCAGAAATAGTTGGGAGGCTTAAGGACGAATATGTGGTGGAAAAGGTAAATCTAAATGAGAGGGCGTCTCGAGATGGCTTCTGTCGTGCCAGCCATCCACCGGTGTGTGATAGAGTCCATAATTCACGCCGTTCGTCGCAATTTTCTTCAACCCCTGTATGCTGGACAATATTAGAGCCATCTTGGCGAGCAGCAACGCTTTGCCGCCCAGCACGGCGAGAAACTGAAAACCCATAGGCACGAGGATGGATGTTATCAGCAGGAAGCCCATCATCATGAACGGTACCATATGGCCATATCTGCGGCGATGTCGGTGTCTGCGCCCTGAGTAAAATTTAAGTAGTAATACGAATGCTACAGTACTCGCTAAATGAACGCTAGCTAATTGAACGACCGCTAGACGAACGCTAGCTAATTGAACACCCGCTAGACGAACGCTAGCTAATTGAACACCCGCTAAACGAACATTCAACAATTACTGAATTACTAGAACAACATCTGTACCCACCTTCGAATATATTTTCATCTAATTTCGTCTCCGAATTGTTAACAGAAGCACCATTAACAAAGTGATCTACGTCAACCTTGAAGACGTGTGTACGTAAAAGACGCCATAGCCGCTTCAAAATCATCTCCGTCCAATTTGTATCGTTCTTTAATTCGCTAGGAAAAGAAGTTTTAAATAACGTACAATGATTTATGTTAACTGTGAAATATCTCCACAAAGAGCGTTTCAACGAAGCCCGTTTGACGATGAAATTAATTACAAACCAATGTAACGATAACAAGAACGGAGGGAGCACTCTTGAAAGGTAAAAAGCGATTTCTTGTACGAAAATGATCAATAAGAAATTAACTTTCATCCGCTTTCGCAGGGCTTCGGCCAGTTTCAAAGTGTAACGGAGCTTCTTCGAGAACTTTTACGTCCGAAAACTTCTCGCGAGCCAACGAAGTTCTCTGGGGAACTTTTACTAGACTTTTTCAAGAACTTTAAATTATTCAAAGTGGGACCGATGAACCTATAGTCTCCAGCTCAAAGCTGATACTAGATAACTCTAATCTCCTTATGACGTGAAATTGAAATTTACTATTACAGAGAAAAATAGCAGTAAATGTACATAATTTCATGGTACACTTCAGAATTAATTACTGGACCTCGATCATTAGGATCTTCGTGTTTGTGTAAAGTTAATTAACATACCTCTCAGTATAATTATCCGTGGAATTCGCCCTATCATGTTGGAATCGCACTAGATTTAGTCCGTCGAAGACAGGTATAACATCGTCTTCGAGGATCGAGTCAAGAACAGCCAATAGGTGTTCCTGTATGCACGTCTTGAACTTCTCCAGAAATTCATCCTGGCCCGCATTGTTCCAGGACTCCATTGGGCAATTCTTGAGCACAGTTTGCAGACCAGCATACCATTTCGTTTTGTCGTCGCATCCAGCATTGCCAGCCACGAGAAGCATGAGTGCAACCATATAGAATGCACGAGGGTGCATCTGCATTCAGAAGAACATCTATATTCTTAACGCTCAATACTCTTCGTTACATGGGTCTATTGTGACTGTAACAAGTCATTTCACTTATTGCTTTCTATCTTTCCTCGATAATCGAATTAACTAGCGCTGAAATAGGCACAAAATTTAATGAACACCTCAGTAATTAAATATTATTAAAAGTGCCATACTATGTCAGGTAACACCTAATTAGTTTAGCAGCTTTATTACATAAAAAATAACTAAGAATAGTATTCTCACAGTGAATGTAATTTTGATAGGTTAAACACGAATCCCTATTTCAGAAAAAAACGTTACCTCTGAACGCGAGCACACCACCGGAGATGTGTTCTCCAAGTCGGTTGTACTACAGTAAACGGACAACGGTGGCTATATGAAGATTTATAAACGCAGGAAATAGGCTAGAATGCTGGCCAAGTGGTCATTACGATTCATCGAAGGGCAACATGGTAGCGGTCAAAAGGCGGCACTTTTTATGCTCCAGCAAACCTGCTCTGTAATTATCAATGAATTACCCAAGGTTGCATGACAGTAGTCAGCTCATCGACTTTCCGCTGATAGGTTCAAATTTGACAACAAATTTGATTTAAAGTGTTAAAAGTACATTTCAATGATAAGGATTCTATTACTGGATCAAAAGATTTTATCTTTACTATCTCCACTATCTCATTGCATCTCTTATTACTTTCTTTAGTAACTGTATTAAATCTATCAGTTAATATTTCATTAGATGTACAAAGAGAAATGTAATCGTTTCAATTATGTAAGAAACAATGCAAACTCTAAGATAAAAGCTAAAGAGTTCACAAGAGATACTGCATTAATAGCTACAATCTATTTCTCAAGTGATGCATCCTCAGTATACATTACTTTACTTGTCCGGAAATGAATATTGCAATGCAAAAATTGCTAGCCACAAATGACAGTGTGCAACAGTATGAATTATCAAGTTTGCGGTACGTTGTCCAAGTCTAAACTATATGCATGTATACTGAAGAAAGAGAGGACGAGAAACATCAATTTTCATATAAAGAAAAAGATTTATAATAAATCAAGTTTCAAACTTTATTAATTACTGATGTAATAATAATACTTTAACAATGTTCGTGATATAAAAAAGCGCCTAACTAAGGTGAACAACAAAATCTGTCTATGTACCACTTTCTTCTTGCATGAAACAAATATCACAAGCAGTAGTAAAAAGTAGATACTTCAGAATTCATTAGGAAAAATAAAATGTAAAAATACAATAAATCACATGATTCAAACAAATCAGTTACAATAATACCTCGGCAAGATATATTGCACGCGAAGGAAATGCAGTTTCTGTCAAGTAAAATACAAATCACACCATATAAATTCAACAGTCTATTCTCTAAGGACATATCCTTAAAAAATATTTCATATAAAAAATACTCAAGAACTAGAAAAAAGGAGAAATAATTTTAGAATTCTGGATCACCTAGCTTCTCAATGTACAATATGTTTAAAAAGTCCACAATAGATTGTTCATAAGTTAATTATAAAAAATTAATTTAGTAAAGATGTCGAGAAGAAAACATAATGGATAGAGTATTCGATTAGGGTTCTTCATCATAATATTAACAAAATGACAAAGAGGTTAAGGCACATTATTCCTCACGCTTATACTACAGAACTAAACGAAGAAATCTTCAAAATAAGTATGAGCTAAAGCATCAATGATTCGTGTATGAATAAACATATTGCACATACTTTTCTAACCCTCTGTATAATTGATAAAACAAATAGTACAAAATACTATATTCGGTAGAAGTTTCCAATTATTCTTTGTTAATAAACGTATCTATTAGACCTGAATTCGATCCATCGCTGTTAACTATAAAAGTCTTCTTGTAAAACTTATTAGTTAAAAAGGATCAATCGAACTTCATCCCTCAATTACCGACAATCGCTATATTTGTTCTATCAAACATACGTCTTCGATCACTTCGTTCTATTCAATTATCATAAAAAAGTATTCAGTCTTTCAACAGCTGACGCGTAGAACAGTTATGTAACAACTCTCCTTATTCCTTCTAGGCCCTGCAAACGTATAAACTGCAACTATACATCAAATAATTGTCCTTGGTTACTGCTTCACGGTTTTCTGTGCTCTTCATTCCTTTAAGATATCTGTTCTTATACATTTGTTGAGGGAACTCGCTGAACTACATGTAAAGTATATTATATTCGATTACATCATTATCGACATAAACCCTTGCAACCCTTTTGAAAATGATAAAAGTATAATTTCTAAAAGAAACTATATAGGAGCACGTTCAGAAGAGAGCGCAGTTGAAGTTAAAAATGAGCCTGATGCCACCGCTCTTGACGTTGTTGTAGTGACTCGACGTCCAAGAGTTAAAGACGAGTTTAATGAAACGTTTAGTGCCTATAACAAATACCGATTATAGCAACAAAATTTTCTTGTACTAAACATCAAATAAAAACAAGTAGACTCACCTTTGGCATACCTGACTTAATACACTGAGCCAATATAATATCTTCCTCCTCTTCTGAAAGACTTAAATTATCTTCAAACGTTGCTGGCTTTTTAGACTGATGCTTATTTTGCTCAATATATTCTGATCGACGGTATGATGTTGAAGAAGATACTTTCACTGAATTAGCTACTTTAGATTTATCAATAGTTTGAGGCAATGACTGTGATATCAGTGATGAAATGTTCAATCTAACCTAAAATTATAATGTGAATACAGCATCAATAAAGAAATAATGTGCCACTAAACAAAAAGTATGCAAAGTAATAGCAAACCTTAGGCATCGCTGCCCTTATACACTCGCTCAAAATGGCTTCATCGTCCGAATGATTAGGACTATCATCCGAAAGTTCGTTTTCATTTCCTAACGATGTACGACACAGTGGTTTACGAATAATAGGATTCCTGTTGCCACTTTCTACAGGAGACGATGATGGTGTACCGCATATGTTGAATCTTTGTGACACTCCTTCTGCTTTTTGTGTGAAAGGAATGCAATTCGTTGGTGGGGGTGTTATTTGACGAACCTATATTTAAAACATTGTTATATATATAGCTTAAGAAGAAATCTGAAAAGAGAATATTTACTTTTGGTATTCCTGACTGAATACATTCATCAAGAATTTTTTCATCTTCTCCAGAAAGATTGGAGCTTTCGTCTGAAAGATCATTCCTGTGACACTCAACTTCACTTGAAGGTTTGGCTTCTTCGACTTTTTCGACGTCTTCCTGAACGCTTGGCATCGACAACGCTGAAAGATTTGATTGCGAGCCTACGGGAGAAATATCTGCTGGCGTATCTTCTGTGCAGTACACGTGTACCGTGTCTGGTGCAACAACAACTTCTATGGCATTTTTATTCGTTTTAGAAGTCGTTGTTGGTGTATTCACAGAAGTAACAGGAACGCGAGGTTCCAGCCTGTTTAAAACAGGTGTTCTTTGACACCGTCCTAACATATTTGATGACTCTGGTTGTATAGATTTTTGTACAGTAGATGTTTTGAAAGATTGTCTGTACCTGTAATGTATTTAGTGATGTTCAAGATTTTCATTATCTTTTTAAAAAATATGAAATATACCTGTTATTCTGTATACCCATGCTGATACATGCAGCCAACATATCTTCATCATCTTCATCTCCATCACTCACTTGCTCCTGATCTTTCTCAGTTTCAGCATTATTTACTTTTTCTTCTACTGGAGTTTCTTTAACATTCTTATCAAGATTATTTGAAGTTTTCTTTAATTCATCCTGTATTTTGGAACTATTTGTTATCTTCAATTCATCATCAATTGTAAGAGAACTAAGACTAGTAGCTGTAGAGAATTCAATAGGTGTTGATTCTTCCTTAAATGTGGCAATGTCATCTTCAAAAACACTGTTTCTTGGCATGGGACATTTGGAATATGCTGAAAATGATATTTGTTAAAAGACTTTATAGAACATTGTTATGCAACTTTAAAATATTGTTTGAATAAAGATCTATATAATTTTAATTATTTTTACTATTATTATTTTTTCGCTGACAATCAATATCATTGCATACATAAATGTCGAACCGACGGTCTTACTGCTTCGTCCGCGATTTTGCTTATGAAATCCGTGCATTGACTCTTGTGATTACGAGGACTTGGAGGGATAGTTTGTGTTGGTGAATCTGGTAATTCACTTGGAGACACAACACCACTAGTCCTACGGCTATTAAAAATTAACTTAGATGTAATTATTGTACCATTCTTATATAAAGTAACACCTTTAAATACAATTTGCTAAATTACCTAAAATCACTTATAACAGAGCTACGATCATCATGTATAGAATGCTGTTCAAATCCACTCAAAGAGCCAAGAGAACTGCAAGGTGAAAACATTAGAGGAGTCTCCTCTGCATAATAATCTTGTCTGCTGAATGTTACCATTTTGCCTGAAATCAGCACAAGAGCTTCCATAATATTCTCTACAAATACTATTTAAAACTTTTAAAAATGCAACAAACCTTCTTTATCTACAACTCTAGTACTACTTTTTCCTTCTATAGGGCTATCAGTTTCATCCGATATACGTAATCCACTTATATTAGCAGCAATTCCACTGCGATCTGCTCTTTCCGATGTATTATCAACTTTCTCTGAAGAATCTGTAGATGATACTTTAGAAATGATTCCAGTAACATTATTTCTTTGTGTGGTTGCACTACTAAGAGAATTAAGAGAATTAGCACGTGAGAAACCATCTGGTGTCCCTGCTTGATAATAATTATGCAACTTTTCAGGGGTAGGACAGCTAGGCTTACAAGTTTGAGAGGTTTTAGAAGTTTTCAGCTCTTTTTCAACAAGAATTGATTGCTCCTCATTGCAATTAAGAGACAATGTACGTTCAAAACATAGGTCTTCCTTACGACTAAGCTCAAGCACTTTCTTATTATGTTTCTTTTGTGAATCAACAGATTCTTTCGTATCTTCAAGACGCAAATCAGACATAGAAGTTGCAGTAGAAAAATTGAAAGGTGTCTCATACGGAGTTCCTTCTGTGCAATATGTCTTTATTGTATCCTCCTGTACACTACCTGGAAAATATTCAGGACTTTGTTTTTCATCATCATCTGTGTCATCTTCAGCGTATCTCAAACTGTAATCTGTTGGTTGATCAAGATCTGTTTCTGCATAATCCCCAAATAAATCTACTTTGGAGTCGCGTTCTCCAAATTCTTTTTTGCAATTTCGGACGTTCCGAGTAGAATTCTCGATCGAATTATTTTCACCCACTGCTTTTCGTTCCCTATATTTTTTACTGTAATCTACTGGCTGTTCGGTTGTCTCATCTTCGTACCTTCGTCCGGTACTTCTCTCCATACCAATCAATTTTCTTAGCCACTGCTTTTTAATCGAAAGATCCTTTGTGTTTTGAAAATATTTTCTTTGTACCTATGATCGTACCGGTCAGTCACTGAAGACGCTTGAATTATTAAATTTCTTTTGTAATAGTTAATAGTCAATTACTGTCACCACTCTTGGTGACCCTGGCATCGACGTTAATTACCTCGTGTGGCAAACCACAAGGGTCGACATCCTGACGTATTAAATATTGAGGTTGCGGCGACTCCCCATACGCAAGTGCAGCTCAGATTGGATAAATTCTACATCTAGGGGAAACCTAACCTTGAACAGATTACAAGCGGAAAGAAAAACACCAGAAAATATCGACCCCAAAAGAACGATACATATACGTTTGAAATACTCTACAAATAATTGAAATAAACAAGCAACGTAACTCGTGACGATATAACAGAATAAATGTTATATCTTTAATTTCCTGTACTTCTACATCTCTGAATTCATCATCTACCTCTGTAGACCCTTAGTAAGAAGGATAAAGTGAAGATGCTTCAGAAGCAAAGAAATATAAGTGACAAATGTTTGAAATATATATTCCATTGTTTATTAATACTTTCAAATACAATAAATTGAAATTTAGTCTTTTATAAACAGTGAAAAATTACAGTCATAGACTTATCTTAATCATCATTCTCTTAGCATTACATTCCTTATAATTTACAACATTATCCTCTTCCTCTTCCTGCTTGAGACCCTCCAGGTTGATTCTGTTGATTAAGCCAAGGTGCTGAACCGGTACCTCTACCTCTTTGATTCTGACCTCTACCTCTTCCACGAGCTAAAAGAAATACATTATTATTGTTGTGCTAATACCCTTATATCAGAAATTTAAGATTAAAATATCAATGAACCTTGGGCACGCAAAATAGCTGACTTTCCTCTACCAGCAGTTCCTGAACCTTTACCACCAGGTCTCTTAAACATCGGTGCATTTTTTAACATATCTGGTAATATGAGAAACCTAATCTTTGATCCTCTGATGTAAACATTTTCTAATTCTACTTCTCGACCGTCTCTATAAGTTACTGTAATATTTTGCATTTGGCAGTTCATATTGTCTTCAGCTTCTATTAGTTTTCCACGATAAACTTCACCGGTGTTTGTTTCACAGGTTACGATATGACCCTCCGCTTCGTGAAGCACTTTTATCGGCACTCCGATAGACATTGTGATTGTTAATTTGTTGATATAAATCTTTTACTTAAAAACTTGCTTAATTCGTTCAAGATTAAGAGCTTTTCTTACTAAAAACATTTAAAATATAGAAATTTTAAATGCATCAACTGAACAGTAACCTAACTCTTTGCGCTTGATGCACGTTTATGTCCCCTGACGACGCGTGTTCATACTAAAAAAGCTTCTACGCATGCGCGTAATTATATTTACAATAAACCGCGAAAAAGTCTATCCACATCATCTTGACATTTCGAAGTTTTTGTCATTAGTTTGAGTCAGCAAAATTGATTGAAAATATTTTTATTATTAATTGATCCATATAAATTGAAAAAAGAAGACTGTTGAAGCTTATGAAATATAAAGTTTATTGATGAAAATGTTAAATCCATTCTTCAGTTAATAATAAAAGTCAGTATTTATTGAAAACGTTAAAAGATAATTACAAATAATTTAGAGGAAACATAATTTTGATATTTATATCAAAATCGGAATTTTTTTTAAATAAGGAAGAGTCAGCTTCTTTCTTACGTCGGACTTTATAATAAAGGTTACCATTTTAATAATTCAGGGATACGCCAAATCAAAAATGAAACGGAAAAAAATTGATGGCGGGTCAGGTATAAAGAAGAGAAAGGAAAACAAAAAAAATACACAATGTATATCCTAAATTCTGAACCTTCTAGTGCAGACTTATTAGTCAGGATCTTAATAAATTCCTGTCGTAGATACGAAGATATTTGAATTGAAACTTTCCAAAATATATAGAAGGTTATAAATTCTTAATTTTAAGAGGTATGTAATTTCAATGTACCTACTGTTATATTTACCCATTTCTTTTAACTAACATGATGTATTTCTGTAATTGACAATACTAGTTAAGCTTGGATCCAGAAGAGCATTAAATAAAAGCAAAAGAGAATGAAGAAAAAATACACTGTGTCCATTTTCAACCGTGAAAGAACCTAAAGGCTAAAAGCGGTTTTTCAAAGGATGATAAATCGTAATGGTATAATATATATTAAAATCGACGTGTTATTTTTAATCACTTAAACATACTAATATCAATCATGCAGTAATTACAAGCATTATTATGTCCATGTACAGAGTGTCTCAGAAAAGTTGTACACAATTTCAGAACAAATTGAAAAGTCCTTTAGTTTACAATGTACTATTTATGAAATAAATTTGACATTGGACGTTCGAGGTATCATATTTAAACAACTGAAAATAAGTTTGCAGTAGTTCAGTAATACAGGACTTTTCAATTTTTAAAGGCTATGCGGTTTTTGCGGTGTAACAATATTTTTGAAACACCCTGTATAATCAGCCGAGTATGAATGTCACTGTTCATCTCGTTTCCTGTTCTTTTTCACTCATCTCAAGTTTAATTTTCTTCCATTCGCTCTGTAGATATCACCTGCCCTGTAGAGCAGCTCTGTCAGGATTACACCAGATATCACGTTACATCTTATTGTTAGAAAAATATGCTATGCCTGAAATAGGATGAAGATCTGACGGCAATCATTTCATTAATATTATTGATAACCGGTACGTGTACGATATTATGTACACACGGATGCAATGTAGGTTTCCTTATGGATAAACATTAGTGTAGGGGAGGAGGCTTCCCACCTTTGTCTTTCAGAGATTAAATATGAAAACTTAATTTTCCAAATTTTTCTCAAAATTTTCAAAACTCCAAAGTTTGAAAGTTTTGAAAATCTACCAACCAAGAACCAAGTGACGGAGCTTCTTTCCCTTACGTCATTTTCCCTACGGAAGCCTACCCTGTTCTTCTAGTATACTCAAATGTAGTTAACGTTCTGCAACCGTCAGAACGGAACTCTTTCGCGGCAACGAGTCCCAAGAAACTACATAAATGGCATGCGAGACTGTTATCAAACGTAAGTGCTCATTGGAAGGATCATAACAAAAGAAATGTTTCCAAATAATAATCGTATGATTTCAATACATGCAATATACATATGGTGTAATTAAATTTCATTGCTTTTACAGGGGAACAAGTGTCTTTCCTTCACTGTAAATGGTATTGTATCAAGCACTTGAGTAACTGAATGCAACAGAAAAGTGTTACTGTATCGTACAACAGAAAAAAAAGGAAAGTATAAAAATGATCGTGCCACTTGAAAAAGAAAATGAAAGTAAAAAGAAAGAAAAGGTTAAACGCACTATTTCTGAAAATAAAAGACGATGACATGTGTAAAGTGCGTCAACAATGTGCTGTTTTAGTTATATTGAAACAATACGATTTTTATTTATAACATTTTCTTCATACGACGATTACAAAAAGTTGAAAAACTGTGACGACTGATCAAGTCTCACTTCTGTACACATTAATATGTATATTGTCGATAGACATTATGCTTAGCGTGTTGTCTGATGAAGTCACGGCAAATATGTATAAGTATGCAAAACGTAATGTATATCACGAATAGAAGTGGAAACTTTAATCCGCCTCTTGTTTTACTCGACTATGTATATATATATATATATGTATGTATATATATATATATATATA